TGTGGAATCAAGCTGTAAATAAAAATAAAAAAAAAATAAATAAATAAATTGTATTTCTTTTTTATTAACATTTTCATCGCATAACAGAGTGTCTTTTGATACTATTTGACTTAAAACTTACAAATAGACTATACAACGTTTAGAAATATGCATATAGAACTTTGACTACTACCCTGTTGACAGTGGAAAATAAGAAATAAAAGTAGTACTTCATCACATGATCTCAGTACTACAAATTGACAGGAACCCAGACACATATGCAGGTGCATAAATACATTCATTCCGAAACTGTAAACACTGGAACCATGGCAACGGAATAGTACAAAATATTACTAAACTTTGTCAGATAACTAGGTTTTTTGCGATAATGCCTAACCACTTCAAGCAAAAATCAACAATATAATAATTTATTCTTATGTAAGAAAAAACCAGTAAAATTAAGCTAAATTTCTTTGAATGTGTTCTCACTTAGATGGACAAGTCAGTTACTTTAGGCTGTACAGTTTACAAATCAATCATTTCAGTCTGTCTGAGGTGAACTAATTAAGTGTGAATTATTTGTGTGCTGAACCTGTTTAAGTAACAGTTTATGTTCTCTGCCCAAGGAAGGCAGAGAAGCTGTAGTTTAGCGTTTAGGTCACTATTGTTAGTCTAGCCATAATCAGCGTTAGTAGCCTCTAACTACTAGTATATCTTTCAGTAGTATAACACATTGGTTTCGCAACACATATAATAAATAACAAACCTACGATATTATTATGGTTGATAGTGACTAACAGTGGCATCTATGAAGAGCATTCATTCTATTTGAGACACGTCAGCTGGGTGTACCAGTCAGTAATCTTCGGTGAGTGATGTCGTTCCCGCTGAGAATGAAATCTAGTAACCAGTGTTACCTACTAGGGTACTCGGACACGAGAGCCACCTCTTGTTCAGTGGGAATTAGTTATTTATTATTGTTGTTCAAGTTAATTTTCCATTTCCCATCCCTTAGTACAGGGTGAACGTACATTCAGCTGTCGAGTACCAAATTAGGACAAAATACGTATCCTAGATTTCACTGTTAGTCACCATCATCCAAAATAGCATGATATGAGGGGCAGATATGTCAACAAAATTAATACAAAATAAACACGAACTGAATATATCTCAGTAATTAAATTCTGTTTTGAAGATTGAAAACAGACAAGCTGATAACATTGTGAACATGCAGCGTTTTTGTCAGATTATGAATTGATCTGTTTTGCTTCACTTGGGTATGAATTGTATTCACTAGGTGGGGCTGGGTTGGGATTAGAAATTCACAAAAATTACTAGTTGACCTTAAACTTTTCATAGACTGAATAAACAATTCTACAGTTCAAACCAAGTTCAGTGGTTTGAAAATATTTTGGGCATATATGAACAACTTTGTTTGAAATATAATCTCTATTTCCCCTACCCCAGGGATCCATTAGCTCTAGTTTTGTGAATTTCGATAACAAGGCACGAAACATCTGGTGTAGTTAAGACAAACGTTCAACATCCCATTCATCATTCACGTTTGTGCGTGTCTGTGTGTGTGTGTGTGTATATTTCATGAGATTAAGAGATAATTCTAAGCCCACATTTTACATGTGACACTAATAAAACCTAAATGAAAAAATCTTTCTTCATGTTTTCTTTTAGCTTTTCTAACCCCTAGTTTGCTTTTTAATCACTATTTCACCTCCGGAGAGAATATGATGGCCTCTTCCCCCATCTACAACTATCACATCTAATATTACTAGGTCACATGATAATCTTTAAGTTGAAAGACAACAAATGACCCATTCTGATCATGTGATGACTATGCGAGCAATTGATTATTTCTGATGTATGCCCACAAAGCATGTTTCTTTGTTTAAACAATCCATTATTTTTAGTAATAGTAACATATGTGGGTGTCTGTATGATCCAGACAGATGGGAGTTGAGTTCAAAAAATAAGCTGTGAAAATTTTACTCATATAACAAAAGTGGATATTTAAAGAACTTGAAGCAAATCAAAAGTTTTCGTCAAGAGAGAAATGGTAAATGCTACAGATAACTAGCTAGCTATTGATTGACTGATTAGGAGACCAGTTTCGATGACTGTCCATAGAAAACAGAGAACAACAAAATCAAAGTAAAATAATTAAGCAAAGAATATCCTTTTCGATAATTTCCTCTTCTTATTTTCTAGAACAGTAGTCAATAACAATATTGGTGTTTTTTAAATAACATCGATTTGTTAACTAAGATCACTGGAATTACAGTTTACTAAAGATGAGTAAGTTCTAATAAGCATACAAATAAAATAGCAAAAAGAATATCAAATCAAAATCAAATAAATTTCCACAACAAATTCAGGATCATTCGAACCTAGATGGCCGAGGTAACGACAGTGTCTGAACCAGTTTCTTTTGGATACATAATTTAAGTTTCTTAATGTGGATCCCAACGGTTTCAGCGATATGTAGTAGACGAACTCTTAAGGTGAAGTTAAGATTAGTTGGTATACGATAAATGACTTTGAAAGCCTCGTTTACATCAATCTTGTGTTCTGTATCCACAAGATGAGATAGAATAGCGCTACGAATAGATTTTCTTTGTCCTTTGCTTAACCACTGGCAGAGTGATGTTAGGAAATTAGGTTATGACACAGAAATAACCTAGTTCAGCGTACTAAACATCAAAAAAGTTACTAGGAGGAAGATATTGGAAATATGACGCTGAAATTGACAAATAATTGGGCTGGGAGAGGAGATATAACACTGAAACCAAGGTGAAAAATAAAGGTAATGAAAAGGAAGTACATCGGCGTCATTGTGATTCACTGGATGGCGTCACTGTCGGTCCTCAATTACTAACTGCAATGATGAAGTTATTCAAACATTTCTATGTAATTCGTATCAATAATCAGGTTCCATGTATTGGCCCAATCTCGCCTAGTCGTACTTCATCTAGACCTGCCAAAGAATCTTCATAGTTTCTAATCTTTAGCGATCGTGTCATAAACAGTACTCCGGATATCTGACCTGATTCAACTATGATTCAACGCTAATTTGTTTTAAAAACGAAAAGTTGTGATTGAGTCAAGATTAAAGTTAAATTAGATAAGTATATGCTGCTATGTTAGTCACTGACTTCAGAAAAAATTGTTTTGTTGGCATGACTATTGATCAGTTGACTAGCCGATTAGCTTAATTTGAATCTGATATGTGAACACGGTTTGCTAAAAAGATGGTCTAGTAGTACTTGGAGAGACTAGCGCTTCTAAGAATTTACCAATCACTCCATAGTCATACATTAACCCTCAGGAAGGCATTTGGTCGTTTGCTTTCCATTAAAGAAAGATATTTCCTTAGCCTTCTACGTAAGGAAACTAAGACAACCTGATATCACCCAGTCTCTACGTTTATAGTTTGTTAATTCTTGTATTCTACATCTTCTTCTTCATTGATTCCCCTAGAATACTTAAGAAAGACTCTGTTACATTGTGGAGGGCACTAAAAGCTGTTGGTAGGCAGAGTGGAGTACCTCTAAACCAACATTTTAATATTTGTTGTGGATAGACACTTCAGTTCATGCAAGAAGTAGGCGAGTCACCATGTTGGATTTTGAGCATCCTCTTTATACACAACTCCCTCCATTGCATTTAGTCAGATAGGAGTGAGAGTGATTCTAAAATACTTTTTGCTTAGACGACTAGTTATAAAAACTCAACGATGCCTTATTTGGCGCATTTTATGTGGTAAGAAAAGTGTTGGGCATGAAACTACTAACTTAGGGCAAAACACTAAGTAGAGTGTTTTAACCATCAGATGAATGTATAACTGCTTTAGGATTCTTTTCAGTTCACGGGATAACGTGATTTTGATTTTGATTATTGCTTTTATTAGATTTACTATTTTATCACACAGCTTACTAGCTAATGGCTGACGTAAACACTTTTCATGCCTTAATTACTTAAATGTTAAGTACTTATATGACATACAACAGACTTCAAAGAAATCATTGTCAATTTTTACAAAATATCGCACTGACAAAAAACCCAGTACGATTGTCCTTGTATTTCTAGGTTATTTCAGATAAAGAGGCATGTGGCTTTGATCGGATGTCAGCTGACGTTCTGAATGGTGAGACTGACAAATTAACCAATCAAAATCCACCATCGAAGGGTCATTTAAGTACAGGTTATTTTAGGACAAGGTTAAATATAAAGTTGGATTTTGATTGGTTAAAATTGACAAACGAAAGGCTGATACTAGCAGCTTTTTCGGCCTTCTTTCTTTTTTAACTTGCCTGAAAACGTTCTTTCTAGGTAGAAAGTAGCGATTATTTCTAAATCCTTGGGCTCTTTTTAGCGAAAACTGAGGCCTTTATGCTAAATCAAAAAGAGTAACTGGTCTTTGTTTTCGTTGCCTTAGCAGCTCAGTAACTCTTACTATTCAACAGTAAATAGACTCCACACCTAAAAGGGTATTATTTATTACTGATTTTATTCCTTTGCGTTCGAAGTAGAACATAGGGCTTCAAGCATGGGTTTTAAAGATTCTGTAGCAGCGGTGTCTTTTTTAACGGTGTGGGGTTGCTAGGCTCACATCCAACCTTCCCCTTTTGTCGTGCTTACAAATGGTTAGAGGAGGTAAAGGTGTGCTCCGGTTGGGGATCCAACCCTGGACCACTTGCATGGTCGACCAGCATCCTACCGTTGAGCCACCGACTCACCTGAAAGGGTGTAGTAAGATAATTAATATAAATAATATAATAATAATATAATATAAATAAATAATATATATAAATCACGGATCTTAGGAAGTGAGAGAAATCATGTGAATATAATGAGTTTGAGTGATATAAATAGGATTGGGTAAAAGGGAAGAATACATAGTTTTATTGTGGTAAATATTTGAATCACTTAATCAGACTGGGTTCCTTTGTGAAACACAGTTGTCAGAGTATACATACGAGTGGTTAGGTTTGCAGATTGAACTTTGGTCAAGCAGTCCAAACGAAAAGAGAATTCTGGTAGTTCTACAGATTATAGTATCAATATATTCATTCTTTATGTTGTCTAACAGGGCACAATTAATTGACACTTACCTTCATTTCACGATAAAAAATAATCGAATGTTGGGTTGGATAAACTTCAGTTCCTGACTATAATTTTCAACATTATATAAATCTCAGAAATTTTTCGATATAACAATTTGCACACTGTAGACTTACCTTTTTGACAGAAGAAGCCAACTTTCTTATTGCATGGATATGGTTCTAGCCATCCATTTCGAATAACTGGACAATGCGCTGGGAATTGAACATCACTGTACACCCATGCACGAGTTACCCACGTATACTGATTTATCCAGTCATAGTTGTGCTGCCATTCCGCCATCTTTTTGCTTAACCAGTCGATGCGATCTCGTGAAGCTAGAGGAAATTAGTAAATAACTGCATTACTCTAATCCCTATTGAATGGTTGCGTTTATATGATTAAGCATGAGGGATATGTAGCATTTCTTTCTCTACAAAAAAGTGTCGTCCACTTATGAATACGATAAAAGTATCTAAATTTTTTTTTTGATTACAGCTTGATTCCACACCTTATTTTTTGCAACAGGTATGGAATTTTCAGCATGTGATATCGGTAGCCCAAATTTAGCAGGCCGTCGGAAGGAGATCGAACCCCGGACCATGTGCATGGTCGACGAGAGTCCTAACCACTGTGCCACCGACGCACAGGGTATTTCAAGAACGAGGGATATTCAACCAACTGGTGAATGATATAACTATCATCTTGATGTTTAGATATAACACATAAACTAGCTAATCATGTTTTATAGTGTTTTAAGGGATATATGTCCAAACCAAGTTCACTTTTAACAGTTTGAAAAAATTTGGGCATTGGGTATATGATATTCATTATAATAAAGGTTTTTCTATTTCCCAATGAATGAAAAACAAAACGATATTGTTTTTACTGACGTTGCGCTATTTAATACTGCTAACAGCTTTATCAAAGTATTATTATATATGCTGAGATTTTGTAAATTCCGGTTTAATAATACTTTGATAAAGCTATTAGCATTAAATAGCGAAACATCAGTAAAAACAATATCGTTTTGTTTTTCATTCATTGGGAACAAAAACCTTTATTGTGTTTTAAAGGAATTCATGCCTTCATTTCTTTTAAATCCACTGAAAAGTATAGAAATGTTTATATTTCGAAATGGTCTACAAAGTCTATTCTCCAAGAAAGTACGAAGTGGCTACTTCCTTAGTTGCACTATATTATAATGAATCTAAAATGTCTCAATCAACTCTAGTTACGAATTGAGAAGTGTCGTGAATTGGCTCATAATTAACCGAGTAAGTATATATGCAGCCTAATTGTAATATATGAAGACATGAAGAATCTTATATCCTGACCTAATGGCTACACTTTATTTGTTAATTTAAAACACAAAGTAGTATGAATTATCTTTTCATCTATAAAACGTTTGAATTTTTAGTGAATTGTAGTTTGCTATTTATTATTGTTAATTACGTTCAATTTCTTCAGAATATTTCTACCAACAGTAATATACTATTTACAAGTAGTATAAAATAAACGACAGAAAATAGAAAATAAAAGTGAATGATTTTATAGCTTAAATGTCAGGAATGCAGTGGTGATTTTCGGTTTGAGGAAGTTTAAATTGAATGCCTTGTTGTTTCACTTTGAAATGATTATCTTTATGCTTTATTCTGCTATGTAGTATGATTTCACGGTAAATTTTCAATTTGATTCAGTCACCCGGTATCAAAATGCATGACTTGGTGTTAATACGAGAATACTTCATTAGGAATTGGATATCGGATATTAGCCAGTTTAAATACCAAATCGATAGGGTGACGCAACAGTTTGCTTATAAATGAAGTAGAAGTACTTTATATGCTGCCAATATATTGCATCATGATAATATTTCCTGTCTAGACGAAGGTGTGAAGTTTTTTCTCGCTGCGTTTTTGAACTATACTTCGACTTTTGTTATGCAAAATGATTTCAGCATACATTCTAGTTGTTTCTGCACATGTACAGTTTTCTGTCTGGCCTCACGTGGATTCACTTTAAATGTCAGGCTATTAATTTTAGTTTCAGTTAGTTGATTCACTCGCATTAATCTTAAAATATTGACAGCACTGTGGTAGGAAATAAGTCAAATATCACCAATCTTGATATCAGTTTCTCTTCAAATCTTTATTGATCATCTCATATCTTTTTGATTCTTGAGAAATCCTCTCACTTGACTTGCTACATAAGGAAGCTGAGACTTTCTGATATAACTCAACCTATTCTCTTACAATTTAGTATTTTATGCATTCTACCCACTCTTATATATTCTTCTTCCTTATTCTTCCGTGGGCTTCTCAAAAAGGATTATTTTATATTACTTAGAAGTCTGAAGTCTTTAAATAGAGTTAGTGGTGTGCTTTTAGTCTGACTGACTGACATTGTTGTTGATAGACATTTTAATTCTGTACTCAGCACAAAGAACAAGATTCGGATTTTCAACACCAATGTGAAGTAGATCAGTGCTTCTATATTGGTCAGAAACTTGCTCTGTGTGTCACAGAAAGGATTTCCGACAGGTTGCAGACTTTCACCAACAGCTATCACCTTCTCTGGCACCATACTGAAGATCAAATGGCCAACTGGCCAGAAAAAATAAGTAACAAAAACTCTGCAGTGGAACAAACCAACCAAGAGCCGATTGCTCAACAAATGTGTGGGAGAAAATGGAGATGGCATACATTGAAGAGACCGTCGCATGACATCGCACTCAATGCAGGCCATTTCTCGAGTGGAATCCTGATGGGAAGCGACGAGTGGGTTGTTGTTGCGAGGGTGAAATGTGGGAGGTCGTGTGGCGAGGAGGAGATGAGAGATTATGGGCATTTGTGAGGCTAGCTAGCTGAAGAGGACTTCAAAAGATAGGATAAAGAGGAGACGTGCTGTTGAATCCCTATGTTCCACTCGGAACCTAAGGGAATAGTGATACTATTAATAATAAGCGTTTGGCTAAAGTCCTCTTGTCACGCAATGAACAATCTCTTTGTCCTCATTTTCCTCTATGAATCTCTTCAGGTGAAATCAGAAGACATTTCACAGGAATTTATATTCCCACAGCTAAACATAAAAATTCAGTCAGGCTATATTTATAGTGGGTGTTATGTGAAGAGATGAATATCAGAAAAAAAATTTACCTTTTAATCTGTAAAATAAACAACTACTTATTTATGACCTCATTTCTTAGCAGGGATTGTGTGAACCTGTGAAGCAACGTGAAAATACGTCTTGTTTGTGTGTGTGTTAATGCATACAGGATGGAGGCTATTATCTGATTTCATATTGATATACACCACTATATTATATCGAAATAATAAAATCAAATCATAATCTATGAAGATAAGATTAATCAGTCTTATCAGTTTGGCAATCAAGATGCTAAAAGCTGGTAAAGCAGCAGGACCAGATGGAATCCCAGCAGAAGCATTGAAAATGGACCCAGAGACAACAGTGGACTTGATGACGCCACTACTGGAGAAGGTGTGGAAAGAAGGCAAAGTACCCGAGGATTGGAAGAAAGGATACTTATTCAAACTATCAAAGAAAGGAGACTTAAGTCAATGCAAGAACTGGCGCGGAATTATGCTCCTGTCCATCTCAAACAAAATACTAAACCGCATCATCCTGGAGAGAATCAAACAAGCCGACCTGGATGAAAACCTTCGACCGGAACAGGCTGGTGTCAGGAGAAACAAGTCATGTATTGACCAGATCGCCACATTATGGATCATCATTGAACAAAGCCTGGAATGGCAGTCACCTCTCTCAAAGTCTCAACTTCATCGACTTTGAAAAGGCCTTCGATAGCCCAGCGTCGATCGAGAGGTGATTTGGAAACTACTTCGCTACTGCCAAGGGGTGTCGCCGACAATTATACATCTCATCCAACAGCTGTACGACAATGCTGCATGCCAAGTAATCCACAACGGGAAAATTACGGAATCCTTCGAAGTGAGGACAGGAGTAAGACAAGCTGGCTGCCTACTATCGCCAATGATTTTCCTGATTGCAGTAGACTGGATAATGCGACAAACAGCGAGAAATGAGGAAACAGACATAAAATGGACTCACACAAAAAACTTGGAGGATCTGGACTTCGCCGATGATATATGTGTGATTTCCCACAAACTGGAAGATATGCAAGCGAAAAGCAACAAATTAGCAGAAGAAGCATCAAAGATAGGACTTCAGGTGAACATAGAGAAAACAGAGGTGATGAAGATTCCTGGACAAGAACAACAACAACAGACAACGATCAGCATAAATGGAAGGAACCTGAAAGAAACAACCTCTTTTACCTACCTACCTACTTGGGAAGCATCGTTTCAACTACAGGCAGAACTGACGAGGATATCAAAACAAGAATAAGAAAAGCAAGACAATCTCTCACTACTCTCAAATCTGTGTGAAGGTCAACAACACTCACCATCAAAAATAAGATCCGGATTTCCTACTCCAATGTGAAGTCAGTGCTACTATACAGATCAGAGACTTGGCCAGAGGGTCATAAAGAGCATCTCAAACAAACTACAGACCTTCCTTAACAGCTGTCTTCGCTCAATACTCAAGATCAGATGGCCAGAAAAGATCAGCAACAGAGATCTTTGGCAGTGAGCGAACTAACCAAGAACCGATTGTGAAGGAATTATGCAGGAAGAAATGCAGATGGATTGGTCATACTCTGAGGAAACCATCAAGCCATCGCTTGAGTGGAACCCGAAAGGGAAGCGGCGAGTTGGTCGTCAGTGCAAGGGTAACTTGGAGGAGGTCATGTGAAGAGGAGATGAAAACGTGTGGGCAGACATGGAGCCAGGTGAAGACTCTAGCAGAGAACCGAACGCAATGGAGACGCATGTCTGAAGCCCTATGTTCCTCTAGGAATTAAAGGAAACAACAATAATAATAATCAGTTTGACAGTTTCGTGAGTTAGCCTTTGACGATTAAATAAATAAACGAATACACAACTCATTCTCCACTTACTTGCTAATATTCCTCCAACTTCAGAAAGACAAAAATCATGAGCTTCTTGATATGTCATTGGTGCTCCAAAGTAAAAGAAACAATTGAATTCATGAAAATCCCAATTAGGTGGACAATAAATCCCCTTACCAAGAATAGAACTATTATCTCGAAATGAATTCGTATAATCAACTGATATTAGATAGATATCATCATGTTGATCATAAATTCGACTTTGTGCATAAGTTTGTGAAATGATCTGATCTAGTTTTTCTTCATTTTCTACTTTCTTTGATTCTGTATATTGGAGTGATAGGAAACTGTTATCCGGCGAAGATGACAGTGAAGGTGTTGATGATGGTGATGTATCACCCCACCAGTTATACTGTGCATCAATTCTATCTGGTCTATAGCATATACAAGCATCATATTCCAACTTCAATCTCCATCCTTGGGGACAAGATGAATAAGGCGATTCTGGACATTGTAATCCTGGTTGTATAGGCATAACACTATGAAAAACAAAAGATAATAAGGAATCTCAGTGTTGAATGCATTCATTTATATCGGCTATCATGATGATTAAAGTATTTATATATTACAGTGGGATATGTCGAACCAATAACAAAACTTTAGATGATCTGGATTTCGTATATGGTTTGTGTCTACTGTCGGATAAACTCGAAGATATACAGATGACAACCAGAAAATTAGGAGAAGAGGAAGCGAAGACAGGACTTCAGTTGGAAGTAGGGAAGATACAGGTGATGAAGAAAGTTCATCAACAACAAACACGAATTAGAGTCAGTGAGAGGAATCTACAGGAAGTCGTCTCTTTTGTTTACCTCACCTACGGAGCATCTCTGCATTTGTAGTGGGCACAGATGAGGATGTCACATCCAACCAGAAAGGATCACTGAAGCAGTACAGGTGTCTGTTACCTTGAAATCATTGTAGAGATTTATAGCACTGAACACAACGAGGTAGTTACGAATTTTAAACAATGTCAAATCAGTCAGCTGGAGGTAAAGTTTAAGCAACAAGGGGCTCTGAAAACGAACCAAACAAGAACCAATATATAGCCCAAAAATATGCAGGAAGAAAATGAGATGGGTTGAACATACACTGAGAAGACTGTTGAGTGATGCCACACACCAGGTAGACTATCGAGTGGAACGCAAATGGAAATCGATGGGTTTGTCATGTCAGTGTGACATGGAGGAGATCATATCAGGAGGAAGTGGAAGCCTATAAACATTCATGGAGGCAGTTTGAAGTGATGATACAGAACCTAGTGCGGTGGAGGCGTGCATCTGAGACCCTAAGTCTCACTCGGATAGCATGGAATGAATTAAAATGATAAATAAAGGATCCATAAATCTGAATATTATAAGAAAGTAGTGGTTGGTTGATGCTTAGTCAAGTTCCTCCATCTGACGAAGCAAAAAGCAGTAGGATCACTGTTAAACATTGAATACTGTCGTATGCTGTATTAGGCATAAAATAATTAAAGTTCTCATTTCAAAGCTTTTTGAGCAAGTTGCATACCTATAATACTGTTGTATATGTGTTTGAGTAATTCACTGAAGACATAAATATCAGTAGTTTTAACTTTACATATAAACTTTTTGTTCAGCACCGGATGAAAAATGAATGAACATGACTGAACTCATAAAAAGTTGGTCATCGTTACTATTGGGAAAGAATAAAAACTCAGTGATGGAATCGTTTATTGTATCTTTTAAGGAAAAGTCATAAAAATTGACATCATAGAAAGTTGTTCGTGATTGCTTCATCAGTTCAATTGTTTTATTTGATAAGAGACTGAATTAACTTCATCTTTCTGTCTAAATCAATGTCTGAGATTTTAAAAACTAATAATGACTTAGTTATAAATACAAGTGCCTTTGATATTCTGATGTTTGTTAAATGCAAAGACTATCTTTCTGAAAACTAGAATTTCTATGAGAGGTGGCTTTTTTGTATCTGTTAATAGCATGTATAATTTATTTATAGTTAAATCTTACATTACTTATAAGTAGTGTGAAAATATGAATTGAATTCATATTATTGTAGACATAGTGTGTTCAATTGACATAAAATCTTTATTCACCAATGTTCCTATCCACGAAACTGTTGATTTCATTTGCGATTACATCACAAGCAATGGGATAAACTTACCTATTCCTGTAACTTACATCAGAGACATCATCTTAATTTGTACAGAAAATATTAGATTCACCTTTCAAAAAAAGGTATACAAACAAATCGATGGTGTTGCGGTGGGGAGCCCTCTTGGGCCCCTGCTAGCAGATATATTCATGTCGAAATTAGAAAAACAAATGCAAGGTATGCTTGGAGAATTTATGCTGTATAAACGTTATGTAGATGGTACTCTCATTATTGGTAATAATAGTAAGTCTATTGAAAACTTTATTACCCTCTTTAATCATATTCATCCAAATATCCGAGTTACTTCCGAACTCGAGTCGAATAACAAACTCGGTCTCCTCGATATTACAATAACCAGGAGAGATGATGGAACGATTCGGAGATCTATTTTTCGTAAACAGACATGGAGTGAACAGTATCTTCATTTTGCCAGTTTTGTTCCTATCCAGTATAAACGTTCCCTAGTGAAATGTTTGTCCTCAAGGGGCCCGAAAAATATGCACGAGTGACACAGTGATGGATGAGTTTCGACATATACATTCAGTTTTATTAGCTAATGGTTATCCGGAGAACTTCATCACTTGTCATAGCAAAGAAAGACCACATTTCGAAAAGACAGCTTCTGTACCAAAGAAAGCTATCTTTATTAACCTACCATTCAAGGGCGACCAGATTATGCAGTTGACAGCTCAAAGACTTCGGTCAGCCATCAAAAGCACATTTTACGCCACATCTCTTTTTCTCACTTGCCGAACATTTTCGATCCCTGTACCTACGATTAAAGGACGAAATTCTGTGGACTCTAATTCAGACTGTATCAATAAGTTCACCTGTAGCTGCGGTGACACCTATATAGGTAGAACCAATAGAATGTTCCAATGTCATCGGAAAGAACATGTTCCAAAATGGCTACTAAATCATATAGAAAATCGCAATGCAATTAATCTGAATAGAAATCCAGCATCATCCATTGCAAAACACTTATTAGTGTCAGGTCACAAAATCAATATTAATGACTGTTTCACAATTATTTCACATAACTCTAATTCAAGGTTGTAACGTTCTTCTCACAGTTCTCTTCTTCGATTGCTTTTTCCAGTGCTCCAAAACATATTGTTACTTTTCTGAATTCGTTTACTGATATACTACTTATATCTGATTGTAAGTAGCACTCACCACAATGGTAATAAAGAGAATAAATGCAAAGTTGTTAAGACTCATGAGTAGCAATCAAGATGCAATTAGAATGCAAGAAAGGTAGCGTAACTGTGAATAGAGTGTTATGTAATAAGTCAAAATATCTGGTGGATAAATTCTTATCAAAGTGAGCAAATAGACAGGAAGCAGTTGGTGTTATATAAGAATTATCTAAGATACACTGAATAGTGGTTATTAGAAAACGGAGATTATCTGGAAGACGTGATGTATTTGAGCAATACATTTCGAACAATCTGATTCCCACACACTTACTTGTCAAGTCAATTTATATATGAAAAATAATGGCCAATTAAAATACACACAAAGTGACAAAAGGGATTGAAGTGTAATGAGAGTAATTAACACTACGTCTGGTTATCTAATCAGTTAAGGATTACCTACGCAGGTTGTTAAACCTACAAACCAACACTTGAATATCAATGAGATGCTCACTAGCGACTTGCCCTATTCAGGTAGGTAGTTACCTGGGGTTCTAGTGAGAAGTCGTGACCAGTAGGGTGCAGCAGGTCGGGTGTGAGGACAAATACTCGCCGAAGACATTGGCTAGGGGTCGCGCTATATCGTGAATTGGCAGAAGTTGGAATTCATGCATTGGCCATTGGATCGGGTCCCAGTGGCTTAATGGTGTACGAGCTCGCCTTGTAACCAGAATGTCCTGGGTTCGAATCCCGGTGGGTGCGTACTGATGAAGAGTCCCAAACCAGGACGAAACAGCTGTCCAGTACTCTCAGGTTTTCCAATGGTTCTCTAACTAATGTCAGCTCATGATGAAAATGATGTAATAACAAATTGTTTTTGTACACATAGTTGGAGGGAGGGGGGGCTTAAGTTTACGAATAGCTATCGCCTCAGCGCATTTCAATAAGATACATTGATTAGTTAGCAAGGAGTAACCAATCTCATATGACTAGTCCTTAATGTTGGGATTGACTGAATTCTGTTGATATGGTCACCAAGATAAGTGGCTTGGCATGACGTTGTACTTTAGAATTAACGTTAGGCAGTTGAAGTGAATCATGCAGAATAATAGTTTTAAGCATGAAAGGAGGGTGAGGTGGAATGCGTTTCGATTTCTAGAAAGATTCACTCATCCTATACTTTCTGTTTGTTAGTATATATGAGTATGACTTATTTATGTTTCATGGGAAAGTTATGCCTCCATAGGAGAACTAAACTTGCTATACTTTGTGTTGAAGTCAAAAAATTGACCACGAATGACTCCCTACTCCCTATATAACTGGATGACTCGCACAATTAGGTCATCACATGGTAATTGGTCATGACTGGTAGTTTTTGTAAATTCTGTAATGAATTAACGAGGCTAATTGTTAAATTTATATGCAAATTTACAGGTGTTAATAGAAATTATTCGTTTTTATTAGATTAATTTGCATTTCGCGTTGATTGATTATGTTGATCCGAAATGTTGGGTCGGATTTGTTGACATTTCACCTCATAGTACGGATGCTTCAACAAATTTCTGAGGATTAACATTATGTTATTTTGGTTGGTGGTAACTAGCCCTGGAATCCAGGATGCTTATTTCCATCCAGGTGACGAGTCCCCAATAGGGCGAAATATACACATCTTGGATTCTACTACTAATCACCATCAACTGAAATGATGTCATGTTAGTAGAGAAAGTTAACTAGAGAAAGTAATTTTTAGCATTTTCCTAAGAATGAAGATGGTAACATTGAAACTTTATCGTTGTGTTCTGCCACCTCTTTTGCGATGGACGCTCGTAATATTAAAAAAAGTTGAATATAAAGCTTTCAGAAGAGTGTAGATAGTCACACGTCATTTAATCCCACCATCTTGAAACCCCACATTAATTATCCTGTAGTGAATATGTGTCCAACAATTCATTCTGCTTTATGTCAATAGGTAGGTTGCCATTAAAGAAACAAAGTGATGCTACTGCGGTGAGAGGTGTCTGGAAGCCGAAATTGTAGACAACAGTCTACGTCAATGTTTACGTCCCAAATCGGGTCATGAGAAAAAACAGTAACAAAGCTTAACCTTGACGAACTCACCAATCATTCAAAGCAGACTTAACATGTAACAATGGGATTCGCAGATATATGGCTTAAATTTCTGAGAAACAGTTACAAACAATACAGAATGACCTTCAGCAAAAAAACAACCAATCAGAAGACGTTGCTTCTCCGCTGACAATAATGTACATAAAAATCTATAAATATCTGTTGATTTTCTGAATAAACGATCTGTTGTCTGGCCCTTGTCTTCCGTTGCAACACTACTACTTTAGATATAATAGAGAAGATTTGTAGCTCAGGTGGATGATTTTGGTGTGGTTGTGTTCTCTGAGCTGGATGGTTTAGTTGCGAAGCTTTCATTGCTCTACTGAGCAACATCTTCAGCGCATACTTCGATGTGAAGTATGCGCTGAAGATGTTGCTCAGTAGAGCAATGAAAGCTTCGCAACTAAACCATCCAGCTCAGAGAACACAACCACACCAAAAACTACTACTTTTCATCATTCTCCATTCCTTTGCTTTCCGTATGTAACATAGAACTTCAAGTTTGGTCACTGAAGTTTCAGTAGCAAGGACGATGTTTATTTTTACTGTATGGGATTGCTGGCCTCATGTCATCTTTTCCAGGATAACTCCTAATTAAACCAAGTTCAGGAGTGGGATTCGAACCCGGACTATGTGTATGGTTGTCGGACATTCTACCACTGAACTACCGATGGTCGATGATAATACTTCTGGTTACATGAATATGGAATATGAATTCGAACTATCAGTGAAGGGCAATCCCTTAACTGTAGAGTCTGGGTGGTAATATAAAAATTATTATTATTATTGTTTCCTTTAATTCCTAGAGGAACATAGCGCTTCAGCCGTGCGTCTTCATTGCGTTCAGTTCTCTGCTAGAATCTTCACCTGGCTACAAGTCTGCCCAAACGCCTTCATCTCCTCTTCACATGATCTCCTCCAAGTCACCCACCCTCGCACTGACGACCAACTCGCCGCTTCCAATACAGTCGGGTTCCACTCGAGCAATGGCTTGTCTAGTGATGTCACTTGATGCTTTGTTTCCTCAGAGTATGACCAGCCAATCCATCTCCATTTCTTCCTGCCTATTTGTTTCACAATCGGTTCCTGCTGAGTTGGTTCGCTCCCAGAGACCCCTCTCTGTTGCTGATCTTTTCTGACCAGCCACCTGATCTTGAGTATTGAGCGAAGACAACTGTTAATGAAGGTCTGTAGTTTGTTTGAGATGTAGCACTGACTGATTTCACATTGGAGTTGAAAATCCGGATCTTATTTTTGATGCAGAGTGCTGTTGACCTCCACACTGACTTGAGAGTAGTGAAAGCTTGTCTTGCTTTTCCAATCGATTCTTGCTTTGATATCCTCGTCAGTTCCGTTCTCCTGTAGTTGAAACGATGCTTCCTAGGTAGGTAGGTAGGTAAAGGATGTTGTTTCTTTCAGGTTCCTCCCATTTATGCTGATTGTTGTCTGTTGTTGTTGTTGCTGTTGGTGGTGTTGTCCAGGAATCTTCATCACCTCTGTTTTCTCTATGTTCACTTGAAGTCTTATCTTCTCTGGATGCTTCTTCTGCCAACTTGGTGATATAAAAATAGAACTTGGACAGTGTGGCAGGATATAATTCCACCATAGAATAAATTTGTTGTTAAAATCATACAGTGATACAGCGCAATTTAGTGCTCATAATCACATAGGGACGATATGATTTGATTATGAGCAGTAAACTGTGCTTGAAGCGTCATCACAGTAAATAATACTGTATAACATTGTAAGACTTTATGGAAATAAATTTACCCTATCATAGTCTAGATATGAATATTAACCGTCGAAAATAGTCTCATTTTTCGATTTCAAATTAATAGAAAAGTTGTGCATTTTTTTTTCTTGTTAAATGATTCAATTACAAAATATTGAATATTGAACAAAATTAAATTGTTTAAATGAGTGAGATAAATAAACGCGAGAACAATTTAACTATTCACTTACCTAATTATACTTTGATTTCCTGTTACAAGTTCATAATCATTAAGTATATTTCGAAAATAATTAAAGCGAAATATATTTTTAGAATTTTTACAAAATATTGTTGTACGCTTTGTAGTATTTAAAGCTTGATTATTATAGAAACCATTTTTTTGATACAATGAATATTGATTTAAATTTTCAACACCATCACAAATCAGTAGGACATCAGCAAGATTATCATATAGGAAGTTATTAGCAAATGGTTGTGTTAACAAACCATTAATATGTAGCATAGTTCGATAACCACAGTCATTATGCGCTATATAATTACGTAAGACTTGTAGTGTATTGAAAGGATTACCTATAAGAAAAAAGGGAGACATTTGTCGTTATGTTGTTTTGGTTTTTTATTTTTTTTTTGATAACAATAATGTTTATAGATTAAGAAATAGATGCTTAAGTGTGAGTGTTGGGGGTGGGAGTGGGGGTGTACTTGAGTTGAGATTTCAATGATATGCAGGTCATCATCTTTAGACAAGCTGAGTACATCTGACTCACGTTAGACACCACAAAATGACAGAAGTTAGGATTCATTAGGCAGTGGATTCTCTCAGAGGGACTGAATGGTCAACATGCTTGTCTCGTAATCTGAAGGTGTGGGATTCCATCCCTTGTACAGTCATGAGTGTACAATTCTGAAGAATCCTATACTAGGAAGAAATAGCTGCCCATTACTCTGTGGTTATCAGTGACAGTGATTCTCCAGAGATGATATGGCACAGTCTAACGACCCCCAGTTTGAATAATTGCCACTTGGACAGAAGTAAGAATGAAGCATTCCTGATGTAACAGATACAATACAACAGCGTAAAACCATGAAAATACAGTTTTGTGTGTTTAATTTTAAAGCCTGAAGTCTAGACATAACTATGACTGTTACAGACTAGCAAGAACTCTAAAGTCGTCCAAATAAATACCTTAAGTATTTTATCAATTCACAGTTTAATTTCAAATATCCAAATAACATTAATTTTTAGGTCTTTCCATGAACTCTCCAGGGTCATCTGGAGAGATCACTGTAAACCAGGGAGTACTGCACAGCTGTCTCGTTCTGTTGTGGGATTTTTCATAAGTGCACAATCCAAACGACCCCACCAGGGATCGAATCCAGGACTTTCAGGTTATCAGACAGAGCTTCTTGACCATTCAGCCCATTTTGGTCTCCAAATCAGTGATCTGTGAATTCTAACTTTATTAAATTCGTAATATAGCCCTGCCCTCACCAGTGCCTTAGGTGAGCGTCTGCGTTCTATCTCCCACGTGAAGTGGTATGATAAGGTGAGCAATATTGAAGTTAGGCGTCGAGTGCTAGGTAAGGCGAGGAAATCAATCGACGAGGCTGTGAAATTACATCGACTGAGATGGTTAGGACATGTGCTGCGTATGCCTAGTCATGGCCTTCCTCAACGGGCAATGTTACCTGATATAAGGCCAGACTGGAAAAGAGCTAGTGGCGGTCAAATGAAAACAAGGCACCAGTCAATGAAATCTACAACAGTTAGTCTGAGCCACGTAGGAAGGTGTAGACTGGCTTCCTGGTTGGGGTCCTCGGGACAGTAAAAACCAATAGTTGGAAACAATTGGTGACATGGCTCAAAATCGTTCTCAATGCCTGGTGCAGATGCATCCACTCCTTGTGACTTATGATTTCCAATGAAACTGTTTTGTTCTTCGTTATTACTATTCCTTTGTCTCACACCTCTGTTTGCTGCCTATATTATGCATTTCTCCTACTTTCTTCTCTCTTGGTTTGTGTGCTACAAGGAGGGAGTGTGGCGACTTGAACTGCCGCACATATGTGCAAAGTTCTATGTCGAAAACCGACCGACCGACGGATATGGTAGACCCCGCTAGTCAGGATTTCTTACTACAGCTTTAGGATATCTATCCACCAGCCATCAATGAGTTGGAGATTGATATTCAGGTTATGGAACTTTGGGGAATTTGGACTAATTTAATTTCAATCAGTGCTCCATGGTTTTCAATGATCTTTTTCTGTTTTCTGTCTTCTCTCAACCCCCACCCCTTTTTTCATAGTTTGAAAGCATATAAACTGATGATGACTTTAACTAATAATTGTAATGCTTATACTCGGGATGCGTTCATCCTCTAATGCTTCCTCTATTACCTTTCAAACACTGATTTATGAAATATCATTATTTATTACCATCGTAATTTCAGGTAGTTTGCAGCTGATGATAACCTGTAAAGTAGAATGGTGGCATCATTTTATGCTGCAAATTTGATCTTTCTTTCTCGATCGAAATTTATCAAGGGAACCAAATGTGTGAAATGATCTTTCTGATTGATATTAGTTCGTGACGAGATCTAACAAATGAAATTAAGCTAATCCGAATCCTCACAAATCCCATAACCTGAATCTAAATAATGTTTTACTTATTTCACTAGGCGAAAGTAGCAACGATACAATAAGCGTCGTTGTTAAGGTGCATTATAAACCCACCCATGAATATCTAACTGATATCGATTCGTGATGATTCTATTGAGTTTGTAATTAACATGATATAACGCTTATGCAGAATCATGTTCCATACCATGTTGCCGATGATATTCTCCGGTGTTTCTTTTTACTGTTGTTATGCGAATCGCGAATATGTGAGCGTCTGAATTGACCGCTTTATTCTTAATAGCTAGGTAGTTACTGGTTAGATTACTTAAGATTGTGTAACATGTACTACTTGTCCGAATAAAAATAAGTAGTATCCAGTAAGAAATCGTTGGGCATAGGGATAACAGTGGAGGTTTTGAAGAAAGAAACAATAAATATCCTAGGGAAGTACAACGACATTTTATCTTTCATGCAGAATGCTAATAATGCTAATGTTACTGATAGGAGTACAATAATTACTGAATTCAATGAAGTACATTCGGCTATGGAATTCACATGCAAAGAGGAATCCCAAGACAGAATTGCCTTCCTGGATGTCCTACTTAAAAGAAAACCAGATGGTAGCATAAAAAGAAACTTGCATAGAAAAAGCACAATATACACACTTTCACAGCTTCGTTCCTATCAATTACAAAAGAAATTTAGTGAAGACCCTCAGCCACAGAGTTAGAGCTATATGCTCAGAGGAAGTAATTGAAGACGAATTAAGCATTGTATTTGATACTTTGATCGAAAATGGTTATCCTGACAAATTTATCAAGAAACACATGACAAAGAAAGCGGAAAGGGACTACTCACTGTCTGTAAACAAGAAGCCACTTTTTATACGACTACAATTCATGGGCGATTTACCAAGCGAATTAATTACGAAGAAATAAGGAAAATCAGTTCAAAGAACTTTTAATGCTGGCGAACTACACGTCTTATTCTCTACACGACCGATGGTGCTACCTTGACTGAAAGATGAAGTACCTAGACTGGCCACTTCAAATTGTATTTATCAATTCAACTGCGCTTGTGGAGCGAGTTATGTTGGCCGTTGCTCTAGGAAATTGATTTTTCGTGCTCGAGAACATATCCCACTATGGCTAAGTAAAGGTGTAGTTAAAACTATTAACAGCTCGATATTAGACCATCTGGTGCAAACCGGTCACAAAGCCAGCCAGCGTAGAAGAATCCTTCTCTATAATATACCGGGTGCCTAACAAACTACCAAAATCGTCGAAGCACCGCATGCTCCAAACAGCAGAGGCTATTGCAATTCGCCTCAAACAACCAGTGCTCTGTGTTAAAAAAAACGAATCCAGCCCCTACTACTGTCCTGGCCCTCAGTAGAGACTATAAACTCATGAATTTGTACTATTATCTTTCGTAATTCTTCTGACACTCAGCTTATTTTATGTTGATGCTGTTCAGCTGTAATCTATCAATATTACTGATTTGATGTTATTTAAACATTAATGCTATTGTTTGTAAAAAATTGCGTTAAATGCAACATTGTAATATTTGATCAGTACTCAAGGTAGTCTCCATCTGCCTTCATCATCGTCCTATCCTACACAATAGATCTGGTTGTTAAATTACTTTGTGCATGTACAAAATAAAAATGATTGTGATTAATGTATAGATAATACCTTACCATAAGTTCACAATGAATCACTTTATTTACTAGGCGTATTTCTTCCAGACAGCTGAATTAATAGACAGGTCATCTTCTACGTTAACATCCTAACCAAGTGGTGCCAATTAAAGAATCACTAAAAAGCAAGGAGCACTGGCTAGCTATTTCTTCCTAATTTGACACTCATCCTCAGTTCACAACTACGAGTCAAACAGGAGTCGAACTAATGACTTTCAGATTTCAAGGATAATAAATTTACCATTCACTCACTGAGATGAGACCTGAAAGTCAAAGGGATTAAAACTTCTGTCATTTCATGATATAGTGCTACGGTCATTTAATGTTACCGACAAGAGTCTATTCTCACATCCAACTGTTTGGAGCTAACCAGTCACGGATTCTCACTGGTGAATGGAGGACTAATACTGAGATTCCTTATGGGACTCGTGGGTAACTATATCTTCTGCACTGTATTATTTTGGGTTTCTAATTACTGATTCGTAACTTCATTTAGGCAACCTAAACTTTATGAGACGATACTTGCGGTCAAAAAGAACGATTTCAACACTGTTATTCTCCATGAGCTGGGTGGTTTTACAAGGCATCTTCCAAGGGTGCTGAAATAAACCTAAGGCTAAAATAAATAGATCAAATTGAACCAGTTTAATATTAACTGAGTAAATATCTAACTGGCCTGAGAATGCTTCAGGTATCTTAAGTTTTGTTTTAACGGGTACACATCAGACCAAACCCAGACGACATTTTTGGTCCGCCTTTTGTGCTGAAGACACACACATGCCCAAGATTCATAGTTCAGCCATAGTAGTCAAATAAATTATCGATTCTTTTTCCCTAATAACTTTAACATTTCATTATACTTAAATATATTGCTCATAAGAGTGCGTTTCGTAAGGCTGGTATCAACAGCACAACCCTAAACAGTTTACTCATTAAACAACTACTGTCATTCTAGATGACATCTTGAGCAAAAAGCGGAATCCATCAAGGGGATCCAAACCTGTATTAGAGAATGTTGCAGTCAGAGGAGTTAATCCTGAATTGTTTACTGCACCATATACTTACAGTCAGATAATACTGATACGTGAAATTACTTCACAAAGACGGCCATCTTAAAGTGATAACCCAACTGGACATGTAGTTGATAAAATACAATCCATGTTTAGACCTAAAGGACATGATACTGTTTGCTTTGTTAGGCTAATATATATATATATGGGTATATATGACGAAGCAAAAAAGAATTAACATTTAGCAATTACCTTCTGCGTGTAGAACACCACCCAGTTGATTACGAACGAAAACATTATTTGTCAGGTTAGCTCGAATACCATTGGCTAGTTGATTAGCTAATAGAACCATATAGACAACATCTCCAGAGTGTCTGCCGATATAAGAATTCTGTAGAACTAAATTACGTGAATTCATCAAATGTAATTTGACAGCTGGTGGGCCGGTTAAGTTTAAAACAACTACACCATTATCTTCTAGTCGTAAATTTGATAAATGTATGTCTGGTCCAAATTCACCGACGCTAGTGATCTGCAGTCCACCACCTTGATTATTAAGAAACTCACATGTATCTATTTCATGCCTGATGAATCTATCTATTGAATGGGATAAAAAAGATTAGTAGTAAAACTTGTCATTATTTTGTCTATACATTATAAGGTGGCTGATTTATGACATGTTCAAATTATGATATTTATTTAAGCATGTTACTTAAAATGTAATTAAGTAGTATAAAATTAAACAAAAAATATATGTGTACACATTATGAGAAATTTTGAAGTTTGGCAGAGTACTTATAGGAGGAATAATATTGAAGATAGAGATATACCGTTTGCATTGAGCAACTGTAAAACTACAAAGGAATATTATTTTAATTGTAGTGAAAATTGATGCAGAAGCATGAGTGCATTCTTTGAATACTCTACCTTGACTAGAAGGGGAAGAAAACGTGTAAATGTGACGTACTAATCGATATCCTATCTTGTTTCCTTGTAGAAAGAGGCTCCAAGACTAAGTTTCGGATACAGAAGCATCAGCGGATGCAAGAAATACTGGTAGATTGTCAGGGCCAGGCACCCAAGCCTTAACAATTTTGTTTTCTACTGAATAGAGTGAATACACGCTCCTTGACAAGTCAGAGTTCTGATTTCATTCTCTTTCTTCCTGTTGCACTTGATCCCCGCAAGTTCATTAAAAAAAGCTTGAATGAAATCCAAATATGTCTTCGACAACCTGTTTGGAGTAATTTTCCTCTGATATGAGCTATATGGCTGAGTAGCTTAACCGAAAAAAGTCAGCGTTTTGAAGGTTTTAAGACAAGACGTCCATTGAAACTGGTTTAACGATTTGTGGTCAAGTTCTAGAGATTTAGACTCTACACCCAACGAATGTAAAGACAGGCTGCCGTCATCACCATTTGATATTTTTGAAGAGAAGTGAACCAGAAGAAAACATAATGTTCATCAACTAATCTTTGTTTTCTGGTATTATTTGAGCTAAGTGAGAGAGGTAATGGCCTATGTATGATCATAGGTAATTTGTCACCAAGCTAGGCGAATTCATCAGTCCTCATTTCATTAACAATGGACTGAATAGTTTCCTATTATCTCACTGACACTTTTAAAACTTTTCCTCATTGATTTGATCATTATTATTATTGTTCTCTTGGGTTTCATGTAGAAAATAAGGCTTCAACAGCACCTTGCTATTCCACCCTTTTCTCTGCATCCCACCGTTGTTGGCTACACAAGTGTCCATTACCTCTCATTTCGTCCTTACACAGTCCATCCCATATGACCATCGGGACCACCGTAAACTCATTGTTTTCCATCCGACTTTCACTCAGTGGTCTCACCAGTGCATATCCCATCCCTCTTCATTGCCTCCCACGTACTTGTTGGGCAACAGGTCCCTGGTTAGTTCTTCGCCAGCCTTCCCTGTTGCTTATCCCTACCTACCAGTATCGAGCAAGCAAAGTCAGGTGTTGATGAAAGTCTGCACTTTGTTGTAAATGCTTTAGGTGACGTGTGCTCCATACCTTTGAACTACACAGAAGCACTGACTGACCGAAGGTTAGTGTTAAAAATACGAATCCTGTTCCTTATGCTGAATGCAGAAGATTCCCGCACTGATTTCAGATTAGTTAAGGTCGGTCTTGCCTTTCTGATCCTGACTGGCTTTGAAATTCTCATCTTTCCTGTCTACTACCTTCTCACAGTTAAGTGAAAGAGGTGACTTCCTTTAGATTTCGCCTGTTGATGGTAGCTGATGCTCGTTGTTGTTGGTTGGATATTTTCATCACTACATAATTTACATGTTCATCTTCTTATTATTAGTAATATTTCTTTTTACTCCTTTACGCTTTCAGTGGAACATAGGGCTTGAGGCTAGAGATTTTAAGTTTCGGTAACAATGGTGTTTATTTTTACGTGATGGGTTTGCTAGCCTCACGCCCAACCTTCCCTCTTTACCAGTCTTATTACTGGCTTAGTGAGGTGAAGGAGTGCATCGACTGGGTATTGAACCCTGAAGCACATGAGGCATGGTTGGCGAGCATCCCACCGCTGTGCCACTAACGCACAATTAGTAATAATAGTTAATAAATCATACAACTAAAAATAGCCTTACATATAAGGGGAACTTACTCATTTCGTGCTGTTTACGTCCAGTTGATAATGGTAGACTAACAATTTCAGCAATAAATCCATATTTATCACTAGCTGAACTAGCGTGTACATGGACACTAAGCTCATCACTAATCGGTGATGTAATAAATGTAAATCTTTTGCTAACTGGCATATTTTCATTGACTAATATATCTGATGTTAATGCTGCAATCAATTGATTCTTGTTAAAATTTACTCCATTGTATAGTTGTATAACATTCTAGTGATTATAAAATCAACAAATGAAATAATTTAATCGGTAAAGGCGAATAAAATTAAGGATATTTAAAATTCAGTTTACAAGTATATTAAAGGAAGGCAGCTTTACACTTCAGTCAGCTTTATTATTGCAGTGTTTCCTTTAATTCCTAGAGGAACATAGGGCTTCAGCCGCGCGTCTCCATTGCGTTCGGTTCTCTGCTAGAGTCCTCACCTGGCTCCAAGTCTGCTCACACGTTTTCATCTCCTCTTCACATGACCTCCTCCAAGTCACCCTCACCCTTGCACTGACGACGAACTCACCGATTCCCTTTCGGGTTCCACTCGAGCAATGGCTTGTCTAGTGATGTCACTTGATGGATTGTTTCCTCAGAGTATGGCCAGTCAATCCATCTCCGTTTCTTCCTGCCTATTTGTTTCACAATTGGTTAACGCTATGTTGGTTCGCTCATTGCCAGAGATCCATCCCTGTTGCCGATCTTTTCTGGCTGGCCATCTGATCTTGAGCGAAGTATTGAGCGAAGACAACTGTTAATGAAGGTCTGTAGTTTGTTTGAGTTGCTCTTTGTTACCCGCCAAGTCACATTGGAGTTGCAAATCTGGATCATATTTTTGACGGTGAGTGCTGTTGACCTCCACACAGACTTGAGAGTAGTGAAAGCTTGTCTTGCTTTTCCAATCGATTCTTGCTTTGATATCCTCGTCAGTTCCGTTCTCCTGTAGTTGAAACGATGCTTCCCAGGTAGGTAGGTGGGTAAAGGAGGTTGTTTCTTTCAGGTTCCTCCCATTTATGCTGAAAGTTGTCTGTTGTTGTTGTTGTTGCTGTTGGTGGTGTTGCCCAGGAACCTTCATCACCTCTGTTTTCTCTATGTTCACATGAAGTCGTATCTTTGATGCTTCTTCTACCAACTTGTTGCTTTTTGCTTGCATATCTTCCAGTTTGTGGGAAATCAGACATATATCATCGGCGATTCATAGGGATTATTCTGAACTTCCTGTTGATTGTTTTTAATGAACAGAAATGCTCAGTTTATGTTGACACATCAGGTTCTAGTGCGGGAAATTAGATGATATCTGTGGACTAACATGGTGCATGGTGACTAACAATGGAACCCAGGATGCTCACTTCATCCTATTTAGGGCTCTTCATCTAGATGTAACTGTATCTCACTGAGTTATGGATGATGTTATCTCTGAGACTTCTTCGTGATGGTGTGGTGAGGTTGACATCTATGTTGAGCGGTCTGTGGATGAAAGCTTAAGCTCATACACTACATTAATAGTATCGTAACCTAGTTAGGTAGAGAGACAAACCCGGTTGTGCAGTGTTTAAATTTGCTCAAATCACTTCCTTAAGTAAATTTGATGGGAAGTAGTCAATTCAGAAGATAATAAACTGAACCATTTTGAACCCATTATTTATTTTTAAGTCAGTTTCGAATTTCCCATTGATAGATTGGACGGAGACGTTTTACCACTGTAACCTTTTCAGCTCCTAATACGGACACTTCGACAATGTTTGTGGATTAACTTGAAGTGAAATCCAGGATGTGTATTTTGTTCTATTTGGGACTTGTCAGCTGGATCTTCCTGCGAGCCTTAGTAAGGAATAGCGTTCCCACTGAGACTCGAACTCAGTATCCATCATCTCAAACTCCAAGGCGTTATCAACTAGACTACTTGGGTTCGAGTCTGGGCGGGGACACCATCACTTCCTAAGATTTACAGGCACATCCGGATGACGAGTCCAGAACAAGACGAGATGCGCATCCAGTATTTCACGGCTAGTCATCATCCGTCAAATTACTTCGAAATGACACACAAGTAATAAATATAAAGCTTTATATCTCAACCTTTGTCACTATGTAAAGAAAAGTGACTTAGTGAACAATTTAATGGTTTCTAGAGTCAGTAACAGTAACTTGTTCTAATGTATTGCCTACTGCACCTTCATATTTAAAGGCTGTATTCATTTTTTAGTAATCTTTCAGGTCAGTGAAGGTAATTTACTTGTGGAAGAGTGGAAAGCTTCAGTGATAATCTATATTTATTTGGATGTTTCAACTCACTATGTAACTAGAAAAAGGAGAACGAAAACGGGTGTATAGTTCAGTGACAGAACATCTGGTCAATTCAGGACATTCAGCGCCATTCGAAAAATCCTTCAAAATAATATACAAGATTAGAACAAACCTATTAATGGGAGTAAAATTAAGATATCTGGGAATAACGGAGGCACTAGCCATCCAAAAGCTCAAAGCCCCGCTATTTATCCAAAAGAAATACGTTCAACCCTTGTCCCTACCGTGGCCATCATAAACAGGTAATTCTTTTAATAGTGACTATCCCATTGCCTTTCTTATCCAAACTTCCTGTTTGTTCATGTTATTTAGAGTTTTTCTTAAACCCTAGTTACACTACCATATTTTCATATCCGAACTTCCTGTCTATTTTGTCATTTTATTATTTCTACATATTTAATCCCTAACTGCATACACAATTATTCGTCACATTATTTATGATCCCGCTAGAGTTTTTATCCAAACATCATGTCTATTTTTATTTCTTCATTTCTAATCCCTAGTTGCACAATATGTCGATCTTCTCAGTAATTATGATGCTACTTTGTTTGAGCTTTATTCGTCCCCCTGTTTATTATGGCATTTTAATTCCTAATTGTAATTCTATTAATCTGACCTTTGACCAGAAATTATTCTGGAACTTTCCTACCCATTTATTATAAATATACGAATGTACAGCCTAGTTGATGATTTCATCGAAAAGAAAATTTTCTTCGCTGCAACTGCCTTTTTGTTCCCTATGATCAAATGTGTGTATTCCGTGATTTGAAAAAGAACTATGTAATTATTATCCATTTTTCTCCTAGACTGTATATAATTATTCTGATATTTGCATATCATAGCTGCCTACGTTGTATCCCCCGTGTGAAGTGGTATAACAAGGTGAGCAATATTGAGGTGAGACCTTAGTCGAGTGCTAGGTAGGTGGGAGAGGAAATCAACAGACAAGGCTGTGAAGTTACATCGACTGAGATGGTTAGGACATGTGTTACGTATGCAGGTCTAGCCAGTGCCTTCCTTTCTTAGCTGATTAATATAGGATAGGTCGGGTTGGAAAAGAGCTAGTGGTAGTGGTGGTCAAACCAAAACATGGCTTCATCAGTCAATGAAATACACAACAATTAGTTTAAGCCACGTAGGAAGATGCAGACTTCCTGGTTAGGGTCCTCGGAACAGTAAAAGCCAATGAATGCTGGAGACAATTGGCGATTTGGCTCAAAATCGTTCTCAATGGTTGGCTCAGATGCATCCACTCCTTGTGAATTATAAAATCCAATAAAACTATATTGTTCTTCGATGTTAATATTCTTTGTGCCTTATATCTATGTTTACTGTTTCTATTTTGCATTTATTTTCACTTTCTTCTCTTGCTTTGTGTACTACATGGAGTGTGGAGACTTGAACTGTTGCCCACAGGTGCAAAGTTCTACGTTGAAACCAATCAGTCAGTCATATCATATGTTAACTGGATTCATATTATTTGTCTTTCTCACTGTTTAATCTCTAATTATAATGCTTCTCTTTGTAATTATGCTATACATTGCTAATGTGTTGTTTTACGATATGGTTTTGTTTTAGCGAATCAGGGTCATTTCGACCTTCGACTGTCTGAGGGAATTGTCGGTGTGTGTGTAATTCTTGTGGACAGAGTTTTGATCCTACCTTGTTGGGAATATACTTTCTTCGCTCTGTACTCAAGATCAGATGGCCGGAAAGAATCACCAACAAGAAGCTATGGGAACAAACAAATCAGGAACCAATCGCTCAACAAATATACAGGAGAAAGTGGAGATGGATTGGACACTCGCTGAGGAGGCCGTTGGGTGACATCGCGCGTCAGGCCAGTGCTCGAGTGGAACCCGAAAGGGAAGCGAGTGGCGAGTGGGACGTCGAAGGGTGACATTGAGGAGATCGTGTGAAGAGGAGTTGAGACAGTATGGACTAACATGGATGCAAGTGAAAAGTACAGCACAAGACAGAAGCAAGTGGAGACGTGCACAGTTGAAGCCCTATGTTCCACTAGGAACCCAAAGGAACAATAATATAATAATAATTGTTGGGAATATTCTACTTGATTCTAAGGTACTTGTTTCGTACTTATAAAAAATGACATTGTCTGCATAGCTGTCTAACGGCACTGTTAAGGTGATTTTGAGTTTTCAATTTTATTATTATTGTTGAAAAAAACCACAAATTCTAGCAATGAATAATCGTCATTTCTGCCGTCATTGGAGCGTTTTGTGACTGTGTGTGTGTGTGTGCCTCAAGGAGGTTTTTTTAGCAATACAGTAGGACGTATAGATCGGTTTCCTGCATTTTGGTTTTGATCTCAACACCGGGTTGGCAACACATGATCGTATCTAACTGAGGAGTTTCAAATAAGACGAAACATATTCTATATTCGCTTGCTTCTACTTTATACAGTGTAATGCAGACTGAAATATTTTTCATTTATTCAAGTGCACTACTTATGTATTCATCAGTCTATTTATTGCTCTAGTGGTTACTAGTGTCTGATTACAGAATGAAGTTGCCTAAAGTTTTTGTTGGGCCCACTGAGCTGGGATATTGACTGGCTGTAGAGAAATATACCGCGAATTGGTAGAAATTAGAACTGACGGGCCATCGCATTCCGTCCCAGTAGCTGAATGGTCAAGGAGCATGCCTTATAAGCTCAAGATCCTGAGTTCGGTCCTTAATGAGGTCATGGGTGTGTACAGATGACGAGTCCTAGATGAGGAAGAAACAGATATTTGGTATTCCCTGGTTCTCAGTGGTTCTCTAACTGAATACAATTCGTGGCCTGTCTTGAAATCAACCATTTGAAAACATCCATTTATCAGTTTAATTTGAAACTGGGGTTTTAAAGCATGTTGAAAGAAATTTTAAACTAATCGAATGACACAAATCTATAAGTCCTGTGATTTCTAATTACACCAGAAGATCAGTTTTCATTTATCTTTATGTCGTTTACATTTCTGTCTATTCGTTTTTTCCTTATTGGTATAAAACGTTTTATTTCTAGTTAAGGTAATTTTTCTATAGTACATGGTCACAAAAAGCGTTTCCAACAGGCTACTCCAGACTTATATTAGCACCTGCCTTCGCTGACTCTGTACTGAAGATCAGATGACTGTCTCGAAAGAATATAAGCAACAAGATACTATGGCAAGGAACCAACCAGGAATCCATCACCCGACAAATATGCAGAAAGAAATGGAGGTGGATTAGAAAAACACACTGAGGAGACCGTTAAGTGATATCACTGACTAGGCCCTTGATCGCGTCCATAGGCCTGGGTCCAAAGTTGACGTGGAGGAGATAGTATGAGAAGTAACTAAAGGCTTATTAACAATCAAGGAGTCAGACAGAGAAGACTTCAGAGAACACAGTGAAATGACTATGCTCTGTTGAAGTCCTCTGTTTCACTCGGAACCTAAGAGAGTAATGTTAATAATAAACAAACGCATACCTTGATCAATGGGTCATTATATAAATTGACAGCTAAGAATCTCCATGCCAATCGACGTCCTGGTATTGTTGAACGAAATACTTTTGTACATGTGCGTATACCATGAGACCATGGTGACAATGATGATGATGAGTATTTAAAGTGAATAAGAATCCTGTCGAGTACAGAGAGGACTTTCTCACTTGAACACATTGAAATTAAACCTGCCATGTGTTCTTCTTCACTTTGAATTGGATATACAAATAATGGTTGACGGGATAAATCTTCTATCTTTTTATGAAATAATTCTCCAGATAATGGTTGTGGTAATGGGAGCAAGGAATTCTGTTCCGGTGGTAAGACTGACGGATTATTGTAGAAAGACTAAAAGGAGAGAAGAGTATTTGTGTTAAGAAGATGGTAAAAATTTGCGGTAGGTTTGAAATTATTACAAGTGCATAATGCTAAGAAAATCATGTAGACTGAGTACCGATACATAAACAATAAAGACCAAGTTTCTCGAAGTTTACAGAGACTGTAGCTATCAAATAGTTAAAACCTGACTTATGTATTCAAATAGAGTCTGTAGTAGGTTTTTCTCTGTCTTGGTAACTTGTCTTTTAACTTTAATTGGTTATATCAGCTCTCTCTTACCTAAAATAATTTAGAAGATTTGTAGCTCAGGTGAATGATTTGGAATTAGTTTGTAGCGACAGAAGGTAAGACACGGAAGCCAAAGTATATTTTCAAGTGATCAAACCTCTGTTTATATATCTACACTTTATATTCTTTAACCAATCACTGAGTGTGTGATTTCGGTTTACAACAAACGACGTGAAATACAATGTTCAAATATGCATAGTATTCTGTTTTTAATGCTGGAATGAACTGTGGGAATATGTGAGAATAATATTCCGTTGGCAGACAATGCCTGTATCACACCACCACAAGTTGTGTCCCCTGAGCTGGTTGTTTTAACTGCGAAGCTTTTGTCATCCTTCTGGACAACATCATCAGCTCAAGTTTTAGCATAAAATGAACTGATTTAAATTCTATATGAATGATATAATTGTGTCTCGTGGCGAACATCTTCGTGACTGGTAGTCAATTTACATCTGTAGTCATTATTTTTTATTGATTTGGAATTTGAGCTTTCTTGTCGTGTGATTTACTTTTTGTTAGTTGGTAAATTTGGTCTGTATTAAATTTTAAATAGAGGAAACACCAAAAGTGCCGGAGAATTCCTAGGAGCCTGGTACTCACGCGAATCAGCAGTTAATAAACACATTATTGTAGACCAAATTTACCAACTAATAAAAGTAAATCACGTGACAAGAAAGTTCATATTCCAAGTCAATAAAAAATAATCACTACAGATGTAAATTGACTACCAGTCACGAAGACGGTTACCAGGACACACAGTTCTATCATTCACGGAGAATTCAAATCAGTTCATTTTATGCTAAAACCTGCGCTGATGATGTTGTCCAGAAGGACGACAAGAACTTCGCAGTTAAAACAACCAGCTCAGAGAACACAACTAATTCCAAATCTCTCTTAATTAGTTACATCGCCATTTAATTATTATTATTTCCTTTAATTTCTAGAGGAACATAGGGCTTCAGCCGTGCGTTTCCATTGAGTTCGGTTCTCTGCTAGAGTCTTCACCTTGCTCCAAGTCTGCCCACACGCCTTTATCTCCTCTTCACATGACCTCCTCCAAGTCACCCCACCCTCGCACTGACGACCAACTCGCCGCTTCCCTTTCGGCTTCCACTCGAGCAATCGCTTGTCTAGTGATGTCACTTGATGGTTTGTCTTCCCAGAGTATGGCCAGCCAATCCATCTCCATTTCTTCCTGCCTATTTGTTTCACAATCGGCTCCTGCTGAGTTGGTTCGCTCATTGCCAGAGATCCCTGTGTCTGATCTTTTCTGGCTGGCCATCTGATCTTGAGTATTGAGCGAAGACAACTGTTAATGAAGGTCTGTAGTTTGTTTGAGATGCTCTTTATGACGCGCTGGCCAAGTCTCTGATCCGCATAGTGAGTAGCACTGACTGACTTCCCATTGGAGTTGAAAATCCGGATGTTATTTTTGATGGTGAGTGCTGTTGACCTCCACAAAGACTTGAGAGTAATGAAAGCTTGTCTTGCTTTCCCGATCCTCGCTGCTTTGATATCCTCCTCAGTTCCGTTCTCCTGTAGTTGAAACGATACTTCCCATGTAGGTAGGTAAAGGAGGCCGTCATTTAATAAACGCCATGGTTCACATTATCTGATACCTAACTCCAATTATTTTCCATATCTCATTTATTTACTAACACTTTTCTACTGACTTACGTAATCTTACAATCTGTGCTCCTCAATATCGTGTTGTTACCGTTGCTCCCCGCTTTTTGTTTGATTCCAGGAACTTCTATGAGACTACACGTATAAGTACATCAATATTTGATATTTTACCAAATTAAAATTTCGATTCATCCACACATGCTATGATCATTGTTAAATATTCGTTCCATATTTGATCTCCAATGAACTAAACTATGTGAATACTGTAACAGAACTATTTAGGTTGTATGCAGGCGACACGATACCGAAAATATAAAAGATAGGTCCGTTTCTTTCTGAGCCATGCATTATCATTGCTTTGTTCAAATTCACCAATGGAGAATTCGTGTATGAAAATTAACACTAATTTTTGATGAATAAATGAGATCTTTGTGTTTTTGAAACAAAATACATCGACAAGGCTTCTCGAATTCTGACCAGGTGCTTGGGAAAGTTCGTAATTTGCAAGTTACACAGTTCGAGGTGAAATTTCACCAGAGTGGGCGGTATAATAATAATAATAATTTGCTTTATTCCAAAACAGTACATGTGATACAGAAAGGAATTCTCAGCATTTTTACTACAGTATTGCATCCAGTTAGTACATTATCAATAAATAGAATTCTACATAGATTAAAGAAATCTCACTTCATTATGACAACAACACATTGGCATGTCGGTAGCAAAGGTAAAGCTGAACAGTGTTTGAAGTTATTAGAAAAGTAGGTGCTATCATATTTACTGGCGTAAGCGAGAGAAAGAAACAAAGCAGCACATAACGGAAAAAGAGAGAGAGAGAAAAGGAACAGAAAGAAAGAAAATGTTGTACCTATAAATGATATGAGTTGTAAAGACGAGGTCCAGTTGTACTACTGACTATTTAATGAATTATAGGTGAAAGCAAACATTATTAGAAATAGACCATTTGGAGTGAATAAAAGTTGCAACGCCGCCCCCATTTTTCTTATTACAACATTGTCAGTCTTATCTAAATACGATGAAGTCCTTTAGTGAGATGAGGTTGTCATCATACAGTTCATGTAACCACGTTTCTTGTAATGTGATTATGGTAGTATTATGATAAGTTTCAGTGGACATCAAAGATTGTAGGTACATTATCTTGTTAGGCAGAGAGCGGCATAATGACAGGGACCGTAGTTAGGTGTATTGGTGTACGTTTAAGAGCTCTCTGCCAACCGCTACGATGCTTCCTCCTTGATTTCTTGGGAATATGAAAGTCATTTATAAAGTTACGAGAGTAAATGATCCTGTTAGAATTCATATTTAGGCGATAAATAAATGGGAGTAAACGGTAGATTAGATGAAATATGTAGATATTATAATAGCAGGCCCCAAAATTAGAACAGGCCGCAAAAGTCAAGGTCTTATAGATATCCACCTTAAAGGTATCCACCTACTCATATCAATCAGGCAGTAGTATGTAGCGCCATTTCCGTAAACTTGCTTTCTTCATTACCATTAATCGTGATTTTGTGATCTGAACAATTTCCAGTTCACTCAATACCGAAATGTTTCTCCAAACCACTAGATGTGATCTTAGTTTCAAAATATATAAAGTTAATTAATGTCTGATGAGTAAATTGACAGACTTCTGATTTAAATATTTTTAATCACAGAATATTTACCGAAAAAAGCGGTTAGTCTTGTGCAAAACTGTATGATACATGCGACATTTGCTACGCACGCTAAATCATCTAACTTTATTTTATCAATGAACAGTGTTGGTAAAACAGGGTGAAAACACATCCTGAATCCATGTAGACACTGACTACTGATTTAATCCACACAGGAACGTTTAGGATATCTACCTCGGGTAATCCAGAGGTCAAGAATTCTTGGTTGGAGATGAAAAACTTTAAAATACTTCATAAGAGTTCACACTTATTCGTTCTTTATTCTCATCGAAATTCTTAAAATATCCACTAATTTTTATTCAAATATTGTTTCTCCTGTCATCCAATATTTGTCTTTGTGTGTACATCTTTTCAATTCTACGGAGAGTTCTACAATGACTTATCTGTCTTCCTCTCTATCAGATTAAGTATTTAGATGGTTTGAACAATTCGGATATCTGAGGAGAATAAGGCGAAATACTGACTGTTTCAACTGCTCTGTTATCTGCTGTCATTTTAAGTTAGCTCCAAAACTGACCATAAGCTCTGCATCTCCCTCTTGCATTGTCTCATTCAAGTCCAATCTCAGACCAACGCCCGACTCGTCGTTTCCCACTCGGGTTCCACCCGAGGGTCTAGCCTGTGATGTCAACTAATGATCTCAGTGCATGCCTGATCCACTTCCATTTGCTTTGGCATATTTGTTGAGAGATAGGTTCTTGGTTGATTCGTTGAAGGACTTTCTTCTTGCTTATCCTTTCTGGTCTGTCATCTGATCGTCAGAGTCAACCTAGAGAAGACAGGAGTTGGTGAAAGTCTATGGGCGGCTGCTGGAATGCTTTAGGTAACGAATGCGTCAAGTGTCTAAACCGTACAAAAGTTCTAACTGACTTGACATTAGTGATGAAGATCCGCATCTTGTAACTGTCTTCATTGCCTCTTCTGTCAACTTGTTGGTTTTCTCCTGTAGATTTTTAAGTTTGCGTGACATTATATATATCATCCTCAAAGTTGAGATCTTTTAGATCTCCCAGTTCTTGTCGGTCCAGTGTATGCTTGTCCTCTGGCTCCCCACAGTTTACTGCATTATCCAATCCACCACAGTCAGGAGAATCATCGGTAATAGTAGGCGGCCTTGTCTTACTCCTGCCTTCATTTCAAAGACTTCTCTGAGCTTTCTTTCAGGAATCACTTGGCTTGTGGCATTATCATATAGCTTTTGAATTGAGTATATTAAAGCTAGTCTCAACACACTACGTAGTGCTGAAGCAGTTTTCGAATTACTTCACGCTGCTGAGGGCCTTTTCAAGTTGACTGCCATTCTATGTTCTGTCGAATAACGATGATGCTTAGCATTGTAGTCTGTTCCACATATGATTTACTTTTCCTGAATCCAGCTTGTTTTTAGTAGATTTCCACATTCAGAGCTTCTTTTAGTTTATTCTAAGTTACGATCAATCAGTGCCACAAATTGAAACGAATGTTTTCAACTACTTCAATCATTTGGTAGTAGTATACATAATTATGACTTCACTTTCTAAATTAATTCATCTTTCACTTATCCAGGCAGCATCGTTTTAACTACAAGCGGAACGGATCACTATGTCAAAGGTACTATCGGAGAACCAAGGCAGACCTTCATTAATCTGAAGTCAGTGTGGAAATCTACTGCACTCAGAATGAAGAACAAGATCCAGGTCTTCAGCACTAATTTCAAGTCAGTCAGCACTTCTTTATGGTTCAGATACTTGGTGCACACATCAAGAAAAGCATTTCCAACAAACTATGGACTTTCACCAACATTTGCATTCCCCAGCTCCATACTGAAGATCAGACAACTGACCAGAAAGGATAAGCAAGACGGAACTCTGGTAAAGAACCAATCAAGAGTCTATCGCCCGACAAATACATAAAAGAAAATAGGAGTGGACTGGGCACACACTAAGGACATCGATGAGTAACCCCTGGGTGTGACATGGAAGAGACTGGGTATGGGGGAAATGAGAGCTTGTGAGCAATCGTAGGATCATCTAAAAAGAACTGCAGAAGACAGAGTGAGATGTCGATATGCTGCTGAAGCCCTATGCTCCATTTGTAACCCAAAGGAATAATTATAATGTACAATACAATTATAATATTCAATAAATAAATAAATTTTTAAATAAATATTCATTTCAAAATGAACAATTACTTTAGAATCTTCTGTACCAATTGTAACTGGATCCGTAGAATCACCATTTAGCATAGTTAAGCCTAACCCGTAACCAAGACAACCATTTACAGTACTGTTAGTAACTTTTATTGGACCATTGGGTGTAATAAATTCAAAACCAGAGGCAAGACAATTGTTTATCCGAATGAATGAAAGTCTGTTTGTAGAGAGGAAAGAAATGAGGAGAATTATACAAGTTATTAAAGATGTATGTTTTTACTAAAGAAATATCTTTGCCTTACGAGTGGTACATAGAGCTTTTAGCTTGAGACCTTGAAGTTTTAGTAGTGGCGGTGTGGGTTTTTAACAAGGTGGATTCACTAGTCTCATGTCCAACTTTCCCCCTAAATCTAACTTACTATCTTCCCGTCGTTTAGCAGTGTGTCGACTGGGAATACAACGCGGATCAAGTGAATAGTTGACGAGCATTCTACCATTGAACCACTGACTTACACAGACATATTTATTATTTTATTCCTTTACGTTCCCAGTGGAGCACAGGGCTTCAAGCTAGAGACTTGAAGTTTCCGTAGCAGTGGTGCTTATTTTTACGGATAGGGTTGCTAGCCTCATGTCCAACCTTCCCTCTTTACCAGTCTTATTACTGGCTTAAGGAGGTAAAGGAGTGCATCGGCCGGGTGTTGAACCCCGGACCACATGAGGCGTGGTTGGCGAGATTTCTACCGCTGTGCCACCGACGCACTACACAGATATTTGGGGAAACACAATGAATATAGAAATAGAGATTCACCTCAGTAATTTTGATTTTTTAATATGACATCTAGACTGATGCAGACTGACGCATAAACTACTTTTTGGTGATCTAATAGAACTGCATACCTGATATAGGATACTTTATAGAGAGTAAACCTACAACGAAGTCTTTAGACTGAGACTTAACAAGTTGTGCGTATTTCGTCGACAGAGAAGATACACGCTAATATAAATAGGAAATGAACAAAAAACATGCAATTTAAAGGTAAACTGTACCATCTCATTATGACAACGACTGTTTTATTACAGGTAATACGTTTACATACAGTAGGAAATTCTCAGCATACTGTACCACTAAATGTGTTTTAGTCACAGGCATTCTTCTATCACCTGCGCTATTTTGTGTATGGCAGAAGCGTTGGGAATTCATCGGTGTAACTCCGAACTCTGTATACAGAACAAGTTTGTTCAGTCTCTTATTCTATCATGGTCTTAACCTCTTCACTAGTCGTTCCCTGTAAAAAAATATTATTAATTTTCAGTTTTACTTTTATTTTGCTCTTACTTTAATAATCAGTTCACTATTATCTCTCTTATATGATCCTTTTGTATATTTTCACACCCTCTTTATACTTGTTAAATTGAAGCTCAACTACCTCTCACTCAATAACAATTTTAACCTTATCAGATTCCTAACGCTTTCTTCCTTTGTGCCGTTGAGTACTACGTAATTTAAAACTTTTATTTTCACTTCTAAAGCCTTTTCTGAGTAATTATATCAATTGTCACCCCCTATTGCTCAATAATAGACCACTATACATTTTTGGTAACTATAAATACGACCGTATAGCCTCTGAAGATGATTTCGTCGATAGAGAAAATTTTCTTCGCTGAATCGTCCTTTATTTTCTTCATGACTCAATGGGTATTTACGATATTTTTCGTAAATTTTTTTCAAAATATGCATTATAGGAAGGATGAAGACTATTTAAAAGTATGCGTGAGTACAGATCATTATTTAAGAAGGAAAGTGAACTAAATATAATATAAGATAGAGGTAACTTGAAGCATTATTCTGGATAAAAAATTATGCAACCCAAACGGCTAAGCGATTTATATATTTATATATATATATTCAGGAAACATTATCTTGTAAGAACAGAAGGCAAGACACGGGAGCCAAGGTTTATTTTTCATTGATCAAACCGCTGTCTATATATATATATAGTCTGTATACTTTAAACTATCACTGAGCTTGTGATTTCAAATATACATAGTATTTTGTTGTTGATGCAGTATATAACCGTGGGAAAAGTATTCTGTTTCTATCATCAAATAGATTGCTCAAATAGATATATCGTATTTTTGTTGTAGTTGCCTTCTCTGAGTTGAATGGTTTAGTTGCCAAGCTTTAATTATCTTTCTAGACATCATCTTCAGCGATAACTTCAGGATGAAGTCAGATTTTAGAATTCGCCATGAAAATATGAGCCATCTGTCCTTATGAAGTTTAGGGTGATCAGCTGTCTAAGGAGAATGGCTTATCTTCTCGCTCGCTTTCACTGATAATGATAATTTTTTGACTTAGAATATGACCATTAGTCCATATGAATTATTTTTCATTGCTTGATAAGTCAGATATGCATATCAATATGTTTATTGATTACAGATCCATTTGAGTACCAGACTCCTAGAAATTTCCTGATATTCTAGATGTTCATCAAGACAGATGATTATTAAATTCATGAGGAATTCTAAAAGATCATTTCATCTTGAAGTTACCACTGACGACGTTGTTTACAAAGACAGTGGAAGCTTCACAATTGATCTGCCTAGCTGAGGGAAGATTGTTCATATCTCGGCGGTGGCACAGCCGTAGGAATCTCGCCAACCACGCCTCACGTGGTTCGGGGTTCGATACCCGGCCGACGCACTCCTTTACCTCGCTAAGCCAGTAATAACACTGGTAAAGAGGGAAGGTTGGACATGAGGCTAGCAACCCCATCCCACAAAAATAAACACCACTGCTACTGAAACTCCAAGTCTCTCTCTTGAAGCCGTATGTTCCACTGGGAACGTAAAGAAATAAACAAAATGTCACTAACAGTCGACGTATAGCCATTTCTCAGGTTTTTATTTAACATACTTACTTTAGTGACTTTGAAAAAAAATCATTTTCCGCTAAACAAAGCAAACAACAAATAGAAGACATAATGATATGTTCGATTCAAATGCTGTTTTCCGAATTAATGCTGTCTTTGTCATATGCCTTAAGGACAGTTGGAAATTAAATTCAGGAATCGATCATCGAAAGCTGTACCAAAAAATAAGTAGCTCGAAGAACCTTTTGTTAACTCAAAAATCAAATCCTGAATTATAGATTTATTTTCAAATTGTGGAAGATACCCATCAGGATGTTAGAAGAAAACTAACAATAAGCTCAGCGAACAGATATCTTTTCGATGATTTCATTGACAAAAGCTACACAATCGCATTTCCGTACATAAGTTGTTCACACAGTTACAATCATTGTTTAATTCAGCACAGTAACGAAAGGAGATTAACGGTGATAATAATCTTCAACTTGGTATAAAAGTTTGATGATGAAAATGTAGACCGCAGGTGTCTTAGAGATAAATCTACACAGGATTACGTAATATGAAGAATAGTTTTCAGGGTAGACAGGTGTGAACGGGATGACCACGAAAACAGATGTGACGAATAAACGGAAAATGAAAACTAAGGAGTCACGCCAAACTAGATCCACTGTGACTGTATATGTTGAACTAGGATCTTTTGAATATATAAAGCTCTAGCTTTTCGATGTAACATGGCGAGGGCTTCTCCAGTACAAAGAATCCGATAACATTCTGCTTTTAGTAGATTTTTGTCTACTTTGTAAATGACTTTGAATGATGAGTCAGTTGAGATGCTGTGACAGGTGTTGACAAGGTTTTCAAAAAATCTACCAAAGGTATTGTATTTCCAGGTTATTCATACTGCAAAAGCCCTCGCCATGTTGCATCGAAAAGCGAGAGCTATATATTCAAAAGATACTAGTCCAACATCTACAGTCACCGTGGATCTAGTTCGGCGTGACTCCTTAGTTTTCATTTTCCGTTTATTCGTCACATCTGTTTTCGTGGTCATCCCGTTCACACCTGTCTACCCTAAAAACTATTCTTCATATTACGTAATCCTGTGTAGATTTATCTCTAAGACACCTGCGGTCTACATTTTCATCATCAAACTTTTATACCAAGTTGAAGATTATTATCACCGTTAATCTCCTTTCGTTACTGTGCTGAATTAAACAGTGATTGTAACTGTGTGAACAACTTATGTGCGGAAATGCGATTGTATAGCTTTTGTCGATGAAATCATCGAAAAGATATCTGTTTACTGAGCTTACGTGCGTCGATGGCACAACGATAGAATGCTCGCCGATTGTACATGTGGTTCAGGGTTCGATTCCCGGTCGATACACTCCTTCACCTTGCTTAGCCAGTAATAAGACTGGTAAAGAGGGAAGGTTGGGTATGAGGCTAGCAACCCATCCCGTGAAAATAAATACCACTGCTACTGAAACTTCAAATCTCCCGCTTGAAGCCCTATGTTCCACTGAAAGGAATGAAATATAAAAAAAATTTGCTGAGAATATTGTTCTTTGCTCTCTAATAGATATATTTAACTAAGGTTATTTACAGTTATTTCGAGGAGTAGGGTGTTCTTTTGAAGTTCAAAATCAGTACTGTAAACATATGTCATCTTTATATTTCTAGAATAAACAGAAAGAAATGCCTGAATATGTCACGAGTTTTCATAAAAAATATACAATGACAGCTTCTTAAGCGAAATTTATAAGTCAACGAGTGTTGTTAATCACTTTGGAACTAAATTTTTATGCTTTAAGTAGATAAAAGCCATCTCATACTCTTCAACTTACTTTGGATAAGCATTAACAACACTCAGCGCGGGAACACGTTCACCATGTAACAGTCCAGCATTTTCTATATGTACATATTCTAGTATAGATTGTTTATCATAACGTGCTGAGTCACCATTATCATTCCATGCTTTATTATACTCTTCAAAGGTTGATTGAACAATACGAATATTACCCCAGGTTAGTGTAGATAAATCTGTTGTTCTGCTTATAGTTTGTTTATTTTTCCATGCAGTTTGATTTCTTTGAGATGTACAACGTAAAAAGACAAATTCTTTGCGTTTTAAACACCTTGAAAAATAGAAAATAGAATAAAAAAAACATGAAAGAAGGAAAAGAAGTGAAGTCGGTAAGAATTGAGATTTACAGAATTACATTTTAGAAAGGATTGTTCACAAAGGAAAAAAAGCATACTAAACTATTTATTTGTTTCATGATAGCCAGCAGTATAGTCCAAGACGAGAGTTTCGTCTCGTTTGGGACTCGTCAGCTGGATGTATTTGCTCCTAAGTGAATGATGGTGTTGCGAAGAAATCATATGCCAAAATTAGGCCGACCGATATGAGTTATATTTATCAACAGGGAATGACAAACATCAATAATAATAATAATTTTTGCTTTATTCCAGAAACTGTACTAGTGGTACAGTGTGGAATTTTCAGCACATGTCTACAGTATTTGCATCTAATTTTACCAAACATTTAAAAGGAGTATTTCAGACTTCAGACTTTCAACAGTTAGTTTGTAGCTGTTTGATTTTTTTCAAGTTTGACCACGGATCGATATCACTTAGAGGACCAATGAGAACGTGGGAGTGCTAGACTCCTGTTTCGTCTAAGTCTGGGACTCACTGGCACTACTCATTCACCAGGGTTCAAATCAAGGACCTATCGGTTATAAGTCATGCTCGTAGTGTAACAGCAGAAGGCAAGATACGGAAGCCAAGTTATATTTTCAAGTGATCAAACCGCTACTTATATATATATATATACGCAGTTTTATATTCTTTAACCAATCTCTGAGCGTGTGAGTTTGGTATAAACTAAACGACATGAAACACAATGTTCAAATACCTCCCGTTATTCTGTTGCTAATGCACTATTGAACTGTGGGAACAGTGTTCAGACGTTAACATTAATAAATACAATGATTCTTACTGTGAGAATAATATTCCATTGGAAGCCATTGTCTATTTTTGATTGCACACTAGTCAGTAACTAGTGTAATGTGTCTAGTCCTATCTTCGGTGCAGACTGAATTCTATCAGTCATGTTTGCAGTGTGGCCACCATGCTACGTGGCTCGCCATTACGGTGCACTGTGAATTGTTGGTATTAGATGGTTGGAGGCAATCGGCCACAGGAAGCCTTGGACCTAGGTTTTGTGCCAGTTGGCACTCATCAGCGAGGCGCATCCGCAACCTTAAAGGAATCCATGTCCCTTCCGAGATTCGAACTCGCATCACCCAGTGCTGCAGTCAGAGACGTTACTACTGAGCTATTCAGGCTCGCGACTGACCTCCAGTAGGTGACGTGGGTTCGAATCTCAGAAGGGACATTAGTTCCTTCAAGGTTGCAGATACGCCTTGCTGATGAGTGCCAACTAGCACGAAACCTAGGTCCAAGGCTTCCTGCCGACTGCCTCCAACCATCTAATAAGCCGTTGTCTGGATCGCACCACCACAGTAGACCATTCTGTCACTGGGATCCGACTAAATCCCTGATAAATTCTAACTTCATTTTAGACTATTTACTTTTAATAAATTTGAAACATATGATGGTCTCAACATATTTAAGCAGGGTTGTTAGGTAAACTTTACCTAAAAGGAATGTCATGTATTTAATCAATACGTTTCAAACAGTCTAATCACACATGTCTACCTGTCAAATTCGATTTATGTGAAAATGAAATGATTGGAACATTAGTTAAAGAGGTACTTTTTCTAGGATTTAGTTTATTTATTCCACTAATTCTTGTTTTCCAGTAATATTCATATTATGGAGTTTTACTAAATTAGGTGTTACTTTTCTGTGTAATTTTCCAATATCTTTCGACAAGAAACGAATCATGAATTTACTCTGATCATACAAAATATGTGGCATTTTATTTTTATGGGCATATATGTTCATCACTACTACACTTGATCTATTGTCAGGTCTGTTATGCAGTTTTTTACGGCTTTGACGAGTTGTATAGTTAGAGATATTTTCAGTCTTGAATCTGAAATAGGGAGCTGAAAGACAACTTTTCTTTTAGCTATCAATGGATATATTATGGCTTGTTGGTTTGAACATTCCGTTTCCATTTAGTGTGTTTTAGGTTCAAATCCCTCTCCATCCACTTCAGCTTGGGATACCGGGTAAAATCGTTATTCCGCATACAACAAGCATGGATCACAGACTGGTAAATGAGTTCTAAGTCTGTTTATCTAAAGTCGTAGGAACCATGGAACCCAAGTGATCATATTGATTTCAAAAATGAGCACTGATGATTGAATAGAAATGGTTAGTTTGTGCAATAAAAGAATTAAATCCAAGGAAAATGGCTCCTTTAAGTGACCTTCTCTCTGTTTCATTTTAAGAAGTGGATTTGATAGGTAGGACTGTTCGAAGCCTAATGTACAAACACGTGACATTTTTTCAAATAAACTACGTCTTCTGATAACATTCCGTACACCGTTTATGCTGAAAAAAGAATCAGAACTAGGATGCTATGTGAAAATCTGTCTGTAAAAGCTTTTACAGAAAATGTGGAGGTTCGACGTTAAATCTTATGTAAGGCCCCATCATTTGAGGTGACTGGAACATACATGACATATACCTTTGCACCGTCTATCGTGAAGTGCTATGCTAAGGGGTGTAGGATTCGGCTGGCAGAAAATGTGTGGGTAGCCAATTCACTATGTGCTATTCGTCCATGATGTCAATGGCTGTTGGAGTAAACTGTGTAACAAGATTCCGATTTTGTGGCTGAAATCTACGTGACAGGTGGGAGTTTAAAACTGAAGACGACCTCCATGACAACTGCATTTAAATCTTATTTTAACATCACATTTCCTCATTTCATACTGAATGTTGTGACGTTTTATTGTTTTGTATTAAACAGTTTCCTATTTTTGATTTTGTATTTTATCACCTTTTGATAGGAAGCGGTTGGAACTAGCCTAAACATACTCGGACTGGATTAAACCTATCTGGATCGAATAAACTGGTGGATCGAGGCAGAATATTAACTGCAATTCTATTGGACATCCTTGAAGTCCAACCTTGTGCAACCAATTTGATTGGTTATTTGTTAGCTTGACTTTCCGAGGTACTCAGTATTAGTATAGAATATACTTTTGTATAGTGAAATCTAGTCGCTCTCACCGGCATGTGCCAGTTTGTCTTCTGTCTTTATTGCGTGGATTCTTGCGGTCAGAAGTAACTGGTGATGAGTATTAGTAATGAAACTATGGTATTATTCTGTCATCACCGAGATAAGTGATGTGAATAAATGAGGCGTGACAAAATGGATTGTTGTCTGAGTAATGACAGATTCTTAGTGTCTTAGAGATAGTTCCATTATTTATTTTCAACTTTATTCTCATGCTGCACATAGGCGGCTCTAGTGGATAACAGTTAAACAGATGGGTAATGTGTTCATGTCTCAGGAGGGACACCATAACAATGGATTGCAGGTATGGTTGGCTGGTGAGTTCTGAAGTGTATTTCCTGAATTTCAATGCTAGTCACCACCATTTTAGAGACAATGTTACTTGACACAGATCTTCTAGACTGTTGACAGTTCTCGGTATCCAATACTCTGAAACATGCCTCAAAGACGGTACTTAAATTAGTAGCCAGATTTTCTTATTTTTACTATAAAGTGTTATCGGGTCTTTTTCTTTCATCTCAGGGTAGAGAAAGGGATGATCTCACATTAATTGATCACAGCAGTGTGTCCAGTGTAGTGTATCTAGTCTTCAGTATTAGACTGTTGACTGAATTCTATCATTCAAGTTTACAATGTGATTACCAAGCTAGTTGACTAGCCATTGCGATGGACTCTGGATTGGTGTTATGCGATTGGAGCCGATTAGCAGAAAGCCTTAGACTCGACAGTGCTAAGTGGCGTGGATTCAAATCATCGAGGAGACAAAAGTTGCTTTTAAGGTAGGAACTACGCTATGCTGATAAGCACGAATAAGCGTGAAACACAGTTCTAGAGTTTCTGAGTCAACTGCTCCCAACTATCTAATAATAAGGAGTGATTCTGTTCCGACATATATTACCCTAGGTGTTAATTCTTATACTTTTTTTGTATTTCACTTAAGACTAAATATCTGAGAAGGTTGAAAACTATGGTGTGAAATTTAGGTTTTCTCACCAGTTGGTTGACAAATGAAAATAGGTCATTACAGATATATCAACAACAAGTAATATCAATGCTGTTTTACCATAATATTTTTAATAGTGATAATAAAAGCCAAAGAGTAATGACCAGCTGAATCCTTCGAAGTGAGGACAGGAGTAAGACAAGCTGGCTGCCTACTATCACCAATGAGTTTCCTGATTGCAGTAGATTGGATAATGCGACAAACAGCGGGCAACGAAGAGACAGGCATAAAATGGACTCATACAGAAAACTTGGAGGATCTGGACTTCGCCGATGATAGATGTCTGATTTCCCACAAACTGGAAGATATGCAAGCGAAAAGCAACAAGTTGGCAGAAGAAGCATCAAAGATAGGAGGGACTTCATGTGAACATAGAGAAAACAGAGGTGATGAAGATCCCTTTGCAACATCACCAATAGCAACAACAACAGACAACAATCAGCATAAATGGGAGGAACCTGAAAGAAATAACATCCATTACCTACCTACATGGGAAGCATCGTTTCAACTACAGGCGAATAGAACTGACGAGGATATCAAAGCAAGAATCGGGAAAGCAAGACAAGCTTTCATTACTCTCAAGTCTGTGTGGAGGTCAACAACACTCAGCATCAAAAATAAGATCCGGATTTTCAACTGCAATGTGAAGTCAGTGCTACTCACTATACGGATCAGAGACTTGCATTGCGCGTCATAAAGAGCATCTCAAACAAACTACAGACCTTCATTAACAGCTGTCTTCGCTCAATACTCAAGATCAGATGGCCAGCCGGCCAGAAAAGATCAGCAACAGGGATCTCTGGGAGAGAACCAACACAGCAGGAACCGATTGTGAAAGAAATAGGCAGGAAGAAATGGAGATGGATTGGCTGGTCATACTTTGAGGAAACCATCAAGTGACATCACTAGACAAGCCCTTGAGTGGAAACCGTAAGGGAAGTGGCGAGTTGGTCGTCAGTGCGAGGGTGACCTCACAGGGTGACTTGAAGGAGATCATGTGAAGAGGAGCTGAAAATGTGTGGGCAGACTTGAAGTCAGGTGAAGACTCTAGCAGAGAACCGAACGCAATGGAGACGCACGGCTGAAGCCCTATGTTCCTGTAGGAATTAAAGGAAACAATAATATAATAATAATGAACAGATGATGATTCATTTCTTAAACAGTGAGCATATAAGTTATAGCAAATCAAACTTGCCGCGATTTTGTTTCAATATACTTGAAAAGGTAGAATGGAGGCGGTCTATTACAGTTCGATTACCCAGAGTTAGTCGGTTCTATGTGATTTTGCATTGACGTGCTAAGAGGAATTCTATAATCGTATCAAATGTTGCTTTTGGATGTTTTAAGGTGCTTTTTTTACACAGCTGGAATATCTGTTGCGGCCTTTGATATACTGTGCACAAAAATACCTCCCAATGGCTTTTATCTTCCCCCTTTCTTAAATGTAAATGTTTTCAGACTAGTTTATTTTTAGAACAACACATATATTGTGCTTTCAATTAGATCTCATCAGGCTTAACTCTGATATACATAACTTTACAAATAAAAATTCAGATATAAACCAGTCATGGAGTTTTGTCTATAGGATAATGAGATGGTGAATATAAATTGTGCAATTAGTCACAATAGCAGTAATGATAATAATAATAATAATAATAATGATAGTGGTCTTATTAATAATAAGGATGAAAAAGCGAGGCGATCTGTGATGACACAAATAACGAAAAACAGCATGAATAAACAAACAAATGTTCAGGTGGAAGTAGTCGATAAAGACCAAGAAAAACAGATGGACTGATTAAGTAATGCTGTATTGTAAGGGTAGTAAATGAAATACGCTTTTAATGAAGATATGATAAGATTAAGGGATGATAAGAGAGGACGCTCGCCGACCATGCACATGGTCCGGGGTTCGATCCCCGGCCGACGCACTCCTTTACCTCGCTGAGCCAGAAATAATGCTGGTAAAGAGGGAAGGTTGGGCATGAGGCTAGCAACCCCATCCCGTAAAAATAAACGCTGCTACAGAAACTTCAAGCCACTAGCTTGAAGCCCTATGTTCCACTGGGGAACGTGAAGGAAAAAAAAAAGAGAGGGGTTGAAAATATATAAGTAAGGGATGATAGAAGCGCGATTAGTTGGTTAGGTCTGAATAGACCAAGAGTGGGATAGTGGTGGTACGGACTTCTTTTGAATGCATAGTTTAGGGGCTTAATATTTCGAATGCCCTTCGCCTCAGCTGTGTGCAGTAGACGAATACGAAGTCTCCTGGAAAGATTCAGTGGGATACGATGAATTATCTTGAAAGTTCTCGTTTTCTCCACTACATGACCACTATCAACTAAATGGGGCAAAATTAAGCCACAGATTGTTTTTGTCTGTCCTTTGTGAAACCATGATGGGAGATGTTCACTAACACGTTGGCTAAGCTGTCAAGTAGTACCCCCACCCCAAAATAACTGTCACCTCAGGTGCAATTGAATTGATAAATGCACATAGATGTGGCAAAACTAGTTCATTTTTGTCAGAAGTTATACAGACAAACAATTATTAAGTGAATTTAATTGAATTTTAGATTTTCCCGTCGATTAATTGGATCAAAGTGCTCAGTCTCAGGTTGACATGTCGGCTTCTTGTGCAGATGCTTCGACGATGTCTGGGCATTTAATTAGAGGTTAATTGGTGGATGGTAACTAGCAGTGGAATCCAGGATACGCATTTCGTGGGTAAAGCTTTGGCGTTTGCAACTATGGGCACTGTGTTCGAGCCTCGGTGGGGAAATCATCACTCACTGCGGAATGCAGGAACATCCAGTTGACGAGTCTCAAATAGGACGAAACGCGCATCCTGGATTCCACTGCTAGTCACCATCCACCAGTTAAACTCAATTAATTGCATATTATTAAGATATTTGATGTGGACAATGAAGATTTCAATCTAAAACGATAAATTTTATGGTTCATCGAAATAAATATGCAAACAGATGTTTTTTTACAACATTTGTCAGTAGTTACGTCATATCTACAATTGACGAAAAGCCGAGAAATACAAGTCATTTAGCTGTAGAGTCATCAGTTATTTCTTGCGTAGAAATGTGGATATACACTGCTGAAGATGGAGAAGTTATTCACTAGTCGTTTTAAATGATCGCTTCTTCTTCATTCTATTGTGTTCCGAGTGGAACATACGGCTTCAAGATTTGAAGTTTCCTACACAATGGTATTAATTTTGATGGTGTATGACTGTTAGCCTTACATCCAGTTTTCTTTCTTTTCGGAGCTCACTACTGGTTGGAAGAGGGTTAGGAGTGTGTTGGCCAATAGTCGAACCCAGTCCTCTCACGTACTTGACTACTGTTCTACAGTTGAACCAATGACTGACCTAATGGTCTCTCAGCTTATACCAGTTTGTAGCGGAAATTAAACGATAGATTTAACAAGCCTCAAATACCTAGTCACTGAGTGGCAGCTTGCTCATCTTGTGATCTAAAGGTCCTGATTTCTATCTCTGATAGAGTCATTATTTTACACTTCTGAAGATTTGCATATTAGAAACACACAGTTGATGTGTACATTCTGATTTGTGAGAGTTCTGTAATTGATATGTTGGCAGGGTAAAGAATAATAATTAATGTTTTATTAGATTTACACTTACCTAACAGCATCATAATTTAATCGTTTAGAACAGTAGGCAAGTTTATCTTCAAAACCATTACATGTATAACTTTCCATCCAAATATATTTCATATTTAATGAATTTTCATATCCATACACATAATAATCAAATAGATTTGAAAAACGTGCAATTGGATTCAGCGTTGGCATATTGAACTCTGAACAAATGACCTTTGAAGAGTAAATGATTTAACACAGTAGAAAATAGAGCATTTTACAGTTGCAGATTAATTTTGAAATAAACGATTCAATTGGATAGTATGTGGAAAATGTCTTTCTAGTCATGGAAATAAGGACAAACAGTTCAGCGAAGAGGCTGTTTTCGACGAATTCATTTACTTAACTGCACAATCGCAATTATATATATATATATAAATTTGTTTGGACACTAGGTGGTAACTGATGTCATGCATCTAGTCCTTCGTTTGGTGCAGGCTGAATTCTGTCAGTCAAGTTTTTGAAATGTGGCCGTCATTCTAGGTGGCTTGCCATCCCAGTGCACTATGAATTATTGTTAGATGGTTGAAGGCAATCAGTGTGTCAAGCATAACAGAAGCCACTTGAAATAAAAACATATTAGTTAGAGAACCACTGGAAAACCTGCAGGGAGTACTGGACAGCTGTTTCGTCAACCTAGTTTGGGACTCTTCATCAGTGCGCCCAGGGTTCAAATCCAGGACCTTCTGGCTACAAGGCCAGCTAGGTCGTAGACCATTAAGCCACTGGGACCCGATCCAATGGCCAGCCAGTTCATGAATTCTAACTTCTGCCAATTCATGACATAGGGCGACCACTTCGCAATGTTTTCTTCGATGAATTACTGCCTCACCTATCGATGAAGCATTCCAAACTAGGACGAAACAGCTGTCCAGTACTCCCTTCAGGTTTTCCAATAATTCTCTAAGTGATTTCGGCTCCTGTAACTAATCAAACAAAATCCCTACAAAAATCAATACTTGAAAAAACAAATTAGTTTGAAATATTGTTCAGATCAACATGTTTGGAAATTTTGACGATTAATCAAATTGTAACAAAGGGTGTGAATATTAGTGAGTTTGAACTGAGGATTACGTAATACATTGAAAACGTCTATAAGAAAATTGGGTGTTAGTGAAGACAATCTGCTTTTTATACACAGAAACTTGAAAGACGATAACTTGAATGTAAGAATACCGATTTCCAGGAATTAAAAGCTCCTACTTCGATACATTTCCAAAGTCCAATTCAATGGTGTAGTTTACTGACAGCAAGATGATGTATCCATGGGATCACATTTAGGTCCGTTACTTAAAGACAGTTCATTGAAGTTAACTACTGACAGCTTTTTTCCTATACAGAAGGTATGGTGATGATATCTTTATCATTTGTGATAATAGATATGATCTAAATAATGTCCTACAGGATCTTCAACTCCAATGTAAAGTCAGTGCTACTTTATGGATCAGAGACTTGGCACGTCATGAAGAGGACTTTAAACAAACTATAGACCTTCATCGACAGCTGTCTTTGCTCAATACTCAAGATCAGATGGTCCGAAAAGATCAGCAACACGGATCTTTGGCAGTGAACGAACTAACCCAGTAGAAACATTTGTGCAACAAATAAGGAGAAAGAAATGGAAGTGGACTGGCCATACTCTGAGAAAACCATCAAGTGAGTGACAATACACGCCAGGCCATCAATTCAGAGGAACCCGAATGGGAAGCGGCGAGTTGGTCGTCAGTGTGAGGGTGATATGTAGGAGGTCGTGTGAACAAGAGATGAAAGCATGTGAGCAGACGTGGAGCCAGGTGAACCAAACGCAATGGAGACATGCATCTGAAGCCCTATGTTCCTCTAGGAACTAAAGGAAACAACAACAATAATAGTAAATGTCCTACAGGTTCTTAACAGTTACCACCTAGCCATCAAATTAGCTACTGATTTGCAATTTACACAGTTCCAGGTAAAATTTCACCACAGTTTCCTTTGGAAACCGAAATTATTCAGAACACGAAACGTGTGTTTCACTTGTTACCATAATTAGCAACCAAGAAAGTAGCCATGAATGCATGACGCTACATACTGATGTGTAAATTGCAAGTGGCGAATTCACTTTAACGCTCACCAGTTTTCTCAAGTAGCTAGCCAGAATTCGTGTGGTCTGTACTGATTCCGCTCTTTGAGTCCACTCTTAGTCAAACTGGATACACCTCTGATGAATTCGCCCCCTAGACGATAGAAACATCCGCCTGGTGTTTAGATCGCTTCGATCTAGTGCTAGTAAGCACTAATGGTTGACGTGGGTGGTATCCAGCTACTTTTACCAAGCTGTCAGTAGTATAAAATGACTAGACTGAGTGTTAACAATTTTATTCTGAGATTTTGTTTCTTAAACTGACTTAAAACTTGAAATGTGGAGAAATTTATGATATGCTGGTAGTTGGATGTCAACAACATCAAACAGTAGTATTTGCTAGCCAAATCGAAGGGATATAAACACTGGACAGCTGTTTTGTTCGTTTTCTTATGAGCTTGTACAAGTAAATCAGTTCAGAACATCCTAAATGTAAGTGATAAACTTCTTTTGTAATACTTGTTCTATATTATGTATTCAGTCATTGACTTGTTTGTGTTCATAGTTCACTTGAATACAGGCGATAATTTTGGTTTAGCCGTAAACTGAATTATGTTAATGATAGTTTGCCTATTTGGTGCACATTTAATAATGACTACACTGATCATGAAATCTGTATTCTTTTGTGTTGGAAAGAATAATCCCTTTACACTGGGTTGTGGAGTGACAGACTATATTGAAGAAAAGTGAAAGAAAAGGTCTATTTCTTCATGCCTTGTTCACAGTTTTTTTGAATGAAATTTTGATAACCTCTTAGTGGTCTATTCATACCGACACTTTTAATCTCATTCACCAAATGTCTTCTTAATAACTATTGAAAAGTACCAAAAGTGACAAAACCTAGGTCAACGGTTTCCTATCGATTGTTTCTAATGACTTAACATCAGTTAAAAGTGCACCGCAATGGCCAGTCACCTAGTTTGGTGATCACAGTGCAAACCTGACTGACAGAATTCAATTAGCACTCTAACACTAAGGATTAGACACATGATACTGCTTACTCTCTAGTGATGAGTCCTCCAGGAGGTCAGTCATGAGCCCAAATATCTCACTGATAACGTCTGCAGCGCTGGGTGGCAGAGAATTGAATCTCCAAGATGGGTACCACTTCCTTTGAGATTTCGAATACTCATTACTGACGAGTACCAACAAGCATGGAACCTAGTTCAGGCATGCCTCCCTGCCAATTACCTCCAATTACTAAACATTCGACATCATCTTCTATGTTCCATCAAACTTTCTCATTCATCCACTTAATTACTTTTACTGACCTTCATACATTGTGTTAATATTCTATATATTTGTTGATATTCATGTTAAACTATGTTAGGCATTGTTAAGAGTGGAGGTTATCTAACTAAGAACTCGTATCAAAATCTTAATTTTCTTTTTCCACTTCCCATGAATAACGGAGCAAAATTAGGATGGCATGTAGTACTGGTTAATAAAAGTAGCATATACCACCTAGTTCCTTATTTTGTCATTTATACGATTGATAACAGTTGGCTAAAACCAAATAAACAGGCCGAAGTGGTCTAAAACAGAAGGAAACCAGCTAAAACAGGTTTAGACTGGGTTAAACCAGGAATTTTTTGTTTGATTGGTTAGAGAGCTATTGGAAAACCAACAGGGAGTACTGGATAGCTATTTCGTCAGCCTAGTTTGGGACTCTTCACAGTACGCGTAGGCAGAAATATTTGCCGTGATGTGATTGGATAACCTTGAAGTTCGACTTTATGAAACCAATGTGATTGGTTTCTTGTTGGCTTAACTTTCTGAGGTACATAATATTTGCATATAATATATTTTTGTATAATGAAAATCGAATTGTTCTCGTTGGCGCATACTAGTCTGTCTTCTATCTTTATTTACGTGTGTTTCAGGGGGTCAGAAGTAATCGGTGATCAGTATTAGTATCACACCCCTTAATCAACAAAAATAATAGTGATTTCATACAAGTAAAATAACGAGTGACTTTTCAGCTCCAAACAGTATAATCTCTTCATGGGAAAGAGTAGTTTATATGGTAAATTTTATGCCATATTTTATTTACCTGAGCTACACGTGAAGAGAATTGATTATCACAAGCGATAGACCAACGTTTTGTAGTATGATTAAAGAACTGGACAAAACCTTCGTTTGGCTAAAAAAACAAAATAAATAAAATTTATAAAATTCAGGTAAACATTTTTTTCACATAGTTAGATATAGATTCAACTGACAAAGTATTGTTACATTCATCTGAAAAGCGCGAAATGGGACAACACGTCTGTCGTGGAATTCAGTGCCAGACACTATCACACAAGTAAATTGAAGTTGATAATCGTGCTAATATTCGATGAGCCCATATGCTAAAATGAGGCCAGTCGATTTAGTCCATTTGTGTCTTCGGGAAAGTACAAGTAATGAATAAACGGTTACGTTCAGTCTTCACTTTCTAAGAATAATAGGATATATTGCTTTCATTCGGATGATACTTTTCAGTGACAGTCTATTTCACTATGAGTATGGTTTGAAGGTTTCAGCTTTTGGACTAGAACCTCTTGAGTCAAGAGTTTATTACTGAATACACTGCAATATAAAGGTATTTACATCATAATGTTTAATGTAATAATCTCGCTTTCAGTGTTAGTGACTACTATTTTTATCACTTAGTACATTTGCTAGAAGTTAAAATTCTAACGATTTTCATTTAATCAAGGTATACCAAATGTCTTGTGAATAAGATTCAATTTATTTCAAGTCAGATTTCATCATGAACCGCCTTCAATTGTACAGCCATTAAAAGTCAGTCAGCACTGGCTAGTCATTCCACTCCAGCCAGATTACAAACTGACATCAGTTAGATAAGCATTAAAGCCAGAAAATCCTGTAGAGCTATTTCGCCCCATTCTGGGACTTTTCATCAGCACGCAACCATGAATCTACCATAGGTCGAACCCAGGACCTTTAGTTTACAAGGCAAGCCGGTTGGCTACCCGGCAACCGGAATGGGATCAAATCAGTTATGAGTCCTAACTTCATGCTAGTTTGCGGCTCGACAGTGGCACGTACTTATGTGCACATCACAGACCAAACGGATAGAAGTCAGAAATCACTGGATTCTAACTCATTGGTTGAATAGTATTGTAACCACCTGGTTACTCTCGATTTCTGACTGGGTCATATAAGTGCACTACCGGAGAGTTCGAAATTGGAACGAAACAGCTGTTTAGTGGTTCTTTGTTTTCAATAGTTCTTTTCAATCAATCCGTTTCGGTTCATGAAGAAGTCTACTTGGAAAGTGAGTTAGATCTTCTATTGAAAAGAAACGGCTAAATTCGTCTGAAACAAGTTTGGGAAAATTTAAACTATCAGCCCAAGGCTGAATATTCACTAAAATACGATTCGACTACCTCGAAACCTGGCTTAAATTTCCCAAGGTGGAAAATGTTTGTATCTAGTGTAGTTTTTGTATAATATAGGTCGCTTGTTCTTACTGGCATGGACTAATCTGTCTTCTGTGTTTATTTAGTTGGGCTCTTGGTGGAGGGAGAGCAGTCAGGGGTGATTGAATATAGCTATTGGTATTTGGCCTACAGACGAGTTACTTATTGCCTTCCCATATCAACCCTAGTTTTAGAATTATTAGTGCCGGTTACATCATCTCACATAAAATTTTAGTGGCGTTACTGAACACAAACACGAAACAGAAAAGCCAGATCTCTGTGTACAGAAAAAGTTCATTTAACCACTCCAACTTTCATGGTCTGAATCCCTCTATGCTAAAGTATGGTAATCCCTAATCATATTTTAGCTCTACCAATTTTTCATTTTTTTCATTTTTGTCTATTCAATTTGTATACTCTTCCTTATTAAGTCAATTGTTAGTTACTATCACTATTCTCACTTTGAACTGTCTCCCGTATTATTTCACTTGTTCCACTTGTCATTCTAAGTCAATTATGTTTTGCAACGTTAAATTCTATGTTATCGAATTTCACACAATGTTACGTAACGTTTTTATTTTATTCGATTTGCCTAATAATCCCATAGTTGCACACGCTTTCCAAGTTCTATGTATCCTATGAATTATTCTAAATATGACATTAATTGTTTTGCCACTTGACATTACATTTCATACTATTATTATTTTGTGCATTCACACCTATGATTCATTTCCTTTATCGGAAATAATTTCTTATAAAAAAAAGAAACCATACATATATACGACTGTACTTTTTGATAATAAATCCGTTGAAGTGAGTCTCTTCGCTGAATCATTTGTTTGGATGGGGATTTTTCATGAATATCATTCATTTATCATCTTGAAAGGTTTATTACAGATATATTTTACTAGATTATATGATTCCGAGGCTTTGAAAACTTTTAGTTCCTTCAGATCATATAGTCTCTGATTTTATATTCCCACATGTTAAGTTAATTTGGTATCTTTAAATTGAAGAATTTTACTTTGTCACAAATTACTCCACCTGTTAACTTTGTCAGATTTGATATTATTTATTTTCCCTTTATCTCTGTTATTCAAAAATGCTCAAATCTATACACCTATTAGTGTGTAGCATTTTGTCAGAAGATTATTCTTTTATGAATTTATTTATGTGTCTTGAACTTGATTGTTTCAGTAATGGGTGGCTGTGTTATTATTATTCTTATTGTTTTCTTTAGTTCCTAAATAAACATAGGGCTTCAGCCATGCGTCTCCATTGCGTTCGGTTCTCTGCTAGAGTCTTCACCTGGTTCCAAGTCTGCCCACACGCCTTCATCTCCTCTTCACATGACCTCCTCCAAGTCACCCTTGGATGACCAACTCGAGAGCTAGTCTAGTGATATCACTTGATGGTTTCCTCAGAGTGTAACCAGCCAATCCATCTCCATTTCTTCCTGTCTATTTGTTCCACAATCGGTTCCTGCTGTGTTGGTTCTCTCCCAGAGATCCCTGTTGCTGATCTTTTCTGGCCGGCTGGCCATCTGATCTTGAGTATTGAGCGAAGACAGCTGTTAATGAAGGTCTGTAGTTTGTTTGAGATGCTCTTTATGACGCGCAATGCAAGTCTCTGATCCGTATAGTGAGTAGCACTGACTTCACATTGCAGTTGAAAATCCGGATCTTATCTTCGTTTTGATGGTGAGTGCTGTTGACCTCCACACAGACTTGAGAGTAGTGAAAGCTTGTCTTGCTTTCCCGATCCTTGTTTTGATATCCTCGTCAGTTCCGTTCTCCTGTAGTTGAAACGATGCTTCCCATGTAGGTAGGTAAAGGAGGTTGCTTCTTTCAGATTCCGTCCATTTATGCTGATTGTTGTCTGTTGTTGTTGTTGACAGGAATCTTCATCACCTACCTCTGTTTTCTCTATGTTCACCTGAAGTCTTATCTTCTCTGGATGCTTCTTCTTCCAACTTGTTGCTTTTCGCTTGCATATCTTCCAGTTTGTGGGTGGCTGTGTTGGATGATGTTTTTCTTCAACATGATGTATGGAGTTTACTAAATTTCATCTTGTTTTAGTTAATTTGATTTACTCCTCAAAAGTAACCTGTCCTCATTTGTACTTTTAGCTGGTTTTCAGCCTACCACTCAGTATATTTAAAAGGGAATGAAAGAAAAGCATGTAGGTAGATCGGTGAATTTCGCGGACGAATCATCAAATGACATGCTTCTCAATTCTTTGTTCACAAATCGACTATCGTTATTTACTGTTTGAGTACCTCCCTGGCGTATTCAGCTATAACTCCCTCTCTAAATATGAGGAGATTAGAGGATTCATACTGTGAGATTCGATGGACATTTCATGTTTTATAGATGCCTTGTGACCTGAATTAAGTCAAAGTACTCAACATATTGATATAAGCAACTGGGACAGTTTGCTTTCTGGATCATGTTTTATTATCCGCCTTCGAGTGGAATTCGAAAGGGAAGCGGCGATTGGGACGTCCAAGGGTGATATGGAGGAGATCGTGTGAAGAAGAGTTGAAACAGTATGGACTAACATGGATGCAAGTGAAAAGTACGGCAGAAGACAGAAGTAAGTGGAGGCGTGCAGTTGAAGCCCTATGTTCCACTAGGAACCCAAGGGAACAATAATATTAATAATAGGAAAGCTTGTAGTGATTTTATAGATTTGTTGACTACATCCATCGTTGAGGAAACCATTCATCTTCTAAATGACTTCCGAGAAGTTTCTTCCTCAATTTATCCAGGTATATTGGGTTTTGAAGGCTTCATATTTTTCTCAATAGCATTTTCACACAGTCTTCATTCTGTGCATTAAAACCGTTTCCAATGTCATTTAGTTTTTTCGGTTTGGATATATAGTTTATCTCCATAACTGAGTTTAAGAATTTCCTTCATTGACTGACGGTTCATTCTAGACTATCCAGAAAGTTCATTTAGTTAGCTGTTTTCCTTGTCTCGGATATAGTTGGTTTTTTTTGGAGACAAGCTGTTATCACGTTGTTCGAAATGTATTGCGGAAATGCATCACACCACATTTTTCAGACAAACTCTGTCTTCTTATAACGCTATCCAAAAATCTGTGATATCAGCATTCGCTGGTTAAAAAATCTGACTTTTAGTTCAGTCGCAACTTGTTAGCAGGCAGCAGAGTAATTTGTGGGAAGTTATGGGAACAGATGAAAATCAATTACAGGACGACTGAAAACTATAATGCTCCGAATACCTATTCAGTATCATTCACACACATGTGTAAAGCAGAGCTGGAAAATCTGTGATCCTATGGTCATGTAATCAACAGATTGCTGTCCAGAAGTTCATGCTTCCTGACTTTAGTGCATATTTTCCATCACTTTTGAACAACCCGACATCATGACGTCATTAATTGTTGTCAGAATGTTGAAGCCATCAATGTGTGCAATTGTGTACATGCGGCGTTAGCCTGAATACTTCAGTAGGACACCCATCCAACATTATGTGGTTTTCAAGGCAAATACTTCTGGTACTAATGATGTTGTTAGACCGATAAGTGAAATCATCCTTTGATTATTTCAATTACAACTATCAGTAAAAACCTAATGTCTAGATTCTGCCCGCTGATTTATGCATTGGTCAATTTTAAAATAAAATTTTAGCGTCAGTGGTACGTGTATACTAAAATATTTTTCTTCATGTTCTTCCATCTTGATATTTAATTGCTTTTTTTGGTTGAACCAAGTTACATGGAATAGAGTTTTTGTGTACCAGGAAATGAGTCACTTTTATTGTATGTCAGGATTGATGATGTAGTGTATACTACTGAAAGGATTTGTGAGTAGTATATATATATGCAGATATAAATACGCTTGTCATCTGCAAGAGTACTGAATAGTGGAGAGATGGATTTAATGGCGAAGAGAAGAAGAATTGAACGATGCTTGTGAGACAACTTAGAAAAAAAGAAAGACAAAAGAGCACAGTGGGGAGGATGAAAGTGGAGTAATACCGAAGATGTGTACAAAATTGTAATTTTAATGTTTAGTAGACATCTAATACCCATATCCATACATCGAGCTGCCAGCAAATAATTCCGTTGTCAAATTCGCTTGTGTTCAGCCGTTACAATGGTATCACCCTTTTGCTCAGGTTGAAGTAGGTGGAGCGAGATCTGAACTTTGGGACCTACTGTTTGAAAGCCGAATGCATATTTAACCGTGAAGGCTCCTCATGAAGTGAGTGCTGCTGAAGAAAGCCAGCTGTCTGGTAAAATATTTATAATGAAATATTAAAAATAGTGGAAGGCCAAAAAACATTATTCAGTCTGAAAGTTATATAATGAAGTGATGATTAAATCTGAAAGTTTGCGGTATTAAAAGCTGAAGAGTATGATTTATGATCTGTCGAAAATTGTGCCTCACAGTAACCATTTCTTTCTGGGCAATAATGACAGGTAAGAGGAATAATTATCTATTTCAGATAAGTTTAAAAGATCACAGTCAAAATTAAGATAAACGAAGCTAACTACTTAAAACTTTATAAGTAGCTAAACAAATGCTTGAAAAATTATTCAATAACTTACTTGTATACCACCTATTAATCTAATATTTTCTGTAGACAAAGTGATCCTGCCTAACGGTATATCATTATCCATTACTTGTTTACTTTTCACTACGTTGGGTTTTCTGAATTTCGCAGATACATATTTTGATTTTTTAACTGAAGTGAATTTATTGTCATCAGTTTGTTCACTATTTAAATTTGTGAAGATTATTGGGTTGTTTGGTGTTCCATGGGCTTCTATTCGACCAAGAACTAATAGGCCTATATGAGGTGCAAATTCTAATCTTACTCCGGCTTCAATTCGAAGAGTCACATCAGGCATGACAGTTATGTCAGACATAATCTACAAACGAAATAAAATAGAAAAGTGAAGTTGAATAAGTTTTTTTTTAGAAATTCAAGACCCATGATGAATGGAAGAGAAAAAGGGTTGACCAAAGAATACTCTTTTTGATAGGTTCCTCATCAGGATCTACAATTACATATATGTAATACTTAAAGAACAGCCGTTATCGACAACACTGATGCTTTTTAAATAATATCGAGTTGTTAAGATAAATTGAAATACAATTCAAAAGCATGTATAAGTGATAATATTCCTAAGAAAATTAATGCAATAATTAAAATACAGAATATTAGGATAGTTAGAACAATTATGGCTTCCAAAAGGCTTATGGGGAAGAGAAACTGTCAGGCTTTTAGTATCAAGTAATAATGGCCAAAATAGGGAAAGTGGCTGTATGAATTACTTCTGAACACATAGGTTAGACTTCTTCAGGTGGATTCCAGTGACTTCAACGGACTCATAAGGTGGAACTAAGACTTGTCGGAATACGATAGATAACTTTAAATGCTTTGTCAACATAGGCTTTATGTTCAACATCTATAAGATGAGCTGAAATAGAGCTACTAATAGACCTTGCTTGTCCCATACTTAAATAATCATGTTCTGAAACATTATTATGAATATAACTAATTGTAAACTCAATGTAACCAGGTTCACAGAAGCGGTCAAACTGCTAGATACGCATAGAAGAGGCTAAATTAAGTAATTTATCCTAATTTCTAGAACGAATAATTGCATTGTTTGTGGAGAGACAATGAAACTCTGTTGCACGGATATTATTTAGAAAACATTAATGTTGTCAGTCATAACTATTGTTCAGCTAGTATGTTGATATTGGATGGTTGGAAGCAGTCGGCCACAGGAAGCCTTAGACCTAGGTTTCGTGCCAGTTAGCACTCGTCAGCGAGGCGCATCTGCAACCTTTCCGAGATTCGAACTCGCATCACCCAGTGCTGCAGTCAGAGACGTTACCATTGAGCTATTTGGCCTCACGACTTACCTCCTGTAAGACTGTGTTGGATACTTTTGTTTGGACACTAGTTAGTGACTAGTGTGATGTGTCTAGTCCTCTGTTTGATGCAAACTAAATTCTCTCAGAAGGAACATGAGTTCCGTCAAGGTTGTAGATACGCCTTGCTGACTGGTGAGTGCCAACTAGCACGAAACCTAGGTGCAAGGTTTCCATCCATCTAATATCAGCAATTCAAAGTACATCGTGTTGACGAGCCATCTCGAATGGTGGTCACATTGTAAACTTGACTGAGAGAATTCAGTCTGCATCAAATATATGACTAGACACATTACACTAGTTACTAACTTGCGTCCAATCAAAAGCAACTAGTATGTGTACATAAATGTAGAGCCAAATGAGGAATTTATAGAAAAGAATATTATTTGCTCAATTTTTTTATCTTTTAAGAGAAAATAAGTATTGTGAATATAAATTAAATTTTCAGCATGCCGAATTTTACTTTGTGTTAGTGGCAATAGTTAGCAGGGATATCTAGGAGTGAGAATCTCACTAGAGGTAGCTGAAATGTATTGTGTAGACTGACAGTGGAATCCAGGACACGCATTTCGTCCTATTTGAGACTTTTCATCTGAATATACCTGCAATGCCCAAGTGCTCTAGCAGATAACAGTTTGGCGTTTGAAATGATGGGTATTGGGTTTCAGTCTCAATTGGAACATCACCACTCACTGGGGATTGCAGGTACATCCAGATGACGAGTCTCGAAGAGGATGAAATACGTATCCTAGATTCCACTGCTAGTCATTATTAACTAGAATAACATCATGTTAATCGTTGGACATCGTCGAAGCATTTTTACTAGGAGCTGAAGCAAATATTTAGCTCCACTCAATCAACAGAAAAATCAAAGTTGACTTAAAACAAATAATTAAGTGTACTTCACTATAGGACATTTGTAATTGCTATTCATTTGATGAATGTGGTCATTCTAGTTGGATGGGGATATGGCTTGGTCATTCTATGTTTTTTTTAGTTAAGATTATCCATAATTCAAGGTAACCGAGATGATTCATTTTTTTCAGACCAATGTTGTTGTTTTCAGCATGATGACTGGAGTTTGAAAGGAGTAGATTTCTTAGGAGATTTAGTCGCGGACCAACATCAATTTGAGAAATTACTGAAAATCGAGGAATACTGAACATGCTGTTTAGTTATATTTTGAAACTCTTCAGTAGTGTTGTGGAAACGACGCTACTAGGGGTCGACACCCGGGACCTTCAAGTTACGAGAGAAAGCTCCTTGACCATTCAGCCACTTGCACTAGAATCCAATGATCCGTGAATTCTGACTGTGTCAATTCGTAATATAGAGCTACCCTCATCAGTGCCTTCGATAAGCATCGACTTCACCTTGACATGGTGGACCCCACTGGTCAAGACTCCTCACTACAGACAGCTTCAAGACATCCATCCGGTAACCATCGATGAGCTGGACATTGACATTCAGATTATTTGATTTCTGAGGGTTTAGATCAGTTTAATTTAAATTGTTCTATTTTGTCATGAACCAGCGTAGGTTAGAAAGAGAGTCCCAAAATAGGAAAAAACAGCTGTCCAGTGCTTTCTCCGTTTTCAGTGGTCTATCTAACTTCTGTTCGCTCCTGATGAAATCTAACAGCTTACCTTGAATTTAGCCACTACCCGGTTAAAAATAAATATCTTGTCAAGGGATGAATAACAAGAAATAAAAATATTCTTTGTAATAAAAACTTTTGTATTTCCCAATGGATGAAAAGATTCCTGGACAAGAACAACAACAACAGACAACGATCAGCATAAATGGAAGGAACCTGAAAGAAACAACCTCCCTCACCAACCGACCTGGGAAGCATCGTTTCAACTACAGACGGACGGAACTGACGAGGATATCAAAGCATGAATCGGAAAAGCAAGACAAGCTTTCATTACTGTCAAGTCTGTGTGGAGGTCAACAACACTCTGCATCAAAAATAAGATCCGGATCTTCAACTCCAATGTGAATTCAGTCAGTGCAACTCACTATACGGATCAGAGACTTGCACTGCGCGTCATAAAGAGCACCTCAAACAAACTACAGACCTTCATTGACAGCTGTCTTCGCTCAATACCACTCAAGATCAGATGGCCGGCCAGAAAAGATCAGCAACAGACAGGGATCTCTGGCAATGAGCAAACCAAACCACCAGGAACCGATTGTGAAACAAATAGGCAGGAAGAAATGGAGATGGATTGGCTGGTCGTACTCTGAGGAGACCATCAAGTGACACCACTAGACAAGCCATTTCTCGAGTGGAACCCGAAAGAGAAGCGGCGAGTTGGTCGTCAGTACAAGGGTGAGGGTGACTTGGAGGAGGTCATGTGAAGAGGAGATGAAGGAGTGTTGGCAGACTTGGAGCCAGATGAAAACTCTAGAAGAGAACCGGACTCAGTGGAGACGCACGGGTGAAGCCCTATGTTCCTCTAGGAGTTAAAGGAAACAATAATAATAATAATGGATGAAAAACAAAACGACATTGTTTTTACTGACATTTCGCTATTTAATGCTAATAGAATATTTAGACTTCAGATCATCACACCCCATCAGCGCAAATGTTTCAGTTGTTTCAAGTCTTCTTAGACAAGCACACTCTCTGATAACGGATGAGAAAGAAAAAGAAGAAGAAATATCAAACATTACTGAAACTCTCAAGCAAAACAACTACCCAAAGAACTTCATCAACAAAATCAACACTGACATTAAGTTTGGTCGAAAACGCATTCCGGAAACATGGATCTTAACAGCTGTCATTCCATATAGAGCAGAGACGTCAGACGATATCAAAGGAGTACTCATAAGCTCGACATCAGAGTTTTCTTCAAAACATCAGACACACTACGAAACAACCTCGTCCATATAAAGGACCAAATCCCTAAGGATTCTCTATCTAATTGTGTCTATAAAAAAAAATGCTTACTGGGAATGTGATGCAATATACATCGGACAAACATCACCAGAGAGAAATCAAAATCAGCAGAAATGAACACCGTAAAGCATCTGCTCAACCACCAAGAAATCCACTTGAACTAGAAAAGCTTGAAAAATCATCAACCAGCCATAGGTCTACATACTATAGAATCAGGCCACAAAATTGATTTTGACAATATTGAAATCATCATCCAGAGAAACTTCAGAAATCACAATGGACGTCTAATATCAGAAGCACTTTATATCAGGTGGAATCAAAATTGTCTGAATAGGAATGATGAACTAAAATAGAATTTGATCTGGTTACAACACCCCCCTCCCCTTCCCCATGAAGTGAAAAAATCAACACGAATGTGATAAGCAAGTTCACTACGTAAACACACACACTACTTTTATAATGTTACACACTGATCAAATCCAACAATCTACACTTGGTTTTGTTATCTTTACCAATTGGCCGATTTGACAACGAAAAATGCCCCAATACTGAGGAACGATAGTTAAATTGTTATATAGATGCTGAGATTTTTTAAATTCTGGTTGAATAATTCTTTGATAAAGCTATTAGCATTAAATAGCGAAACGTCAGTAAAAACAATATCGTTTTGTTTTTCATACATTGGGAAATACAAAAACCTTCATTATAATGAATGTCATATACTCAATGCCTAAATTTTTTCAAACTGTTAAAAGTGAACTTGGTTTGGACATATATAATAAAATATTCGTTTCATTTTGGACTTTCTTGTTTACTGATTGAATCGAAGTGATTGGCCTCTGTAGAAATGTCGGCGGAAGCTTCGACAATGTCTGAGGACTTAACCTGAAATGATTTGGTGGATGGTGACTAGTAGTGGAATCCAGGATGAGTACTAGGTACGAACTTCAGTGGCAACACCATCACTTACTGGGGGATGCAGGCACGTCCAGTTGACGAGTCACCAATAGGACGAAAAGTGCATTCTGGATTCTACTGTTAGTCACCATCGATCAAATTATTTGAAGAAATAAAAATAGCTTAGCAGCTCACTTTATATGGTTGTGTACGAAGTGGAATAAATAAATCCTTCTCTATTCGTCCTTCCAACAATTCTTTCTTCTTTAGATCAACTGTTTGTGCAGATGATAACACTTTTGAAGGCGTCTGATGTAACACGACCTAAAATTATAAAGACATTCGTTTATTCATGAGGAAATCAATTTTATAATAGTTTAAAATTGAAGGACCTTTAATCATTTTATTGAATGGATAATTTAATGGTTTTATGAAACAAATAGCTTTCTATATTAGAAAAATAACGTTTTAATTGCTGTGTTACGAAAGTCTATGAAATTCCAAGTTGTTGGGTGTTCTTAATTATTGTGATTAAACCGAAAATGGGATTTTTTAAAATTGATATTGTAAACAGTTGAAAATTTATTCAATAAAGGTTGAAATGAAATTTCAAAGGGTATTGTATATTGCTATTTATTTATAATTGTGGTTTCCCACCGATACATGTGAAACGGATTATTATTGTTACTGTTATTCATTTTTTGTATTCCGAGTGGAACATAGAGCCTCAGAGGCAAATCCCCGCTGCACTCGGTTCTCTGCCATCACTTTAAGACTGCTCAGTGACGGCCCATAAACTCTCATTTCCTCTTCGTATGGTCTCCAGCATGTCGAACTTGGATGTAAAAACCGTGTCGCTTCCCATTCAATTTCCTCTTGAGCGTCTAGCGTGTGATATTCCTTGAATGTTCCTTCAGAGCATTTCTGATCCATCTCCATTTCCTTCTGCATTTTTGTTGGGCAACAGCTTGTTGACTGGTTCGCTGGCAAGCAGAGTTTCCTGTCGTCTATCCTTTCTGAATGCCCATCTGATCTTCAGTGTTGAGCAAGCACAGGCACTTGTTGGTGAGAATCTGCAACAGACTGTTGGGAGTGCCTTTTGTAACGCATGCTCAAAGTCTCTGAACGGTGTGGAAGCACGGACTTTATATTAGTGTCGAAGATTGGAGTCTTGTTCTTTGCACTACGCGCTGTAGTTCTTCACGCCAACTTCATAGTAGTAAACGCCTGTCTTGCATTCTCAACTTGATCTAGGATTTGAAATTCCCACCCATGTCTCCTGTAGGTAAAACGATGCTGAACAGGCAACTGGAAGAGATGATTTCCTTTAGATTTCTCCCATTTATGGTGTTAATTTGTTAATTAAGGATCTTCATCATCTCTGATTTTTTCTACGTTCACTTAAGGTCCCCACCTGCATCTTCTCCTAACTTGTTGGGTTTTGCTTGTAAATCCTCGAATCTATGCTACGTTAGACAAATCACCTGCGAAATTCAGACCTTCTAGAGTCTTTTTGCCGGTCCAACGTATGCCTGTCTTCTCAATTCCCAAGGTTTCGCGCGTGATTCAGTCCACTTCGGTTAGGAAAATCATTAGTGATGATAGCAGGCAGCCTTGATTTACTCTTACCTTGACTTTATACTCTTCACTGGGCTTTCTTTTGTGGATTACTTGGAATGCTGTGTTTTCGTATGGCTGTTCCGGCTAAAGTCTCCCATCTTTTAGTCTCTTTATGATAATGTGGCCTAATATCTTGCTTTGAGTGGACAGGAGCATGATTCTTTCCCATTCTTTGCTTAGGCGTAAGTTGTTCTTCTTTGGAAGTTAATTGGCAGAAACCTTTCCTTCCTTCCACGCTCTCTTCAGTAATGGCATGAGCGTGTCTATTGAGGTGTCCCGGTCCGTTTTCAGTGGGTTTTTTTTTGGGGGGGGGGAGGGGAGAGTAGTCCCATATGATCTTACTGTTTTCCTGGCTTTCATTAACTTTATGACCTTCAAGACTTCCGATTTTGTTTGTGGATCAGTGTTCAGTGGCAGTTCTGTGTCCACTGATGGTGGTGTTATTTCCGAACGAGTTGCAGGTAAAGGCAGATTCAAGAGTCATATGAGGTGATCTGCCGGTCTTTTTTCTGTTAAATTTATTCAGTGATTGTGTTGCCCTTACTATATTTCAGTTTTCATTTGAGTTTATCCCTTTTAGGATGTCGACGAGGGGATCTGATAGTGTTATGGTGGTGTTTTTTCATCAACAACCTGTTCTGCTTTAGTTGTCAGTGAGTTGTAAGAGTATCTTTTGTTCTTTCTAGCACTCTTCTACACCTGTTTGTTCACTACGTGGTAACTTATATTCATGGCTTTTTGTTGTTCACCTCCACAGCAGTTTATCTTCTACTTCATCGTCTTCCTCTCTTCTATCAGCTTCCAGGTGTCCTGAGGGAACCATTCCTTTTGTTTCATCTTCTTTGTGCTTAAGATATTTCACCGCGTTTCCTTCCACACCGCTTTCAGATAGTCCCAGTGTCCTTACGAACCGAATAGTTAAGCCTCATTCAGGTATATTGGCTCATTGAACAGATGATTTAATATTAACATGATTGCTAACTCAAAGTTACTTGTTTAGTATTGGCTAATAGTGGAATTAAAGACTCAGGTTTCGTCTCATTTGGGACTCGTCATCTAGGTGTACCTGTCTCTCAGTGATTGATAGTGTTCCCACTGAATCTCAAACCCAGCACGCATCACTTTAAACGCCAAGCATTACCAAACGAGCTCATTAGTCTAGTAATTTCGAATATTATTTTATACTTATGAATTCCCGTTTTATTGTTTCAGGACCGTCTTGGCCAAAATATACTCTTTGCGAGGATGACTCAATGATTTCTTGACCTTCAAGGTGACGTTGTTCATTTAATGGTGGTTCAGAAATATCAAGGGGAAGTTACAAGTACACACAAATAGCATTAAATCATTTTCATCGCATAAGAGGTGTCTTACTTGGCTCAGTAATCCTAGAGGTGGAGATAAAAGAATGCTGAATTCAATCCTAGTGGGAACATTTTCGTCTTCTGAGGATCAGGTACATCCGATTAATGAGGCTCAAAGTGAAAGATTTGCAGATTCTAGTGTGTGTCAGCCTTCACTAAACGAGTAATGTCAGTCTTGATTGTTGTACATAATTTTCAGTCTTTTTCTTTCTAATAGATTCATCGAAAAATATCAGAATACTTATGGGTGTTACGCAAAAATTTATTCATTTACTTTGACATTTTGGGGAGTGTTGCCTTGAGCAAATACACTAGTGCATCCGTTCTTTTTGATGGTTAGTAAAGGTTACAGGTGTCTGATCAGTGTCACCTTATTCTAGTGTTCAACTGACAGCTGTTACCTGGATACAGTGGTAGGCCTTGCATATCACAATGAAAAGAGGGGCTATTCTGTCTGGAACAAATGCTCATTTATGTCCTAGAATGCCCAAAAGGAGGCTTGGCTGGGGGCTAGACCAGTAATAATAATTATAACAGCTTTATTCTGAACAGCGTTTATATAATGTACAGAATTTTCAGCGGAGTTGTAGATTGTGTGACACAGTTCTGTCTGATCTGAAAAGCAAATCAATCCATTGCGAAATCTCTTCTTTGTCTCTTTCGAGAAACTCACGACATTTAGTTGAATGCCAACTATAAAAAGTTCAGGAGTACACTTGGTGATGTAAAGACACAACCCAGGAACAGTTGTCGCATGTTTTGAGATTATCTGTCATCCAGGATAATGCTTTTTCTCAAGTTTAATAGAAACTGGTAAAATCAGCAGGTTGTAAACGCTTCAAATACTCGCGAGAGTAAATAACACCATTAGTGATCATATTTTAGTTGATTAAAACAAAGTGAATAGAAAATATAGGCAGGAGGTTTTCGGTAGACCAAGTTTTAAGCAGGCCGCCTTTATTTTTACTTTCAGGGTCATCAATCAATAAAAAAATATCAAAATTTTAAAAAAGTATTCACCAACACTTACATCAGATGAGATAAGAAATTCATTAAAGTTTATTAAAGATAAACTATTCCACTGGTCAAAATCAAATATTCGTTTACGAATCTCTATCACATCCGTAGTACCCCAATAATTGTGTTGAGCATTGAAAAAGCTTGGAATCTGTATTGACTGTAAACCAGCAATCAATTCATAACATGGTTCAATAATTTTTGAATTCATCTAGTATATGTATGCATAAAAAAGATTGAGAAATGATGAAGTAAGATTTAAAAAATAATCAATATATTTATATTGATTAAAGTACATGATGAGATACTTTTTGGTTTGATAGACAGGTATTAATTTAGGAGATATTTTATACGAAAAGTTACATTTTGTAAAAAAGCCTTTCAAAGTGAAAACAGTAAACATTGTGTGAATGAACTGAACTCGCAGAGTTCAAAATTTGTGTGTAATTAACTCGCTTTTATGATATCATTGTTAGTATACTTGGTCAAACTTGTTCAAAATTAATCGAATCTATGTAGACAGACATTTGAAAACTAGTCTAGTTGCTGCCTAGTGACTGACTGACTAACGGACGAAGTTTCCTGAAATTCTGGTGGGAAGCTGTAACCAGAGGGGTCCATCAGTTTGGGCTTGAAGACAGATACTCACTGATGACACTGGATGGCGGTGGCGGTATATCGTGAATTGTCAAAGTTATGATCCATGGACTATTGGATTCCGCTCCAGGGGCTGAATGGCATACGAGTTCGCCTTGTAATCTAGAGGTCCTGGGTGTATACTGATGAAGAATCTTGTTAAGGAAAAGAACAGATGGCCAGCATTCCTGAGTTTTCAGTGATTCTCTAACTAAACTCATTTAGTGGTCAGACTTGAAGTCAGTCAAATCCCTTCCAATCAGTACTTGAAAATTAATTGGGTTATGGTCTTTTACATATTTGTACGTACATGCATATTGATGAATAGATGTGAAAATACGTTAGATGGTTAGAGGAGATGGGAAGTCAACCCTTGAACTAGCTAGGTTCGGCAGTTTTAGGGATGTATCAGGAAGGAGTATCTGCAATCTCCAAGGTGTTGACACTCAACTCGGAGATTCGAATTCTCACCATACACTGTCACAGTCAGAGACGTCCCCACTGAGGTATTTAGGCCCACAATTCACTTCATGCAGGAATGTAATAGGTACGTCGATTGATCACTAGATAGAATAAACAGTGTTATGTGTCTAGTCCATATTGTTGGTACTAACCACATTCTATCGGGCAAGTTTTTGCTGGTTAATTTTAGCGAACTATTATTATTATTGTTCCCTTGGGTTCCTAGTGGAACATAGGGCTTCAACTGCACGTCTCCAACTGCTTCTGTCTTCTGCTGTACTTTTCACTTGCATCCATGTCAATCCATACTGTTTCAACTCATCTTCACACGATCTCCTCCATGTCATCCTTGCACTGACGTCCCACTCGCCGCTTCCCTTTCGGGTTCCACTCGAGGGCCTGACGCGCGATGTCACCCAACGGCCTCCTCAGCTCAGCGAGTGTCCAATCCCTCTCCACTTTCTCCTGCATATTTGTTGAGCGATTGGTTCTTGTTTCCTTTGTTCCCATAGTTTCTTGTTGGTGATTCTTTCCGGCCATCTGATCTTCAATATAGAACGAAGACAGTTGTTGATAAAGGTCTGCAACAGGCTGTTGGAAATATTCTTTGTGACCCGCCGTCAAGTTTCTGATCCGTATAGCAAAGGTGACTTGACGTTTGTATTGAAAATCCGAATTTTGTTGTTGATGCAGGCTGAGTGATGAAGATTTCCAGATTGGTTTCAGGTTGATGAATGTGCTTCTCACCTTCCCGATTCTCGCTCGATTTGACATCCTCGTCCGTTCCTCGTGTAGTTGAGACAATGCTCCCTAGATAAGTGAATGAAGTAACCTCTTTCAAATCCCTCCCGTTGATGGTGATTGGCGCTGGATGTTGCTGCTGTTGTTGTTGTTGTTGGTTGGTTATTTTCGTAACCTCCGTCTTGTCTATGTTCACCTGGAGTCCTGTCTTTGCTGCTTCTTCGACCAGTTTGTCGGTTTTCGCTCGTAAGTCTTCGATTTTGTTCGATTTAGCGAACTAAACTATAAAAGTATTTGTGTTTGACAAGGACACTCTATGCTATCAACTTCGATACCAAATTTTAACTAAGTGACTGTGCAAAAGATTTAGAGCACATAAAAATGAAATGAATTCAATTCTGCCTACAATGTTTGTTTCCATTACACTTTGGAGTAATAGCAACTTAAGTTAAACAATATTGTGATAATATTTGAACTAACAACCTCTGAATTATCCATATTAGTCTGAAATCCAAAGTGTAATAAATGTTATGCAGTAATACATTTTAAACGGCTCATAGGATGAACTTTAATGTTATTTGATTGATGATGGCTAGCAGTCAAGTCCAGGAGCTGCATATCGTTCTGTTTGGAACTCATCATCTGGATACACCTACATCTCGGTGAATGATGATGTTCCCATCTAGACTCAAACCGAGAACTCATCAATTGAAATACCATAAAATGGAATTTCAATAAATAGTGAACAATAATGCTCACAAACCACAAAATTTCGCGATTTATGTATATTAGAAACTTGATACGATGATTTATAAATCTGATTAGTCAACTGGCTGAAAGTACACGAACACAGTGAGCAGTATTCGCTGTCCGAACACATTATGCTTGTTGTCATGGTGCACCGCTAGTTTAGAAGTGATAGGATTCGTTAAAAAGCTTACCGTTAAGTACCGATCACCATACTGGTTAGAAGGGCTAACCATTTTTTAAGCCTTCCTTTTAGGAGCGTGGCTGCACCCCCTTTTCATGGCAGGAACACTTTATCTTCACATCACCGTTATGGTTTAAGCAAATCATGCTGCAGCTGTAACTTCCTTTAACCCTACCACTATCTCACCGGTCAGTATAGTTCACTGGGTCATCGCGATGTGGAAGTCCAAAAGCCAACTGATGGTAGCAGGTGTTGTTTGAAAAATGCAGGTCGGGAGGTCAGAATTACATAAAAATCTTACTGCTGATTGATATACAAGACACAAGAATCTGAAAGTTGATTTCAGTGTGATTTCTATCGCCCATAAACACCAGCTAAAGAATTACTAAAGACTAAGTAGATCTAAAAAGCCACTTTATTCTAATTATCTTAGTTTTGTAGCAGTGTCTTCAAGGTCCTATGCATGATAGAGTTTTCAACTGTTAGGCGTTACTGTGAGGAGGTTACTATTACTCTGGTCTGTTGAAATCTTCAAGTCTGTAGTCAGGGTAAGAGAAATTATGATGAATGGGATATTACGTAACTTTGGACATTACAAACCGTAAGACACTGGGTTATGATGCTTTTCATGAATACTAACAATACTAACTGCCAAAACAGATACATCAGACGAACAGAAAGAAGGATTTGTGACTGCATATCTAACCACATTCTGACAGACTTAGTGATGCAACTGATTTTCACTTGTTGGACAGCAGTCATGAAATCGATGTGATAGAATTCTTTGCGACAATTAAAGTTCGAGACAGCTGAAGATTGTTACGCATCACTGAAGCGATAACCACTAAACGATTAAAGCCAAATTTATGCATCCTAAAGGAAACCGTTGTTAATCTCTCTTTTCCTTGATAAATAAATATACGTTACTTAATTGTTTTTTTTGTTAATTTTGTCATTTTAATTACATTTGTTTCGACAGTGTAATCTCCTAACCTAATTTTGTCCTTGACAGGACCTTTTTGGACCACTATTCAACTAAATTATTTGACCATTACGTAAGTGCATTGTTGATTTGACAACATTTGATGCTAATTCTAGAATATTCTTTAATTATTTCTATACACTCTAAGGAGCTTAAAAACAAATTTTATTTTCAAGAGCTGGTTTGTAGGGACTCAGTTTATTTCATGTTCAATCGCGGGCTGATGTCAGTTAGAGAACTATTGAAAATTAAGGAGTAATGGACAGCTGTTTCATCCTAGTTTGTGAATCATCGGCAGTACGCAGGCACCAGGGTTTGCACTCAGGACTTTCTGGTTTCAAGGTAAGCTCATAGACTACCATTCAGCCACTGGGACCCGATTCAATGGCCTACGAGTTCTAATTTCTACCACTTCATGATTTTAGCGCAATCACCGGGTAATTTCTTCAGTGGTAACTGATGAAGGGTCCCAAACTAGTACGAAACAGCTGTCCAGTACTTGCTGGTTTTCAATCGTTCTCTGAAATCAGTTCGTGATCAAAATTGAAACGACTTTTATTCCTTTCCGTTATGCCACTTAATCACGTGATATTAATATCCCTCACCTTTACTATCAGTAACTAATCTATTTGAACCGTTTGTATATTATTATTAAAGCTATTTACGATTGTATGTCGCTTACAAGAATCAATTAAATAAAATGACATCAATTTTATTCTTCAAGTATTGGTTTTGTAGGGATTTTGTTTGGTGAAATCCTCCATGCATTTTTATTCTTCTCAATGGGTTCTTTTCGCCAAGTTCAAATTTATCAAAGGAAATAAGTGTATGAAGTTCTGGATGGGTATGGAAGAGTCAGTTGGCATTACTGAAAAGTACCAAGCTAGAACAAAATGTCTGTCCAGTGGTCAATAGTTTTACCCACACTATCGGTCTATAAGGGAAGCCATTCTAAAATCAACTGATTTGTAGCAATTCTTAAGGAAAATAAGTAAGGGAAAGTTATTCGAATTTCTGTGAGTAAGCGTTTAGTGTCGGTGGCATAGCGGTTAGGACGTTCGCCGACCATGCACATGGTCCGGGGTTCGATCCCCGGCCGACGAATTCCTTTACCTCACTAAGCAAGGAATAATGCTGGTGAAGAGGAAAGGTTGGGCATGAGGCTAGCAACGCCATCCTGTAAAAATTAAACCCTGCTACAGAAACTTCAAGCCATTAGCTTGAAGCCCTATGTTCCACTGGGGAACGTGAAGGATAAAAAAAGCGTTTAGTGTTCGTGTGCTTCTTTTTACTGCATTAACAACTCACCTTACAATTATCAAAACTATTATATCGAAGTGTAATATTCTGTGTACCAAAAACACCAATCACATAACATTCCCATGGATTCATAAATTGATTTCTTCTCCGCACACATATTTCATTATCATGAAGTATATTTCTTTGCATAATCGATTGATACACCATTGACTGAGGCGACTGACTCTCACCATGAAGTCGAATGATGTATTGACAGTTTGTATTTTGAATGAAGCCATTATCTGTGAGTAGAATTTCACGTTCCATACCATATAAATGTAATAGACCATTTGATAGACCACTGTTCATCCGAATATTTGAACATAAATTATTTAATAGTTGATTCTTTTGAATTTTTATGATTCCAGTATAACCAGAAATTTGAATACTGAAATTATGATTTGTTTTAAATTGATTATTCAACAGTTCAATGTGATGATGATGAGGGATAGGCAGTAGATTCATCACGCCAATCATAATCATTTGAGATAAACGGTAGATGAATGCTTAACCCATGTGTAATAATCATTGGTGATATTAAAAATCTGTCCATATTTGTTTCATTATTAAGTAAACCATTTTGATAGAAATTGTTATCTGTTATTGAGAAAGATAGAATGTTATTCGCAAATTCTATAGGATTATGTTGAACTAATAGACTACCATAAGCATTATAAGAAAATTCACAATTTGTTATAGTATAGTTGATAAATGAGAGACGTTCAGCTGACTGTCTGAATTCTGCATTCTCTGGAGGAGATAACCATTCATGGGTGAATTGTGTTTTTGAGTTGATTTGTACACCGGTGTAATGATTTCCTCTGAAATTGGATAATTATAAGAGGTTATGTGAGAAATACTCATTACGGAAATATATTTATAATAATTTTGCTTACTTATAAGTAGTTTAAATGTTTTCAATAAAAATTTCTCTGGGGGTACATGTGACTTCAAGTATCTAAACAAGTTAACTAACAGAAGAGAAATAGTATATGAGCAGAACATCAATACGCTGATGTGGGATATAACTACTCTAGTACATTCGCTGGATGTAGTGTACAGGAAAACTGAACTATTGCACTTTGCTTGAAGTTACACTGAAGACAATAAATCAAGCAGGTGTAAACCTTCATGGGGACATAACTACTTAAACTATCGTCTTTCAGGAAAAATAAAAAATTCGCATTATGAAATGTTATTAGAAATAGTTCAGTGATTGCCAGTGAAATCACTGGCGATTATTCTGTGATTTCTTTCTTCCTTATGATTTACTGTCCTCTCTCCGCTTAAATTAGTTGTTGCTGAACGGTTAACGAGTTCACATAGTAGCCTGAAGATCCTGAGTTTGGTCTACAGTGGAATCATCAGGAAATTACATTTTAGTAAAAAAAATTAGGGATGGTAAAACATGCTACTGGATGATGTTAGCAGTCAGCCACACCAAGACTGTCTGAACACCCTGAATCTGTTTCTCTCGTTCTGAGCCCTACTCAGCAAACATGTATTCGAACTGACTTAATCTGCACCTTAATCTGAGCATTTTGTTTTTGAAAAATGGACCTTGATGAAATTTTGAATGAACTGAGCAAATTCTTGAAAATGGACTAGAATGCTGTGAGGTATCATGTGGTCTTTGATAGGTTAGAAGTTCGATCTATTTCCACAGAGATGACTGGAAATACTACCTCTCACTCAGTTAGGAAGACTGCGAGTGTAAAAGACTTTAAAAGATTTTTGTTGCACACGGTGAGTTTTTGGAAGGAGGTTGAGTAGGACAACTTCATTTTACTTATTGACCTACCAAACCTCCCTATCAACCAGCGGTTATGTAATTGATCGACACATAACTGACTGCTCATAGTTACAGTAGCTTCATACTGAGGTTTTCTGACCTCAGAAGCAGCAGTATTGAAATAAGGAGAAGAAAAAAGAGACCTGTTACTGCTGAGGCCATCCAAGATGATCTTATTTAAACGGACTGATTTCAATGCAGCAGATAGAATGGCTACTGAAGTTGATGTGAAAACCAAGAACATTTCCGGATTCGTAAATAAAAACAATGTTTGACCACTTCCGCCTCCTGTTTTATTACAACTGGTATGAAAATACACCTGGAAAACTAGTTAGGTGACGTTGAGACGGTTATGTCATTCAGAAGGAAGCCGGATAAACCCATCTTCTTATAAAGTAATCGCTAAGTGTTAATTTAGAGCTAGAGGCTTCCATAACCTAGGCTCTGTTACAGTTTCATCCACCAACCGATTACATTCTAATCAGTCTTTGAGTAAAAGACTGCTTTAGACAGTCTCTATAACTCACAAACATACAGTATTCACAACTAGGTGGGGTTTCAAGCAGAATTTATTAATTTTCTGTATATATTCCCCCAACCCCACCTGTTATTCACTTCAGTGTTTCATATATCCGGCATAAGCGTTGCATCATTTCGATTGCACATATTAAGTGTTGATTCGGTGATTAACCTATCTTTCCATCTAACTATATTACTTTTTAATGTTTTCACCCTATCCATCCTAATATGTTATTGTATGTGAATGAATGCAATACAATGGCCACGCTCATTTTCTACACCATTTAACTTAGCAGAGTCAATCATTCTAGCCCTAGCTAGATTTATAGATTCCGATTAATAGGCTAATTTTAATAATCTATTAAATGAACTAGGCCGTCATAATGCATTTACTCTCACGTAATCAATCACACAACAGGGACAGGTTGAAAGATAAAACACACCTAATCTTTGTTCATCGAATCAATGCCAAAGAGATGCAGCAGAAATGACGTGACTCCCATCCCTGATATATGGAAAACTGCAATGAATAACAGGTGGTGTGAGGGAAGAAGAAAGCAAATTACGAAGTCGTGTAAACACACTGATATATTTGTAAGTAATGAATTCTGGGTGAAACCTCATTCAGTTATCATAGTGTGAGACAGTGTGTTATCTAATATGGATTTATATTCTACTATATTACCTAAATTCTACGCTTGCATTATATCCCTACATGTGAAGTCAGTGCTACTCACTATACGGATCAGAGACTTGCACTGCGCGTCATAAAGAGCATCTCAAACAAACTACACACCTTCATTGACAGTTGTCTTTGCTCAATACTCAAGATCAGATGGCCAGAAAAGATCAGCAACAGAGATCTCTGGCAGTGAGTGAACCAACACAGCAGGAACCGATTGTGCAACAAATAGGCAGGAAGAAATGGAGATGGATTAGCTGGCCATACTCTGAGGAAACAATCCATCAAGTGACATCACTAGACAAGCCATTGCTCGAGTGGAACCCGAAAGGGAAGCGGCGATTTGGTCGTCAGTGCGAGGGTGGGTGACTTGGAGGAGGTGATGTGAAGAGGAGATGAAAGCGTGTGGGCAGACTTGGAGCCAGGTGAAGACTTAGCAGAGAACCGAACGCAATGGAGACGCACGGCTGAAGCCCTATGTTCCTCTAGGAATTAAAGGAAACAATAATAATAATAAAATAATTATATCCCTACAACGGTTCAGAGAATAATTAGAGTTACTAGAAGGAAGGATATTTTTACTTGACTCCTGTTTTAGATATGCACAAAACACTTGACGAATTAATGAATGTTAGGCATCTTTAAATGTGCCTGTTAGCTTACTTGATTTTAACATTGCGAAAGCTGAAATCTTCATGTGTATGACGCCAATATTGATTTCCAAATCTGTCCAACGGATCACTGTAATGATTTAATACAGCACCGATTAAATTATTTTCTAAAAGTGTACTTTCCACACGAAAACTTGGTCTAAGTAGATAACGTGAATTCAGATAGTTCATTTGTGGTCTCTGCGAAACAGAAGTGTACTGAAGGAGGCGTTCATTATTCATCCGTCTTTCTGAATAATCTTGATGAGGCAGTAAATTTCTAGTTTGAATAGCAAATAAATATTGACCAGATTTTAATCCATTAACGCGTAATTCAATGATCACTTTGTTCGTTGACGATATAATTGGAAAATGTGTCAAATCTCTTGGTATTCTCCAGTTATACACTTGAGATGGATTAAAATTTGAAAATCCTGAATCATAAATAATAAGTTCTTCTTTTGTTTCATTGAGCAGTGTCTTTTTTGTAAAGCCATCAGAAGTATAGTCATTATTGTCAACCATTGTTGGGAGAATTGAATTCGACAGAGTAATTGATGGACCAATAATTGCTTTAGGATAACTGTCAGCTTGTTGTTGACTAGTCGGAAGAATATTGCCTTGTGGAATTTCCAGTAAATCAATAATGATTTGATGTAGATGATGTGCATCGTTGGCTGATAACTCAGTTCTATAAATTGTCTATTTGTTTAGAGAAAGAAAGTAGGAAAGAAAATGTCAATATGAAGAAAAGAAAGCACGGTGAAATGACAAGATGATTTGCATTTTATATACTACTGATTGGTTGCCATGAGTAGTTGTGTACCACTCACATCAACCGGTAGTGCTTGCTAGACAAATTGAAGTGGTCTGAACATCAGACGGCAGTTTCCTACGTTTGAGGCCAAGTTCATTAGAGATGTACCTGGTTCGATTAAGCGCAGAGAGCCGAATCATTCCAAATCACTTGAATTATGGCTACTTATTTGAGCAGGCTGGTGACACTATAAGTTAAGTTCGCAATTTGCAATTTACGCAGGTTGATGTGAAAATTCCCTTGAAAACCTAAATTATCCAGGTTTAAATATGTGATCTGAAAGTGATCTGTGTGGTCTTCCATCTGGTTAGCAAGCACTACTGATTGATGCGAGTGATCTGAAACTGTTCTTGGCCACCATTTATATTATCAAGCTGATCACATATCCTGATCTAAACAACTTCCTTTTCCAAAGGAAACTGAGGTGAAATCTCAGCGTGAACTTCATAAATTGCAAACTGAGAATCCGAATTTCGGTTTTTTGATGGGAATGTGTCAGATAAGTCAGATAGACAAGGAAAGCAGTTTGACTGGTCGGAATAATTTCGATGACAAGGTCAATGACTAAGAATATGAATATTATTTCCCTGCTGTTAAGCCTCTATTTCACAGATATTAGTTAGAAAGTTCGGATTCTTTTCCAGAAGGATAATTATACATAATTTTGAAGAAGAATTAGTAAGTATTCACAAAATACCTAGTAATAACGCTTAGTTTTATGTATAAGGATAAAAGTGACTTGCTGACTTCTATTTTAATAGATGAACACAGTGATAAGGAGAGCATGTTTTCATATTAATTGGGTTTTGACGGTTGAATGGTAACAACTGTTCCATTTCCACCATCCCTATGATTTGGAAGTTTAATTTCAATGCACAAAATTGTTTGCTAAGTGCAGACAAGAAGTGAACATATCTGCACCACTTACAACATTTTTGAACTGCACCACCAATAGTCTCCAACCATTGATTCCAAGTTTCTTGGCGACCCCTATCAGGCAGACTACAATTCCTTACGTGTCTCATGCCTGTTGTCAAAAACTTCGTGAATTGGTGCCAGATTTTGGTCTGACCACACCTGTTCCTTTTCCAATCCCTATTTTTTTGTCAGCTAACATTGTTCAGTGAGGGAGGAGATGACTCAGTCTGCGTAACACGTGTCCTAGCCATCTCAGTCAATGTAGCTGCACAACTTCACCTATTGATTTTCCCTCCTCACACAACACTCTACGCCAAACCCCATTATCATTATTATTTACTATATTGTACCAAAACGAGGGAGATGGGACGCAAACACTTATGGTCAGAGACAGCTAGTCTCTTCGGATCTTTCACTTCCGATGGTCACATCTCACAGCCACAACGAAGGACTGAAAGAACTGTTGTGCTGTACATGTGTTCTTCGACTGATAGCCGGAATAACAGTTCAAACGACTTAATATCCAGTATATCAGACTTCGAGCCATGTTGACTGAATGTAGACACAGTGCTAAAAAGTTAGGCGCTTAAGTAAATAAACCATCTTACAGATTAGTTTACTATTTTTCTTTTTGTTAAGCACGCAGAAAATTGGTTTACTTTTCATTGATAACTGCAATTTCCCATTGATATATGCAAACCGCATTTATCAGCATCGTGACTCACTGCCATAGTACATAGCACTGGCTTTTGAAGTGATAGGTGGGAACACTATCATTTACTGAGGAGCAGGTATATTCAGCTGACGAGTCCCAAGCAGCAAGCAAAGCTCTGTCTCCTTCCATCCTCTACCGAAAGAGTAAAATCCATTTCTTTTTGTTAACGTAGACAGGATTTCAGAAAGACGGCATTAATTCATGTGAATGATTTATCAGTTAGACTATGGGATGACAGTCATCTGAACAAAAAAGTGCTTATTAGATGGTGTTCAACAACACATTTCCACTTTGTTCTATTTCTTTCAGTCCTCTTCAGCTCTGTCTCTTCTCTCATTTCCTCTATATCACTCTCGGATGACTCACTCGCTGTTTCCCATTTGGGTTCCACTAGAACGATGACCTAGAGAGCAATTTCATTAGACAGTCTCCCCAGTGTGTGCCCTGTACATCGCCATTTTCGCCTACATATTTGTTGAACTATAGGTTCTTGGTTAGTTTGTCCCCATAGTTTCTTGTTGCTAATTCTTTCTGGCCCACCATTTGATCTTCAGTATGGAGCCAGAGAAGGCAACTGTTGATGAAGGTTTGTAACTTGTTGGAATTCCTTTTCGTGACACGCAGTGCAAGCTTCTGACCCATATCGAAGAACTGAGTAGCTTAAGATTTGTGTTGAAAATCCGAGTCTTGTTCTTTACTTTGAGTGCAGTAGATTTCCAGACTGATTTTAGAGTGACGCAACCGTGTCTTGCCTTTACGATTCTGGCTGGTTTTGACATCATAATCGTCCCACCTGTGGTTGGAAAAAGTGCTTCCTAGATAATCGAAGGAAGTAACCTCATTCAAATCTCTTCCGTTAGTAGTGGTTGGTGCTGGTTGATGTTGTTGCCGTCGCTGTTGGCTGTTTATTTCCATCACTTCCGTCTTCTCCAAGTTGACCTTCAGTTTCGTCTTCGCTGCCTGCTTCTTCTGCCAGTTTGTTGCTTTTCACCTATAAGTCTTCAAGTTTGTGTGACACTAGACAGATATCATCCAAGCACGAAACCAGATCTTCTAGAGTCTTCTTATCGGTGGTCCAGTGTATTCCTGTCTCCTAGCTCCCGACTCATGGTCTGACGCATGATACAGTCCACCACAATTAAGAATATCATCGATGATAATAGGCAGACAGCCTTGTCTCACTCCTGTATTCACTTAGAATGCATCTCTAAATTGTGTAAATATTTAAAAAATGAGATGAAACAAATAAAACGGCTTGATAAAACGTGTCTCATACAAAAGTAAAAAAAGGAGAAACTTACCTTTTCAATACTTTTACCGACAGGTACATTAACAAATGTGATACCTGTTGGATGAAGTTTCTCATAAGCCTCTACAACATTCCATCCTTCAGGTAATGATTTAACTGTTGTCATTCTGTGATTAGAGGAAGTGCTTATATCATCTTGGAAATTTCTGAATAACGTCAGTGTAGGCACAATACCACCATGAAATAAAATACGATCTTTTGTTTTCATTGATGGATTGAAATGAATTCCAGCATCTGTTTGACTGCCTGTCACTTGGCAGTTGATTACCTTGAACCATGCAGTATGAGTTGATATGCCTGAACCGAAATTATTGATAAATTGACTATGAGTCACTGTTACACCATTTAATGGATCACTGTGGCGAACAACAAGGCCATCAGATAAACTGTTGGTAATCTGTAATAAATATGAAAAAATGAAAGGTGATTATTTCTGGCATTTGAATCCTATTGTCAACTAAAATTATATTTAATTGAATTTTAGATTTTCCCGTCGACTGATTGGACTGAAGTGCTCGGTCTCAGGTTGACATGTCGGCTTCTTGTGCAGATGCTTCAACGATGTCTGGGCATGTAATTAGAAGATAATTGGTGGATGGTGACTAGCAGTGGAATCCAGAAAGCTTATTTCGTCCTGTTTGGGACTCGTCAACTGGATATACCTGCATTCCCCAGTGAGTGATGATGTTCCCACCGATGCTCGTACCCAGTTCCCATAGTTTCGAACGCCAAAGCGTTATCTAATTCAATTAAATTAATATGACACGTTCCACAAGAGGTGGCTCTTGTGACCCAAGGGGATAATGCTTTAGCGTTTGAAAGTATGGGGACTGGGTTCGAGCATCGGTGGGAACATCATCACTCACTGGGGAATGCAGGTACATCCTAAATAGGACGAAATGCGCATTCTGGAGTTCACTGCTAGTCACCATCCACAAATTATCTTCTCAAATAATGATTTTTCTTTAGTGGTTATTTCTGTACTAAGCGGTAAATCATTGTCAGATTTAGGCATTTTCACTAGGATGTGAATAAGAATTTTCGAATACTGGTTTGTGACACCACGCAGGGTTGTTGGTTCAATGGTAGAATGTTTGTCAGCCATGCATTTAGACCAGGTTTGATTCCCTGCTGACATAATCTTTGACCACCTAGATTACCAGCCGGTAGTAAGTGAGGAAAAGAAGAGAGGTTACGTATGAGGATAGTAATCCCACATCGCAATTCAACAACAGCGCTACTCAAACTTCAAAGATTGAAGGCTTTTGTTTCACTCGGAACTCAAAGGAATGAAAAAAAGATTACCGAGTTATTCAAACAGAAGTGAGAGGAACGGGGTTGTATGTCACAGAAAGTAATTTACGTCTTCACGAAGAGTTCCTAATAGGTAACTGGGTCAGTGGACATGGATTATTTAACGAAATATCGTCTTAAAGGTTTTAATACTTCAAAAATATAAAAAAGGTTTATGTTGAAATAACGGCGGATATCTGTAGCTCAGGTGGAATATTTTGGTACCATTGTGTTCTGCCAGTCGGATAGATTAACTGGGAAGCTTTAATTGCCCCTCTGGACAAAATCTTCCGGATTAACTTTAGTGTGGGTGTTTTCGAGGTTCCACATCAGTGATATAACCAACCTGCCTTATGATCATGACTGGTTGTCTTTAGAGTGATTTTTATCAATGTGAAGCCAAGGTACTGTAGTATTCCTGCTCTGAGTAGAATAGAAGACGAATGTCTTTTGACAGTCTTCAAGAAAAATAAACATCCTTGCAATTTCATTAAAATATGTCTACACTCAAATCAAGTGACAAGCAAAAAGCCGTCCATAAAAACCACAAATACAGAACACTTCTGAAATCACTGCCAGGAACAGCTATCGCACACAAACCAAGACCAAAAGATCAAATAGCAGAAGGAGAAAAGATCAACTCCATCTACAAGATAAATTGCATCAACTGTGAAAAATATTACACTGGCCAAAACGGACGTTTTCTTCGTCTCTGCATTCAAGAACATTAACCAGCTGCCAAAAGGTATAACTTGTATTCCTTCAAATCAGTACAGGCAGACAAATGCGGATATGAATTAGACTGGAAAAATTTCAAACAGTGAAAGTACTAAAAATTCTGGAGAATTCGTAGAAGTCTGGTACTCGCTCGGATCAATGTTCACTATACAAACACAGTGACATAGATCAAATTTACCAATGAGTAAAGAATAAGTCACATGGTAAAACGCCAAATACCAGGTTAACAAAACTATGCATACTAATAAAAATTAATAAAAGAAGCAAGCTCCTGAAGAAAGTCAATTACAGTCGAAACCACCGCTGAATTAAATACCGGAGATGCTGTCTAGAAGGACAATGAAAACTTTGCAATTAGACCATCGAGTGAGAAAGCGCAGTAACACCAAAAAAGAGGTGTATATATAGGCGTACATTTTTTTTCCTTTACTTTCCCCAGTGGAACATAGGGCTTCAAGCTAATGGCTTGAAGTTTCTGTAGCAGTGTTTATTTTACAGGATGGAGTTACTAGCCTCATGCCCAAACTTTCCTCTTCACCAGCATTATTTCTGGCTTAGCGAAGTAAAGGAGTGCGTCGGCAGGGGATCAAACGCCGGACCATGTGCATGGTCGGCGAGCGTCCTAACCGCTATGCCACCGACGCTAGGCATATTAGTCACGTGTTTTAAATTTAAAATTACTGACTCTTTCAGCACATACAGTCCAACGGTCTTCGATTAAACAGATTCTGCGTGGATAGTGACTGGCGGTGGAATCCAGCGGAATCATTCTATTTGGGACCCATCAGAAGGGTGTACTTGCATTCTTAGTGAGTTATGATGTTCCTACTAAAACTGGAACCCTACACTTATCGTTTCAAACACCAAAATAATATTTGTCAGGCTACTAAGGCCCACAAACGCAAATTAACTTAGAAACGAATAGGATTTTGAAAACCAAATTAATAAGTAAGTTACTCACAAATTGAACGATTCTGAATGCTCAACATGCATTTTAATTACATTTTTAAAAGCAAAAATGTCTGTATGGATGGTGAAACTGAGGAAAGCCTAAGTTGGAGTAGAATGCAAAACAGAACTTGTTATCAAAAGATTAAATCAAGATTAGTATATAGTGTAAATTCAGGTGTCTTTGCTGAATTATCAAAGAACTCAAGACAAATTTATAAGGTAAACCAGTTTTCGCTTTTTTTTGCTTCAGTGAGCTTTATGTAATTTCATATATTTCACAAAAGCCCTGTGCTGACAGTCTTACAGATTCCTCATAAAGAAAGTATTTATTTTTGTTAACAAATATCCATTCAGAAAACTTGAGGGTAATTCCTACAGTGAATTAATTTCACTGGGTACGCTTTTATTTCTTTCATGGCTAGTATTATTTATTCTTGTTCTTCGATCTTTTAGTGAATCGCTTAAACACTAGAGAATACCTTCTAATCATTATACAAACTGTTAATAGCTTTAATTCACAATTTGTAATCCTTTTCGTCTAGGCAAAGTTAGATTTCTTCATTTACAGATATCAGTTAAACAGCTAGGGAAGGCTGAGAAAAGAAAAACGAATAACTGTATCACTCTATTTTGGAGGTCATGAGAATTTCATAGGTACGAACTTTTAGGAGTTGTGGATGGGACAGCATTATCATTTAGTCTATAGAATAATTAGAAACTAAAGCAGTCGATATCTGAAATGCTCATTCGAGATATAAAGTGACCATTATTCTAAGTTATTAGTGATTTCATCAGTTTTAACTTAGGTTTCTGACTCACTGATAACCTGTATGCCTTGCAGAGAATTAAAACTTCTAGGCTTTATTATTTATGGTGTCATAAGTACATAGTCTTGAAGGATCTTCAGTTATGCAGGAACATACGTCAGAGGTTCCTTGTTTTCCGGTAGTTAACTCGTCACCATCATTCAGTGATGAAATATGGTGTGAAATGGATTCATCTCTACAGAATGTAAAAATTTTCCTTATAATCTATAAAGTACTGTAAATTCAGATAGTTTATTAGCACTTTGATAGCACTGAGACATGAATACACTTATGGAATCTAGTGAATAATAATCGAATGGAAATAAAAGTGTAACAGCAGAAGGCAAGACAGGGAAGCAAAGGTATATATATATATATATAGTTAGTTAGTATGGCGCCTTAAATTGCTTTTTGAAAACCTGAAAGCTGTTAACCTGATAACCACTTAGTGGAATGGCCCGTACTAAGCAGACAGCTAGGAAATCGACCGGAGGGAAAGCACCAAGAAAACATTTGGCGACGAAAGCAGCCCAAAAATCAGCTCCATTAACCGGAGGTGTTAAAAAGCCACATCGTTACAGGCCAGGTACTGTCGCTCTCCTTGAAATTCGAAGATATCAAAAGTCAACGGAATTGCTCATCCAAAAACTTCCTTTCCAGCATCTGGTTAGAGAAATTGCGCAATATTTCAAAACCGACCTGTGATTCCAAAGTGCTGCCGTGGGTGCTTTACAAGAAGCTAGTGAGGCGTATCTGGTCGGTCTTTTTGAAGACACTAACTTATGTGCAATCCATGCCAAGCGTATCACAATCATGCCAAAGGACATACAGTTGGCTCGCAGAATTCGTGGTGAACGTGCTTAATCTTTGACTATGAAATTTTGCTTCTCTACACATTTCTTAAATATGCATTTCAATGTAATCTCATCATTATTGTGGCAGGATACTAATATTCTTTATATTCTTTAACCAGTCACTGAGCGTGTGATTTTGGTTTATATTAAATGACATGAAATAGAATGTTCAAATGCACATAGTATTCTGTTGCCATTGCAGTACTGAACTGTGGGAATGGTATTCAGACGTTAACATCAACAAATACAATGATTCTTATTGTGAGAATAATATTCCGTTGGACACATTGTCTGTATGACACCATCACAAAAGTAATAACAGGATCTTAGGTTCTGGTTTTACCTTTTTAAGATGTGTCAACTTTCTTATGTTTTCTCTGTTGGAATGACACGATCGACCTATGATAGGCTCGTAGAATGAATTGTACTTGTTTTCAGTTGATTAGATAAATAGAGCCTTCTTTGTTACTCTCTCTCCTTTTTCCCTTCACATTCCCCAGGGAACATAGGGCTTCAAGCTAGTGGCTTGAAGTTTCTGTAGCAGTGTTTATTTTACAGGATGGGGTTGCTAGCCTCATGCCAACCTTTCCTCTTCACCAGCTTTTTACTGGCTTAGCGAGGTAAAGGAGTGAGTCGGCCGGGGATCGAACCTCGGACCATGTGCATGGTCGACCACTCTCTCTCCACACCCTATTATAATTAGATCTTAAGGCTAACATCTTATCCCATCCTTTCGTAAGGTTGTCTGTAATTGCATATAGTGTCATAGCCGATCTATTTTGTGGATTTCTCATCTTATTAGGGTCAATTAATCTAGATTTTGCTAGGATTTTGTGCTCCACTTGTCAAATTGACCCCATCCTACTATTCTAGCCTATGTATGTGACTTGACAGTCAATGTAGGGTATTAGACACACTAAATTATTCTGTTTATTGGGATGCTTTAACCGATATAATTTATTTCTAATTGATTTTGTGGGCTTGAATGTTATTTTCATTCCTGAACTGTTGAGAATTCTGCATAAGTTATCTGAAGCCTTCTCTTTGTATGGGAAGTCTGCTGATGTTTTAAATTCCCTATTGTTGGTGTATTCATCTTTCTGTGTATGTCTGACACTTATGTTGTCCTTATTGTTATTATTATTATTAATTTTATTTCTATAATTTCCTATATACTTCCTGATTAATTTATCAGGGGTAATTATCATCGATACTCGTAGAATGGACTGCTGTATGATACCAGTGATGTCAATCTGTGGGCAGATAGCAGGGGAATTTATAATGCGCATTTTAGACTCATCAAATAGATATATTGAGTTAGAGTCTCGGTGAGAATACTCTCACTTACAGGGATGCAGAATGAGATGGAACACATTTCCTAAATTCCCCTACATAACTCCTTTATAAACTTTAAATATCCCATGAATGAGTAATAACATATTTAGAATTATGCTTGTTCGTTTTAATATTCCACTGTTTATTATTTCAAAGCGAGATGAATTCAAGTGATGAAATTCCTAGTGACATTCTGAATTCTTCTTGTTATCGATTTATCTGAAAATGACTTACTTTCAAATGTGTTATAGTTCCACCGAAATAGTCCAACTGTAAACTTGGCATAAATTCTAAACTTGCATAGTCCAATAGTCCAGCATGATTTATGTGAATATGTGAAATGGTTGATCGCGATCCAGGATCTGAAGCTGTAACACGTATTCCAGTCCATCCGGGACGATGACATTGAATTACTAAATCCATTGAATTGAAACATGTATTAGATGAATAGGTAATGGGTTCATTGTCAAATTCACATTCGAATAGATCAGTTTCATGACCTTGACACTCGATATAGGATATACGATCCATTTGAGTCATTGAGCTGTTTAGTAAATCATTTGCTCTTTTTATGGAAGCTTTTCGTTCATTGTCTGAGGGAAACCAGCTCTTTTAGGAAAAAAATAAAGTAGATTAAAATGGAATAATACGAAACGTCAGTGAAGTAATTGACAAAATCATATAAGTTTGCCTAAGACAATCCCGAAATTTATTACATATTTTATAGGTGATAGCCAGACATCAGACGAACTGTCCTCCTTTAGGTCTTCATCACCTCTGAATTACAGGTAGTCATACTGTACACTTTATCACAATAGCGTTTTATCGAAATTTAGATTTTCAAATCCACATCTGTAGTCATTCAAAAGTTAACCTACGTTTAAAATACACGGTAATTAAGCTTCGAAAGAAGGCTATACTCATTCTTTTTCATTCTTTGCATCCTAAGTGGGACATAGGGCTTCGGACTTTTGAAGTTTTAGTAGCAGTGGCATGTTTTTATGCAGTGGTCTTGCTAGCTTTGCCTCCAACATTCCCTTTTTATTGGGTTGACTGCCAACTAGTACACTATGCGGGGCATAGAAGTGCATCCACTGGGAATCTGTCATTCTTCCACTAGATCACCAATGCACGGCTTTATTCAGTGAAAGTGACTAGTTTAATCACAGCATACTTTTTATTTGCAGATTACGCTTTCTCAAGCGAAACAAATGTCTTGTGTTCGAATAAATTCGATACTCCTGGTTAAAATCTTGAGTAGTTTTATACTACTCATGCTAATTAATAGTATATACCGTCATGTGATAATGAAAACAGTAAAGTGTACCATAAATTAGCATAATTTGCGAAATTATAAATCACCGGATTATTATCGAAGTATTAAATAGTAAATTTCTCGACCTACTATCTGATCGTCCTGAGTTCAGCTTTGACTTCCGTGGTCAGTATGTAATCCTGAAGACTCTCAGATAAAAATAAACAGTTATTAGATTTTATCTGATGTTAATTGATTTTTTGGGTGATGTTTAAAAGTGATGCGAAATACCTTAAGATTTATTATTCCCACAATGACTTCTAGAGTAAAAAGACTTTCGCTGTACTACTTTTGGTATCTAATCGGCTCTGTTGTTAAGAAGCAGCCTGAATCTACAGAAACTCAGGCATTTTTTGAAAGTAATAGTTTTAGTCTTAGTTGAATGACTGTTGAAGCTATCAGACCAAAGCTTGTGAAACTCAACTTCATAAAAACATAGTTTATGTCACCTAGCTGTGGAAGTGACTGTCTAAGAGTTCATAATCGTGTTATAAATAAGAGAGAGGGATTAGATATGTGTCTGGCAAAAGATGGCCATGACTGATTTTGTATTTAATGGTAAAATTAGGGCATTGGTTAATTTATTTTATATGACCGTTTCATGGATTCAGTATACCGCGTTGGAAATTCCAAATGTATGACTTAATAGCATAAAGAATGTTGCAGATACATCTAACCAGTGAGTACAAACATACATGGAATATGAGTTTAATATCTCTTACTATTTAACCCCATCACCCAGACATTCATTAAAATCAGTCCTTTTTTGTTTGAAAAAGATGGTTAACAGAGGTTAGTGATGTCATTAGGGCTGGACAACATGACATTTAGTGATGGCAGTTAATATATTTACGCTTAATTGTGTTGTGATTATGCAGTTTCAAAGTTCCATAATCTTAACACTAATATGTTAAGTTCTTTATTGACTTGTCAGTTATTCCGAAAAGTCGAATTTCAGAATTGATCACTGATTGACTATAGTTAGAGAACCATGGAAAACCCGGGAGTGCTGCACACATATTTCGTCCTAGTTTGGGAGCCCTCATCAGTGCTCATACATGACCCCATCGAGGATCGATCTTGGGACCTTCAGGTCACAAGGCGAGCTCACTGGCTATTTATTCATTACAAGGGAATCCGACCGCCCAATAACTATAATTTCTGACAATTTGTAACTCGATTGCCAGCAAATGTCATGGGCGAGTATCTGTCTTTGAAATCCCTGAATACAAACACTTCAGAGGTAAGTATACTGGAAAACTTCACATTAACATCGTCATACACTATTCTGTTAAACTTAAATGTCTAAATGTTTAAGGAGAATGAAAATATAGTTTGAAGGCTGAAGCCTAGATATGACTATGTCGCAATGTTTACTCTCACAGACTGGTAAGAACTCTGAAGCCATCCAAATAAACACCTCATCAAATTTCACGAATTCACAATATAATGCCAAGAATCTAAATAATATATATACATATGTATATATTGTGTCTTTATGTGAACATGATAAATCTAAAATTATCGTCACTGTTAGAAAAACACGAACACTTACTTTAGGGTGTGCAACCAATCCTAGATTTAGACAAGTTAACATTGCTGCATGTTCATTGAAGCCGTCTTCACAAACAACAGCCCAGTTAGCATATTCTAAACCAGTAGTTTGATTAACTCTTGTAATCCATACTTCTAAACGTCCGTAATAACTGTTGTTATCTACTGACCAACGACCACCAGACAGACGTATAGTATTGCTATTATTATTGAGTAGTTCGGTTTGATTTGAAATAGTATGGCTTGGCTTGTTAGATTCGTTGTCTTGAGTGTAAAGATCAAATATAATTGGAGAAGTCAAACTTCCCTCAAGTTTTATCTCGCCCTATATAAGAAGTGAAGAGGAAAAATATTGGAAAGAGTAAAATCTTTCTTGTAAAAAATACTCTGATAAACATAACAAGGAAATTTCTGATAATCTTTTAGTTACTTATTTCATAATTAGTAGTATGATAGAAATACAAAAAAATGATGGTAGCATCTTTTTTTGAGTAATGATGAATATAAATTTCAACCTGAATACAGTCTTGCAGATACTTCCCGGTGCACTTTACAGATAGGCATTAGAGAGTAGGGGATTTCACGTACCAAAATACGCACGAAACAAAATCCATAAGTGGCATAACTTTGCACTTTATTTACAATGTAACCATGTAGTATTAACTGTTCATTTTCATAGAATTGTATGGTAATTTTCATATTATAATCAAAATGTGCCTACTGTGGATATTTCTTTCTGCTCCACCGTCTCTTGAACCTTATTTTTATTCTAACCATTTAACCTTGTTCTCTATATACTCGCGCGTTATTTATTTGTCACTGTTTGAAAAATCTAGACAGAGATGTGTTATTTTTCTTATTCAAACACCCTGAAACTATTTTTAATGCGGATTAGACCACATACTTCACAAGTGGAGATATTTTCAATTTCTAATTATTCTTCATTAATACAGTATCGTATTTTAGACAGATCCTATGTTCTGGATTTTATGAACAACTCAATCGTTTGGTCTATGCAGTTGAAATGAAAATTAATCGTTTTATTCAGGGTTTCTCAGAAGAGACTGACAGATACACATACATGTTAGAATGTGAAACAAACCTTAACCTTCAAATGATGATTGTTATTGGTAGTAGGCCTGGATTACAGTGAGCTACAAAATAATAAAAATCCTACACTTGACGCATGAGTCCATATAAAAAAGGGGCTGCGGCAGAACACTACATAAACACACTGTACTATAGAGCGAGGAGAATATGCTCTATAGAGAAATTAGAGGAAGAATTTGAGTTTGTTGAAAAGACATTGAAGAGCCATGGGTACCCTTAAAGGTTCATCAACAAGTATGGAAGATCTGAAGTCACAAATGAAAAACAAATCACAGTAAGAAAAAAGCCAATCTACTTTGAGCTTGATTATTAAGGCGAAAACATTGCAGCGATGATCAACAAAAGGCTGAACACATCACTAGCCATAGCCTATCCTGCAGCTAAGCTCGTTCCCGTCTATCGAACAACTTGCTCTTTGATGCAATCAAAAATCGATAGATATCCTTCTCATGTTAACTCCAACTGTATATACAAATTTACATGTATCTGCGGGAGCGGTTACATTGGAAGAACAGAAAGAAGGGCATATCTACGACTTTCTGAACATGTACCAAAAAGCCTACGTCTAAAGGGAACAAATGCTTTCAACAGTGCCATCGCCAGGCATCTCCTTGACACGGGTCATGAGGTGGACGTTGAAAAGTCGTTCAAAATTATCAATAAGCAAAAGAGCTCAATTCTCCTTAAGTTTGCTGAAGCCATTTCCATCAGGCGCCTGAAACCTGATTTGTACTTTCAGAAAGAAGCGGTTATCAGTCTTTCTTCGCCCTGGTAACTGGATATTTTTCATCCGAATGCGAAATGCTGAAAAGTTTTCATTGTGAATGATTATTATTGTTCGGAATAGTGTGTAATATTGCATATATATATTATTTGTGTATGCGTATATTGATCGATTGATTTTTATTTTAAATGAACCCTGTGCAAGTATGTTAAAATTGTTTTTGTAGATACATTTAATAATGTCTTTGCCCTGTAAGCAGCTGATGAGAAGGCAACGAAATAAAAGATGCTAAAACTGTAGTTCTTGCTTTGTTCAAATGAATCATAAAAATAGTCACTTTGTTTCAAGGCTATTTTTAATATATTGTTGAATCTTCAGTATATTATGTTGTGAACAGTTTTTTCTTCTGAAGAAACAATCGCAGGAGGTAGATCATGTTAATAGCATTATTAGTATATATATATATATATATATATATATATATATATATAGGAGCTTTTTTACAGGAAATATATCGTCTGTCTATTCGCTGATTAAAAAAAGTAGGAGGGTTAGTTCTTTTTTGTTAACGTTTCTTCCAGCACACAAGGTGCTTACAAAGTGAAGTATAGCACACTTTTTGTGCTTACCTCTACAAATATAAAGCCTTGCCAAATTTCTATGTGCTTCTCCTAAAGAAACACAAAGAAGAAATTATAGACAAAGAGGATGCTCAGTGATCGATAGGATGATCTTAACATACCTATTAATAACAGGGTGAATCAGTTGGGTCACAGACAAACCACTAAGCCTGATTATGGTCTCAAAGTCCAGCATAGGGTAGCATGTCCTTTTTTAGGCAGTTGAGTAAAAGAAGGATGGGTAAAATTCAAGAATTGATAAATTGTGAAAGAAGAGACTCACTTACGCCAATCACAGCTTTTCGAATAATGGTGAACACTTGTAGCTCGAGTGTGCTTTGAGATACATAACTTAATTACGAAGATGTCAAGAAGAACTATGAAAACCTCTCAATTTAACCACCCTACTCGCGTATCGGTCGGTCGGTCGGTTTTCGACATAGAACTTTGCACATATGTGCGTCAGTTCGAGTCGCCACACTCCATGTAGTACACAAAGCAAGAGAAGAAAGTAGGAGAAATGCATAATATAGACAGAAAGTTGAAGTGTGAGACAAAGGAATAGTAATAACAAAGAACAAAACAGTTTAATTGGAAATCATAAGTCACAAGGAGTGGATGCATCTGCGCAAGCCAATGAGAACGATTTTGAGCCATGTCACCAATTGTTTCCAACCATTGGTGTTTACCGTCCCGAGGACCCCAACCAGGAAGGCAGTCTACACCTTCCTACGTGGCTCAGACTAACTGTTGTAGATTTCACTAACTGGTGCCATGTTTTGGTTTGACCGCCGACAGCTCTTTTCCAGTCTGACCCTATATCAGCTAACATTGCCCATTGTCGAGGAAGGCGATGACGAGGCATACGTAGCGCATTTCCTAACCTAGACAATACGTTGAGTGGAAAAGTTCAGTTCACATACCTGCTTCAGTATTTTATTGTCACAGTGCACTACACTAATATTGATTTATTGAAACTAGGGTCTTTCAAAATAGTGTCATTTTTAGTTGACAGGGTCTAAAAGTGGAATTCAAGATGTACATTTCGTCCTATTTGGTAGCCGTCATTGCAATGTACATGCATTCCAAGTAAGTGGCAGCATCCTCATTGAAACTCGAATCCTAGATCAATCGTTTCAAGTGCCAAAGCGCTTAACACTAGGCTTCTAGGTTACTACAGCTTATTTTAAATACTCCCAACATTAATGTGTCTGAAAATGATGAATTCTAGATTTTTTAAATTTTACTTTTTTATACTGCTAAGAGGTAATAATAAGGAATCTTTAAATAAAAGAAAAAAACAAACAAAGTTTACTTGAAAACAAAAACAGAAACATTACCTGTGAAAAAAGTCCAACACCTATATCAAAGAATATTTTAACCCCAGGATGTATAATTAAACTTCCCATTGGTGGAATAAAAATGTCCTTAGTAACATGATAATAATTCATTGGATCAGGTAATGCTGGTAAAATCACTTGCTTATTCTGTTCAACTGGTAATCTTCCACCAAGGTAGACTATATCACTTTTTAATGAGGTTTGTATAAAGCTTTGTACATATGGTGGTTCATTAGCTGTAGTGAACACGCTTCTAAGATTTACATCTTTTAGTAATGGATGATAAGAAATTCTAGCCAACGTATAACTAAACAGACAATAAAACAGAAAAATAAAAATTAATTTAATCATATCATTAGTGTTTATTTGGTCTGGTAAAATTTAATTATATCTATACTAAGTCAATTAGTTACCCTCTGTGTGTTTACTACGATTTCTGTAAGCTATTTTATTGGCATCTTACCTCGTCACTACTGGAAAAGTTCATTTTAGTAAATCGTGATATTTATTGTTAGCCAGTCCGCAAAGGTGGGTTAGTGGCGCAGAGTTAGAATGCTCACCAGCCACTCAGGTGGTCTGGGGTTCGATCCCCTGCCGACGAATTGCCAATAATAAGCCCGACAAAGAGGGAAGGTTGGGCGTCAGACTAGCGATCCCACTCCGTAAAAATGAGACCACTGCTACGGAAACTTCTAAGCTCTAGTCTGAAGCCCTACGTTCCAGTGGGAACTCAAAGGAATTTAATAAATTTAAAAATAAATAACGTTATATCAATGAAGATTTTGTCATGAAGCAACATCAGTTAGAAAATCACTGAAAATGAGAGGGAAGTGTACTGTTGTTTCATCCTAGTTCAGGACTTTCAGACAGTAATCACAGATGACTACGGTATTTGATGGAAGCTGATACTTTCAGATTACAAGTGAAGTCTTATAATCCTTCATCTGCGAGATGTAATCCAAACACCTGTGAATTCTAACTTCTGTCAATTCGCCGTATAGTGACAGTGACCTAATTCTAAGCAATTAGCTAACCGAAATCGGTTAGCGACGAAACCTACTCTGGAGTGAATCAAATTTCACAAAAACCTTAAAAATCCTTCATATTGTTATAATATTGCTCGGCTAGTCAAATTAGAATAACAATTCGCATGGGTGAAATCAAAGTTTGAAGTTGCAGTTTATCCGTATAACTATTAGTACTGGGTGATAAGGAAGATAACAAACAACTGTCGCAGTTTTGAATAGTATAAGCTGTCAAGCAGCGTCGTTTTCTCTAAGTAATCATTATAGCACATAGGAAATTATTGGAGAAAGCTAAACAAGAATCTGAGTCTTCACAGGGATCAAGCAGACGGCCTATTAATTGTTATTCCGACAGTGGATCTGTTCATCAGCGAAACCTTTTAGATTTTACGATAGATATAAGTTTTACATTAGATCACCACCCGTTACACCTATTTTGTGATTTGGCCGATGACATAATTTCCTGTATGCTGTCATCGGATGCCTATTAGAAAGAAATCTATTAACTGGTGTTCAATACTTAAAATGTATATGCATTTCTAGAGGTGAATTTGTCACATTTATTGAGAATTGACCATCTACACTCGGAACTTTGAATTTCATTTTGAGAGTTTTAATGACATTCTAAGTATTTTATTTGTTACTTCTTCACCAGGAATTGGACTTTAAATATTCTCGACAAGTAACTGGAAGAAAGTGTCGGTTGGCTTACTGATTCTTTTTATGTCTTTACTTATTCGTTGTTATTTACTTATGAACTGTCAACAGTTTTGTTGAGATGACTTATGCTTCAACTGTTAAAGTATTTCATTTCTACGTATTTGTTGGGATTCTACTTTATATTGAAGTTTTTAGTTCACTTAGTTCAATTTATTGTATTAGGGTTTCTAAATAAATTTTTCACTCAAATCACTTTCGTTCAAAGAAAGGGCCTCAGTAACACAAACTAAGAAGAGGAAGTCAAACAGCAACACGACGACCATAGATTAAAAGCACCTGACCTTCAGAAACAAATCAGTTAAAAGGAATCAAGTCAATCAAGTTAAAGAGATGCTGCCAATAAACCAACACGGTCACTTCACTCTGTGTTATAAGGATCAAAAGACTCAGCAGTGAACGAAGACAAAACTAACATCATCTATACATTAGACTGAATCAAATTCGCAAACTACACTATTTGCTAAACCGGAAATCTACTTCATTTTCGCATCCACGAACACAAACTAGCACTCAAAAATGCATAGCACACAATCACTCATATCAATGCACTGGACAAGTATAAACATCCATTCTACCAGGGAAATGTGGAAATTCTAAACATAGGAAATGTAGAATAAGAATACCAGAGAATTCCTAAAGGCATGATAAACAGATTAATTTGTAATCAAAAGACACACTGACCTAGATAAAGTTTGCCGTTCAAAAAAGATCAATTTAAAAGATGGTAAGGTTAAATGTCTGGTCAACGAAACGACGTATAGTGATATTACGGAACATTCACTAGCGTCGATCAATCACACTGTAGCTCATCAAGACAGATAGCTGTTTCATTCACTGGAAATGCTAAGAACATACTTTACAATGAAGTTAGTACCGAAGATGTTTTTTACAAGAGCAAAGAAAGCTGTCAGTTAAGTCAACAAGAGCCAAATGTTGACATACTATTTATACTCAAAATCCCTCGATGAATATTAATGAAAAATAAAGTAAACTGCTAACTAGAATGTAACTGAAAGACTAGGGAAGAGAAAATCAAATCTTGAAGTACATTGAGACTACACGAAAAAAGCTATAAACAGTTCAGCAATGTATTATGACCAGTAGTTTTACCGAGCAATTCGCCCACTCACTAATTTGTATAGGGATGTGTTTCATATGTATTTCTAAAGTAATTTATTCTATTTACTTGTTGACTGGTAATTCACGTAATTTGTTATCCAAGCATACTGAAAGGCATCAAAGGAACTTTGAAGTGGTAATACATTTTTGTTAGAACAAGACATATAAGCGAACAGTATTGTTTTCAGTTAGATCTTCAGGCTTTACTCTAATTTATATTAAAACATTTTAATCAATGACGGTGATTTTGTAGATCAAATAATAATGATAACAATAATAATTCCATCGAGCCTTCCGAATGGAATTCGAACGCGCCTTGTACACATAGCCGAAACTATGGGAATTAATTCGAGAGAACAATCCTAGTCTTTGCTTACAAAAGAAGTTTGTTCTACCTTTGTCCTTCTCTTGACCTAGGTAAATTCCAATTAAAACTCTCCCACTCTTCCTTATTTTCTATTTCCTCACTTTTATGATATTTATTTAGACTCTGATTATCTGTCCACTTTACCTTTAGTATTACGTAACTTTTAAGATTTGACCTAATTTATTTATTGAATTGTCTACATATACACATATTACTACCTTCGTTATTCTTATCGCCACCTGCATAAACCTTATTATCATTATTTTGTTATCATTATAATCATCGTTATTACTGACGTTCAAAACATTTACCACATTATTATTATTATTATTATTATTAATCCATGAAATTCGTAACATCTACGATCTGGAAATTTATAGTATTACCATTATTATTTGATCCACAAAATCACCATCATTGGTTCAATTTTTATATATAAATTAGGGTAAAGCCTGAAGAAGATATAATTGAAAACAATATTGTTCGCTTATATGTCTTGTTACAATATTTATAATTGGAATATTTAGAGATTTGAAATATATTTTTGTCACTTTAATAATTTTAGGAATTGTCAAAAATAAGAGTGAAATGTATCGATACTATGCTTATCTCACATCATATTATTGACTTGTGGAGGAACCTCATTTAAAAGGTTCACATCATATGAAAAGCTCCATAATGACAATTCAAGGAAACAGCATCTATTTGATGGTATTTCTTTGATTTTTTAATATTATAGCTAGATTCCACACCGTAGTTTTGATACAAGTATGGAATTTTCAGCATGTGATATCGGTACCCCAAATTTAGCAGGCCGACCATAGATATCAGGTGTGCGTCAGCAGGGGATCGAACCCCGGACCATGTGCATGGTCGGCGAGAGTCCTAACCACTGTGCCACCGATGGTATTTCTTAACTTTACTAGCTTCACAATACTGAAAAGAATCTTCTCCAGCTATTGTTATCACCAAAAATCATATACTGCTCACAGTTCACTTACAAATAACAATTGGTAATTCTCCAGGCCGATGCACTCCTTTACCCCGCTAAGCCAGTAATAAGACTGGTAAAGAGGGAAGGTTGGGCATGAGGCTAGCAACCCCATCCCGTAAAAATAAACACCACTGCTATCGAAACTTCAAGTTTCTCTCTCTTGAAGCCCTATGTTTCACTGGGAACGCAAAGGAGTAAAAAAATTCCTCATTTACAAAAACTGTTTGTGTATTTAACTACTGTATAACCAGCTGGATAGCTATATCAATTATTTGAAATGTAGTCATAGAAAAATTGAAACAAAGATGTTTAATTTATTATTGCCTTACCGATGATTCTGATCAAATATTCTACTAAATACAGCCATATGTACCATACTCCAATCACCTAAACGCCATTCATGCAAATTTCCCCAAAAATTTAATGTGGCATTTATCTGTTTATCTGGAGAAGATAAATGACTAGCTAGTTCACTGAAATGAAAGAAAAAATAAGCCATAAAGGAATTTAACTGATACGTGATACACCGCTGTAGAAAAGTACACATGTTTCTTTATTAAGCTTCAGATAGCAAAATGATGCATATTACTTGTGATTTGTTAATTGAGTATCGGGAAGGAATGATGAGTAATATCGTCAGGCGAAACTGAGTACCACTATTTATGAGAATTATTAGTACTAATGCAAGTAGTACAAGTAGTAGTATTATCACTAACGGTTGTTGTGAACTTTGTAACAGGAAACATGACTGTGTCACATCACATGCATTGGATGGACACAATGGAGTAACCATAAATCACGTCAGGCTCACCAACTCTAGGAAACCTGTTTGTTTAGCTGCCTGGCTTCAACTAGAAATACCTCTGATGATTGTTGTGTGGTCATAAATCCTGTCAGAACTGAGCTTTGACCACACTACCTGCTGAGTCTTTCGCCTGACTCATCTAATCGGGTAGCCAGACTGCGTTTAACACCACCCCAACTAGTGAAGGAAGAATATAATCTTTACTTTTGATGGTAATAGTAATAACGGTATTGGTAGCAGGATCAGTAGTTGTCTTAATCTTAGTCGTGAAAACACTGAGAATGTCATTGTTAGTAGTATTAGTCATAGTAACAGTAAGCTGTTGACTTGAGCAATAAAAACTCGTTTTAGTCTTTACACATTTCATGTTTGTCTACATACAACCGGAGTTTTTTTGATGAGGTTACAGACATAAACCCTAAACTCCTTCTTTGTATTCTGTGTTATTAAACAAATGACTTATAAGTGATCTCCTGATGTTCCCTCCTCATGATACTGTAGTCCGACAGTAGATTTGATCACAGATTCTAGCATTACACATCAATAAGTAAAATAACATCTCAGTCAGTGTGTCACTGTAGACTGATCAGTTGTAATACAGATAAACAATAAGAATTTAACTGTATATATATATCTTCATATAAGTTGCTTATTAAGAAGTATCACTTGAAATTCTCATTAGTAAAATAGTTCATTTACTCAAATTTTCAGGTTCTCGTTGATCCTTTTCGGCTTAAATGATCTGTGTCACTTTGGTATATGAGCTCCTTAAATGAATGCCTCAATTATACCATGACTACTAAACAAGATTATTTGTTTTCAGCAGTGGCTGACACATTAGAATTCTGAACGAACATTTCACTTTACATAGGACTCGCTGGCTACATTTATAAATCATTTTAAATCACAGGCGTTACAAAAGAGTTATGTGTAGTAGCTCAGTAGTCTAGAAGACAACGCTTTGGAGTATGAAGCGATGGGTGCTTGGAATAAGTCTCAGGAGGGAAACCATCATTCACTAGGGGGCAGATGCATCAAGGTGATAAGTAAAAAGTAAGAAGGGACACTCGTCCACGGTTCCACTGTTAGCCGCCACCAAAAAATGAACGACTTTTAGCAAGACAAGAATTTTTATCATCAGTAAAATCCAAGTCCTCAGAATGACACATTTTTAATGTGACCTTTTGTTTGCTTGAAAATGAAATTTCAGAGATGTGGTGATTGATTCTGAGACGAAAACTTGAATGACGTCAGTATGTGAGGCAGTGAACTTTTAGATTAGTTGTCCAAGCAGACAATGTTGTTACTGTTGATAGCGAATTTGACTGCTGAGTGTCGTTTGTTAACATTAAAATTGGATCCAAATCTATATGAACTAAGTGGAATTTGAAACTTGTTAGCATCTGTTTCTCGTAGCTCACTCAAAGAAATATCAGTCAGTTAACCTAGGGGCTGCTGCTGTGAATCTAAGTTTCCATCTTAGTGTAAGTCTCACATGTACTCTTATTGTGATCAGATAGTCAAATTACCAAATAGGTCAACTGTTTTTCACAAATAAAAATTGACTTACATTTCAGAGTCAGGATTCCACAAATGATTCCGACAGATATGTATATTTGACGAACCAATTACAATTACACCAGGATGTGTTGAACGCGGTTTAAGCAGAGATTGTTTACTGTGAATACTGAAATGTTTTACAGAAATAAACAATAATAAGAAACGGTAAGTATTAAAGAAGGCAAAGTACCCGAGGATTGGAAGAAAGGATACCTATTCAAACTACCAAAGAAAGGAGACCTAAGTCAATGCAAGAACTGGCGTGGAATTATGCTCCTGTCCATCACAAGCAAAATACTAAGCCGCATCATGCTGGAGAGAATCAAACACGACAACCTGGATGAAAAACTTCGACTGGAACAGGCTAGATTCAGGGGAAACAAGTCATGCATTGATCAGATCGCCACATTACGGATCATCATTGAACAAAGCTTGGAATGGTAGTCACCTCTCTATCTCAACTTCATCGACTTTGAAAAGGCCTTTGACAGCGTCGATCGAGAGGTGATTTGGAAACTACTACGCTACTATGGGGTGCCACCGACAATAATATATCTCATCGAACAGCTGTACGACAATGCTGCATGCCAAGTAATCCACAACGGGAAGCTCACGGAACCCTTCGAAGTGAGGACAGGAGTAAGACAAGACATGATATCCACTCCCTCATATCACTACATACAGACAACCAAGGACATCAATTCGACTGGGACAACGTTCAAATATTAGACAGAGGAAACAACAAGAATGCTAGAGAATTTTTCGAAGCTTGGCGTTCCAGTGAATCATCAATCAATAGACACATTGAGATAGACAAAATTTATCAACCGATAAGAAAGAAACGTCACACACAAAGGGTCAAAGTTCAAGCCAAAGAAACAATGAGTGACAATACAAGTAACCTAGAAGGTGTGAAAACAGAGAAAAACAACCAATCACGTCCAAGGTCGCCAGGAAAGATGATTAATAAACTCGTGGAGAAATCTAAAAGCTCACTTCAAATTGAAGTATGCGCTGAAGATGTCACCCAGTAGGGTGATGAAAGCTTCGCAAATTAACTCTCAGAGAACACAACAACATCAAAAGTAAGACAAGCCAGCTGCCTACTATCGCCAATGATTTTCCTGATTGCAGTTGACTGGATAATGCGACAAACAGAGGGCAATGAGGAAACAGGCATAAAATGTACTCACACAAAAAGACTTGGAGGATCTGGACTTCGCCGATGATATAAGTCTGATTTCCCACACACTGGAAGGCACGTAAATGAAGAGCAACAAGTTGATAGAAGATGCATCCAGAGAAGATAGGGCTTCAGGTGAACATAGAGAAAACAGAGGTGATGAAGACTCCTGGGAAACAACACCACTAACAACAACAACAGATAACAATCAGCATAAATGAGAGGAACCTGAAAGAAACAACCTCTTTTACCTACCTAACTGGGAAGCATCGTTTCAACTACAGGCCGACGGAACTGACGAGGATATCAAAGCAAGAATCGATCGGAAAAGCAAGAGAAGCTTTCACTACTCTCAAGTCTGTGTGGACGTCAACAGCACTCAGCATCAAAAATAAGGTCCGGATTTTCAACTCCAATGTGAAGTTAGTGCTGCTATACGGATCAGAGACTTGCACTGTGCGTGATAATGAGCATCTCAAACAAACTACAGACCTTCATTAACAGTTGTCTTCGCTCAATACTCAAGATCAAATGGCCGGCCAGAAAAGATCAGCAACAGGGATCTCTGGCAATGAGCGAACCAACTCAGCAGGAACCGATAGTCCAGCAAATTAGGTGTAGGCGTAAATTCTCGTTAAGAATAAAAGTCTAGACGAATTTATAACATCAATTTCATGGTGTTTGCGCATCATTAAGCCTTTAGAAGACTTCAGAGCTTTCATTTAAACTCCACATGAAAAGCAAACTCTCACGATTACACATGTATGTCTAGCTAGTAAGTTATGAAAAAGAGAATGAAGCCTTTCATTACGATCTCATTCCCAGGTATCGTGAAAGAGAATAACTCAGTGAACACATTTACGTGGATTTTAGGATTCATGCTTCCACAAAAAGATGATACAGCAAACGATAAGAAACTGAAAAAAAATCTGCATCAAACAACTTTAAAATGACTGGTAACAGAAGAGGACAGTATTCGTTTCACTGAACTCAGACTTTTTTAAACATCAGCTTTTAAGTTGATTTAATGAACGTGGATAGAGTAACTTTTAAAAACATTAGAGTAAACCTCATCATGTATTAGAGTATGACACATTATGATTTGCTAAATTAAAAAAACTAACATGAAGTCAACGTTGAGAAGTATTCATTCATTCATTTATATATGAAGGAGAATAATTCAATAGAGACCAGGGGAGAAAAGTTGTAAATTATTCTCAGTCATATCTCAAGTGATTCTTAACGTCATAAGGACTCCTGTGAGATGATTCTGTACATATCTCAATCTAACAGTCAAAGATTATGGATGGATGTTATATTTTATTCTCAGGTTTATTTTACACTATTCATAATTCAAATATTACTGTTCATCAGTGAAAAGGAATGACTTAATATACATAAGGCACACGGATAGCCATAAAATTCCTTGTTCTGAGGCTTTAGCTCATTCAAACAGTTGAATGAAGGCACTAACAATCAGAAACTGGTAATCTTTACTTGTTTTTCTACTTTCAGGGAATGTATCATGCAGCAGTTACTTTAGACAATTCGAGGCGACCATAGATTAAATATAGAAAGTAATGTTTGTATTCAACAGTTGCAAAGTCCTTATATGCATATATGTACATATTCTTATTAAATAATCATAACTTTCTAGAGTAGTTGAAATGACAAGTGATTAATACCTATAATCAGAGCGCAATGTCAAGGCAGGCTACAGGCTGGAGAACGATTAAAAACACAAGAGCGGTTGGCGTTCATTAATTTGTACTTTGGAATTCTCAAGTCGTCTGAAACCAAAAGGCTTTGAGGCGACGTTAGCATGCGGTCATTAGATGCAGAAGAATAAATGACTTGAAAATTACTACGTGAACAATCTATTTACAAAACTCATGCCTACTTGAATATATCAACTAATTTTGTAATCACTAGCCTTTTCTCCATATCTATACATCACTGTTCTGACGTTTTACATATCTCTCTTTCACTTAATCCTTATTATTTGTCTTTGTTTTTGATTGATTCCTACTTTTAATACTTCTCCTTACTCATATGCAGTGATGTTAAAACTTTGTTGTTTTACGACTACGAGTTTATTTGAATGAAGTCAAGGTTTTGCTGTGAAACGATAGCTTGGCCTTCACTGAGTTTGAAAACAGGGTTTCAGTCTCATCCTGCTAGAAATATTCTCATTGGTTATGAAGTAGTCTGTAACTGCTTTTTCCCAGATAATTTTGTTGGACATTGCTTATTTTGTGTCTGAGATACCTAGGACTATATAGCAGCTGGATGGTATTGTTCAGTTACTTCTGTATATATGTATATGAATTACAATAGACAATAACAATTAGTTTTTTTGTGTGTGTGTGAATGTTACAGTTTGACAGTGAGTGGAAATACTAAAGTGCGATAATATTGACGTGTAGGATAATGAGACAATTGAATTGATTAAATATATAAGCGAATGACTGAATAAGTGGAATTAATGTTAGTAAAATGTTTGAGCATTGTGGAATAGATCAAATAAATTATAATTATATTTCAATACGAGTTTGACCACAAATTGATATCAGTTAGAGGGCTATTGAAAACCAGGGAGTAATTGACAGCTATTTCATACTAGTTTGGGAATCATCAGCAGTACGCACCCACTGACAGGCTTCGAACCCAGCACCTTCTGGTTACAAGGCCAGCTCGTATACCATTTAGCCACTGGGACCTGATTCAATGGCCCATGAGTTATAACTTCTACCACTTCGTGATTTAGCGCGACCAGTAGTTATACACAATGATAAGTTTTGGTTTTTGGTAATATTTCGAACAAAATTACTGCCCGTGATCATACCGACTGTTAGAATTGCTTTGTTTTTAATGCACACGTTTATGATTTGCACTCATATATATATATGTTACATGTAACAAGAGCGACAAGTGTGTAATTCCCATAACAACTTTGTTATCCTTATATATTCCGTGTTCCGTTTTTGTTTTATTTCATTCCACTTTATACTGGTAAGGGCTTCAGAGCATATTCCTAAATGGCTCCGGAAGCAAATAGAATTCCCAGAACCCATTATTAGTGAGAACAGGAGACCTAGATCCTCTATTGCGAAACATATTATAGAGACAGGACATAAGATTGATGTTTACACATCTTTTAAACCTATCTGTAAAACGCGTTTGGGGGAGGGTGTATCCTAAAGTTTTTAGAAGCCCTAGCTAGCAGTTAGAAAGTTTAAACCACTTTTATGCTTTCAAAACAATTCTTCATCACACAAAACCTTCCTTGGTAAACTTTGTTTTGATACCAACCAGAGTAGATGTACTATTACCTCTGTTATTTAGTTTATTGATCTTCATTATTATTTTGACCTTCAGTATATCCTTTTAACTTGACCTAAGTCTATTTTGTCACCTTTTAACTCTTTATTAATTTCATTGACAAGTCAGTGTGTGATCAGATTGTTCGAAATAAGTGTTGGGCAAATACATTACACGATTCAGACGAATTACGTCTTCTTATTGCTTTGTCTAAATTCACAAAGGGAACTAATTGTTTTAAATTTCACTTTTTGTTATCATATTCTAACATTTTATCTAGTCTTGTCTACTGTTTTGACAATATTTCACTCATCTCATACCTCTACCATATTATATTCACATGTTCATATTTCCGAATGCATTTTATTTACCAATTATCTATTTCACACTTGTCTGTTGGGCTTTAGGTTGACCATCTTTTAATTACAAGTCAGTAAAAAGTTTGAGCATTGTGGAATAGATCAAATAAAGTATAATTATATTTCAATAGTTAACACACAATGGTTTTCGGTATTATTTCGAGCAAAATTACTGCCCATGGTCACACCAACTGTTGGAATTGTTTTGTTTTTATTTCGTAATTTTGCTGGAAATATTACCAAAAAACAAAAGCTTATGATTGTATGTTAACTATTGAAATATAGATATGATGGAGAAGATTTGTAGCTCAGGTGGATGATTTTGATGTGGTTTTATTCTCTGAGCTGGATAGTTAATTTGCGAAACTTTCATCACCCTACTAGGTGACATCTTCAGCGCATACTTCAATTTGAAGTGAGCTTTTAGATTTAGAAAATCAAAACAAATTATTCAGCGAAGAGACTCTTCTCAACGAATTTATCATCAAGCTGTACAATCGTATATATATGGTAGTTTTAAGAAGTTATATCCGGTGAGGGAATTGAATCATAGGTGTGAATGCATAAAATAATAATAATAATATGAAATGCAATTAAAACTAAAATGTTTGTGATTATAATCGTAGTTAAATGTCAAGTGGCAAAGCAAATTAATGTCATATATAGAATAATTCATAGGATGGATAGAACTTGAAAAAGGGTGTGCAATTATAAGATTAGTAGACAAATCGAATAAAATAAAAACGTTACGTAATATTGTGTGAAATTTAATAGCATAGAATTTAATGTTGCAAAACATAATTGCCTTAGAATGACAAGTGTAACAAGTGAAATAAAACCGGAGACAGTTCAAAGTGAGAATAGTAGTAGTAACTAAGATTTGACGTATTAAAGGAAGAGTATACAAATTGAATAGACAAAAATGAAAAAATGAAAAATTGGTAGAGCTAAAATATGATTGGGGATTACCATACTTTAGCATAGAGGGATTCAGACCATGAAAGTTGGAGGGGTTGAACTAACTTTTTCTGTACACAGAGATCTGGTTTTTCTGTTTCGATAGTCAAAGCTTCAGCAATACAGATGAGTTGGGTACGTAGGGATTTGGGTAAATTACTCTTTGCATTCACACCTATGATTCAATTCCCTCACCAGATATAACTTCTTAAAACTACCATATATATACGATTGTACGTTGAGAAGAGTCTCTTCGTTGAATCATTTGTTTTGATTTTCTATATGTTACGATGGGAATTTTCCATGAGCTTTTAGATTTCTCCACGAGTTTATTAATCATCTCTCACCAGGAGATGATGAAAGCTTCGCAAATTAACTATCCAGCTGAGAGAACAAAACCCCATCAAAATTGAAATGTAATTATAATTTACTGGATTATTTATTTAGTTATTCATTCATATATTTAACCAATTCAGTTGTGACTCATAATCCTATGCGGCAATATTATCACACTTTAGTATTTCCACTCAAACTTTAACACACACAAGAAAACTGATTGTCATTGTCTTTTGTAATTCATATATATACGATTGTACAGCTGTGAGAATGAAATTTTCGAAAAAGAATTTTCTTCGCTGAATTCTTTGTTTTTAAACAGTAGAGCGTATTGAGTAGTTCCTGTGTTCACACTGAAAATACTTAATTTTTCGTCGTTGCAGTAGATTACGCAGAATCCAATAATCTACGATTTGTAAATTGGGAGTGAACATATACTTACACGGCTCATTAATGGACACAACTCTTTCACTATTTCCTATTACAAAGTCAGAATGGATTTCTACAAGTTTGTCACTAGTCGGTAGTGAGATTGTATGCAGATATCTGATCTCTTAATGAACTCAGATATCCCCTGAAGAAAATCAAATCCTTACAAGCATAAGTAATATCTAACTACACTATCGATCTGATAGGCACAATTAAAAGAATACCTACAATTTATCGTAAAATAAATAGAAATAATTCAGATATATAGAAAAGTTAAATTATAAAATACGGTTATCATAGAATGCAAAAGTATTTCTTACCGATTATTTAAAAATTTATTATACACCAAACTTAAATGTTGTAATTTAGATGATTCTGTTAGCCGTGAATGAATCACATATGCACCCTGGTTATGCATAAATTCATTATAACTAATTGTATAGTCAACAGGGAAATGACGATAGAATTGAGATTTCAGCATATCATCATTAGAATTATCAATCCATATTACACCATGTTGATGTTGTTCAAATGTTGAATTGATAATTGATCCAATCATATGAATTATTGGTGAAATTTTAATTGAATTGCCTTTATTAGCAATGAAATGACTAAAGGCTACAGTGAAATTAGTTAGTGTCTAAAATTAAATGAAGTAAAATATTTTATTTGTGATGCTTGCGCTACTTAAAAGTAATATGATACTTTCTATAGTTTGGTTTGTAAGGGTTTGTTATGTTTTTACGAGTTGATCACGGACTGATATCAGTTAGAGAAGCATTGAAAACCATGGAGTACTGGACAGCTGCTGTTTCCTCCTAGTTTGAGAATCATCGGCAGTACGCACCCACTGACAGGGTTCGTACCCAGCACCTTCTGGTTACAAGGCAAGCTCGTATACCATTCAGCCACCGGGACCCGATTCTGATGCTCGCTAGTGACTTGCTACAGGATGGAGTTTCCTGGAGTTCTAGTGAGAAGTCGTGACCAGTGAGGTCCAATTAGATGTCACGTGTGTGGATGGATGTCCCACCAACGACAATGGTTAGGTTCGCGCTAAATCACGAATTGGTAGAAGTTAGAATTCATGAGCCATTGAATCGGGTCCCAGTGGCTGAATGGTATACGAGCTTGCCTTGTAACCGGAAGGTCCTGGGTTCGAATCCCAGTGGGTGCGTACTGACGATGATTCCCAAACTAGGATGAAACAGCAGCTGTCCAGTACTCCCTGGTTTCCAATGCTTCTCTAACTGATATCAGTCCGTGATCAACTCGTAATATGATACTGTCAAAACGAAATGAATGAATGTTTTTAAATGTAGTAAATCTTCTCAGTTTTGTTATTGGTGTCCATCAGCAAGGCTGATTCACTGAAAGTGACTGCTATAGTCACAGGTGCTAACACTAAATTATTCTACCAAAGTGAGTTGAATTTTCAATTTAGAATTTTCCTCAAAAGCTCAGCACTTCAGTTTGCCATGGTTCGAAGATGCTCACATAAAGGTGTGGAAACTATAACTCGAAGAACAATTAGGAGAGAATATATTTGCACCACTGAGACCGCCAAAAGTCGCCAAAAGTCTTAAATCACTGATTCTTGGTACCAAGAGGGTCCCAGCTAAGCGATCTCCATCTACCTAAATTACACAAACCAATAGTTTAAGACTTCATGGGTTGATATTATGTATTGTTCTGAAAGTGCTTAACTCTTTTCTAAACTGTTTCTATGTAGGTTAACATTCTTCGACGAAGAAGGTGATGACATGCGTCCCAGCCATATCAATTCATGTAACTTTACAAGCCGTAGACTAATTCTTCCTCTTCGATTAACACCCTACATTGTATTGCTTCCGCAAAAACAAATGAAACTTACTACACTCACTTTCTTTAGGTGGTCAGCTTGTACTAATTTGTTTACTTATTAGAAACATCAGTGAAAGTATCAAAAGTATTATCTGAGTGAGTTATAAAAATGATTTTTTAATACCTGATATTAGGATTCTGAAAAATATTGGTCTGAGTATACGAATAATGAAGAGTTCGCCTTCAAATGAACAAAATGTCCGGTAGGTAGGTTTTCCCTATTCTTAGTGAAAAGCAAGTCTTCATTTGTAATGTTCACTTTCTAATGTTTGTTTTCGTTCATTTATCCAACCTTATTTTCATAACCTTTAGAAATCTATCCGTCATAATCTTCTGTAAAGATTTGTAACCGGACAAATAAGTCATTTGTGAAATTTGTTGTTTCTTTGGACTAAACTATACTCACAGGTAGCTAACTGACTGAACATTTTTACATGCATAATTTCTGATGATGCTGGTGATCAGTCTTTGCTTAGTGGTCACATCGCAAATATGATCAATACACTTTAAACGATACTCATGTAAATTGTTGAACGATCAGTTCATGCACCTTTTTAAAAGGCTGAATCAAGTTAAAGTCTTTATTAATGTTAGTCTTAGCATCAAACCAGATATGTATTTATTTGCACTTATATACTCTAGACTGAGAGAAAATGTTAGCCGTGCATCATTCACGATTGCGTCAAAATAATGAGTGTTGATTTGGGTATTTCAAACAGCTATCATATTTATGTGCGTCGGTGGAACAGCGGTAGAGTGCTAGCCGACCACGTAGGTGGTCCGAGGTTAGATCTCCAGCCGACCCACTGCTTTACCTCGGTAAGCCAGTAATAAAAGGGAAGGTTGGACATGAGGCTAGCAACCCCATCCAGTAAAAATAATCACCACTGCTGCCGAAACTTCAATTCTCTAGCTTGAAGCCCTATGTTCCACTTGGAACGTAAAGGAAAATAAAAAGATATATTTATCGTCGGGAGATAATGACTGGGGTTGAAACGTGAACTTGTAACAGAGTTCGAATCGGCAGCTTTCATACGATGAGGTAAATAATTATGAAATTATGTAGGATATTTTCTAAATCACGTAGATGCTCTCAGTTCCGGCGTGTTGTAAGGCTTTCGCTATCCCACTAGACAATGTTTTCAGCACTAACTTAAAAAGAAAGTTTTGTCTAGAAGAACAATGAAGGAAAGTTTAGCAGGTACGTCACCTAGCTCAGAAAACACCATAACACCAAAGGAGCCATATATGTGTGTAACATTTTATGACATGGTTATAACTTAAAGATAATACTTGATGGAATTAAATTTTCAATTTAGAAATCATACAGTTCGAACTGATTTGCCTGTTTGAGGTCAGTCATACCGGTTACATAACCGATTAGCTCGACTCGTTCGACACTCAGATCACTTCGATCTAGCTAGTAAGCAGTACTAGTTGATGTGGGTGATTCCTAACTACTTCTGTCAAGCAGTTATATTGTAATGGTAGAAACGAGACTTGGTAAAGGACTGTTCATTTGGAATTAGGTGTCGCTATGTAACAAAATTATGTACACCTTATCTTCAAATCACCATTTCCACAGATCTTCCGTGTTGTGCTACTTCTAGCCTTCATATTGCGTTTCTTTGTGTTCCTTTCACGTTTCCCACGTTTCTCCACAACGTTGAATCATTTGCTTTCTCTGACTACAAATCTATCTCCCTGCTATTTGATATTTTTATGCCAATAAACGTTTCTTTATACACTACTGATAAATCTTATCAGTAGCACACACTTACATATATACCGTTATGTGAATATACTGAATGGTAATATATATTTACATACATGATAATATGAGGAAATTATTTAACATGAGTAAAGAATAGGCGTGACTCAACTTACATTGACATCTGTGCAAAGGCATGAATAAACCCTGATTGCATTACGTTGATTTTTGATAAAATGTGTAAAATTCACTAGAACCTCCATAGTTAGACATGAATTATAAAAACGGATTGCGTCGTAATAATTCCCTAAAAATTAATGTATAGGCACTGCAGAAGGTGTTCATATATGATAAATAAATTCAGCATAAATAAAATATTGAGCCTATATACGATATGTCACCTAGGTGAAATAAAATGAAGTTTATCAAATTGCTGAAATACTACTGTATATCAAAATCTCAAATATTGATTATAGTCGTGTGTAGTTCGCTTGCATCACCAGTCATAGCACTACTTATCTTCTTTTATTCCCCATCAACAGCTTATTTTTTTGTGTACTATAAAGTTAACTTAAGCCAATGGACTACTGTCAAAGATTTGTCCAATCTGTTTGTGTTACATACATAAATGAAGTGATTAAATGGGGAATAGATATAAAATTTCATCGAACGATTCACGCATGAAATTAGTTGTATCTGTCCCAGTTGAGAACTGCTAACGTCAGACAGTAGTACTGTAAAGAAGAAAAGACCGAGGAGACTGAAAGGAATGTTTATTTGATGAAACGTATGGTACATAGCTAAATTTGGTATACCATCTTCTCAACCTACCATTTGCACACCATTTACCACATCCTTGACGAATTGGTCGAATATCGTCCCATTCCATAGCTTCTTGGATTCTGCATCATATGGCAACATTCTTCTTATGGTTCTCTTCTTTGATTGCTCTTTCCAGTGTGCCAAACATATTGTTACTTTTCTGAATTCGTTTCTGATATAATACTTATATCGGATTATAAGTAGCACTCACCACAGTACTTGCTATCCAGATCTAAGTGATTTCAATACTGGACGGTTGTTTTGCTCTTTTTAGGCAGAGCTTATTAGAGGTGTGTACATGGAATGATTCACTTCAGAGAGCAAAATCAGTTCATACACTTGAGTTATGTTGAATTATTCGGAAGAAATAATAAGAAGTAGAAATACTACCGGCATTTTGTTGATTACACAGTTTGAAGTGAAAATTCACACCAGTTCCCAGCATAGATTTCAAGTATTCAAACCACAATATGTGATCTACTTGATACCATAGAGAACAATTAATAAAGCCGGTATGGCTGTGTTGTGGTGAAAAACCTTTTCGGTATTTAGATAACTTCCATCGACATAGAAAACACTGTTGGTTGATTTTTTTGGTTTCAAACTACTCATATAAGTCAGTAGTATATACATCGCAAACTTATGCTCGCCTTCTTAATTCCTGTTTATGGTATGAGTCAGATCAAATGCAGTGACTTGAATATTTTGGGTTACCAGGGAAATTTTCACCTCAAAATGTGCAATTTGTTAATTGCGAATTTGTAATTCTTCTATGCCTTAGTTGTTAAGTAAAATTCCTTGGTCGATTTTATTGTTTTTCTGCGAAATTTAACATCATTTTGAAAAATTCTGTTTATACATCAGAATAATTTGAAAGACAGTTTAAATATTTAAAGGCTTTTTTACCACCTTTGTGTTACGTGCTCATGCTCAGTGAACCAATTATTATCACTCTGCTACTTCTTTTGCATTTACAAATTCACCTGCTCCTGTGAGGGACATTATATAGGTAGAAGAACTAGTCGGCTTAACAAGCGCATTACTAAGCATTTTCCTTCATGGTTTGGAAAAATTCAAACATATGTATATGAAGGTCAACTTACGTTTACTCAATTAATAGTGGCTACAAAATGCACAGAAGAAACATTTACACAGTTATCTATCGTATTCCATCGAATTTTTTGAATGGTATTGGAACTCGTATTTTACAAATAACCGGCGCTAGATTGATAGATAGTTACATTTTTATTCTTCTGATAAATAGCCGTATACTGCATATATAGGAAAGTCTTTCACTGTTTTACTTACTACAGCCGGTGGCCTTCAAGGTGCTATTCTTTCTCCTTTTCTTTTCTCTTTCCTCCTACATGACTTGCTTTATTCAGAAGGCTATAATGTGACTGTTTCCATGCCGGCTACTACTCAGTCAAACTGTTTCAGAATGAATAGCTTCTTATCAGGAATTAGTCAGTGGTCGTTGTTGAATGGTTTTAAGCTGAATTCCTCTAAATGTTAGAATTTTAATTAGATTTTCAGGGAAGGACGTGATTTGCATTAACTGGTTCGTTTCCTTGATTCTTGTATCATAAAAGGCATTGACGTTGAAACTATGTTGAATGTTAAATACCTTGAATTATGTCTTCCTATGATCTTTTCTGGTCTTCCCGTATCATGCTAATTCCTAGAAAGATATTTTATCTAACATTATAGGTATAAAGTTAGGACAACTTGGTGTCATTCAGTTTCTACTTTTACTTTTTACCAACTCTTGTATTTTAGCTATCCTTTTTGTTGTTCCCCCTAAATCTTTCCTAGGCTACATGAGACAGATTTTGTTACATTGGGAAGGGAAATGAGAGCATTCGGTAGGGTGAGTGGTGTGTCGTCAAGTTGATTTGTTAGTATTGTTGTCGATAGACACTTGAACTCGTGTAAGAAATTGGGGAATATCATTTTTTCAAGAGTTGGTTTGTAGGGATTTGATTGGTTACCTCCAAACCAACACTTGAATATCAATGAGATGTTCACTAGCGACTTGCCCTATTCAGGTAGGCAGTTACCTTGGGTTCTAGTGAGAAGTCGTGACCAGTAGGGTTCAGCAGGTCGGGTGTGAGGACAAATACTCGCCGAAGACATTGGCTAGGGGTCGTGCTATGTCGTGAATTTTCAGAAGTTAGAATTCATGGGCCACTGGATCGGGTCCCAGGGGCTTAATGGTATACGAGCTCGCCTCGAACCCCGGTGGGTGCGTACTGCCAAAGAGTCCCAAACTAGGACGAAACAGCTGTCTAGTACTCCCAGATTTTCCAATGGTTCTCTAACTAATGTCAGCTCATGATGAAAATCCTATATCATTTTTTATTAAAGCTTGATTCCACACCGTATTTTTGGTACAAGTAAGGGATTTTCAGCATGCGATATCGCTAGCCCGAATTTGCGGGCCAACCATTGATATCAGGTGTGCGTCGGCAGGGGATTGGACCCCTGACCAGGTGCGTAGTCGGCGAGAGTCATAACCGCTGTGCCACCGACGCGTGTGGCACCATCATTATACACAAACTTCCCCCTTGCATCTCATTAGTTAGGACTAGATGCAATTATAAAAGACATTGTGCTCAGATGACTGAGTAAAAAAACTTGTTACGCAATCCATATGCTGAGGAAAGTCCTAGGCATAGGACTACTAACTTGATGCGAAACGGTAAATGGATGGACCTTGTTGTTCTATCTATCATTAATATATTATATATTATATAAAATTCATATTTTCTCTAACATTGTTATCAAAATAAATACCCTTTTTAATAATTTCCCCCTTAATGTGAAATTTAAAGAGAAAATTAGATGTAATATTGTACTAATTACTAAAAATTTCACACTGAATCGAATCTACTATTTTGAATAAAAGCCATTATTATAATTATAGTGCATACTTTCTGTAGGTAGTTTTATTTACTGAAGGAATTAGTAAAGTGGGAGAAAGTTTAGCTTACCTGTAAAATTAGATAGATGAACGTGTGTTTTCAATGGGCCATTTGAACTACGTGATGGCGTATTGGTTTGATTCAAATTCCATACTATTAAACCATGACCATAATTATTATTGAACAGTGAATTGTTAATTTGTTTAAATCCACCTGCTACACTAATATTTAAACCGCAGTCTTGATTTTCAATAAATCTTAGAATAGAATAAATACAAAAAGCAGGCATGTGATAAATTATAGAAATAAAGTGATAGACAGGAGATAAAATCATTTGTTAATAAATGGTCTTTTCAGTCTGATTGTTGTATTCCTAAACCTTGTTTAGCCGGTAATTATCCAGTAAAAAAGGGGAATCTTGGGCATGAGGTTAGCCAACCTACTTCTTAAAAAAGCTCAACACTTATGTTCTTGAAACTTTAATTCTCAAAGCCTGAATTCCCATATTCCTTTGGAATGCAAGGAATAAAAATAAATTCTTTGATATACTTAAACACACATTCTGAGGTGGCTGAAAGTATCTATAATGTTATTGAGCTTCTTAAAGATATTAGAATAATTGGGTTAAAATTATAGTTATTTCATAACATTTCGAATACTATTAATACATTGCCTTAAATCAATATTTCTCAAAGTCATACTCTGATACAGATGCATTTCAGTTATCAAAACAATTTAAGAACTCCGTAACATCTGATTTCTTCAATTTTGGTGCAAAGGAAGGATGAGTTAGATCCTCCTCACCCTCAAATAGTCCCAAAGCATATGGCTTATGTATACACATACACATATGTCTATTGTAAGCTGGGATCACAGGGAAATAACTAAAAATGGAGTAGTTTAAGTTTCAAGAAAATTTAACCGACGGACGGTTATTTTCCATCGGTAAGTTCTAGTTACATAATTAACGAGTTATGAAGAAGCTTTTGAGCAAAACTGACTTTCTATGTAAATGTGGCATTTTAAGTGACTACATTTCTCCAAGTTTCATACTTCCTTGTTATTAAGTCTGTCATTTGAAATTTGCCAAATTATTAGCTTTACATCATGAACTAAATAATGTGTGAGACAATTGTGGTGGGCTATACTTTCATAATTTTATGAACTATTAAATAGAATTAATAAAGATTATTGAGCGAGATGAGTCATCTACGATTCAGTTATAAGTTTTAGAAGCTGACGAAGAGTCCCAAACTAGGACGAAACGGTTGTCCAGTACTCCCAGGTTTTCCAATGGTTCTCTAACCAATGTCAGCTCACGATGAAATCCTGTAACTAAATTTCTGTTGTACATTGTCTTTCGTCATTCTTAGTTTTGTAAAGTCTTCTAAGATGAGCACACTCTTTGATAAAGGATGAGAAAGAAAAAGAAGAAATATCAACCTTTACTGAGACTCTTAAGTAAAATAACTACCCGAAGAACTTCATCAACAAAATCAACACTGACATTAAGTATGGTCGAAAACGTATTCCGAAAACATGGACCTCAACAGTTGTCATTCCATATAGAGCAGAGACGTCAGACGATATCAAAAGAGTACTCAATAAGCTCGACATCAGAGTTTTCTTCAAAACATCAGACACACTACGAAACAACCTTGTCCATATAAAAGATCAAATCCCTAAAGATTCTCTATCTAATTGTGTCTATAAAATAAAATGCTTGGAATGTGATGCGATATACATCGGACAAACATCACCAGAGAGAAATCAAAATCAGAAGAAATGAACACCGTAGAGCATCTGTTCGACCACCAAGAAATCCAGTTGAACTAGAAAAGCTTGAAAAATCATCAGCCAAAGTTGGTCTACATGCTACGCTATAGAATCAGGCCGCGAAATTGATTTTGACAATATTGAAATCATCATCCAGAAAAATTTCAGAAATCACAAAGAACGTCTAATATCAGAAGCACTTCATATCAAGTGGAATCCAAATTGTCTGAACAGGAATGATGGACTAAAACAGAATCTGACCTGGTTACAACACCCTCCTCCCCCATGAAGTGACAAAATCAACACGAATGTCATAAGCAGTTTCATTATGTAAACATGCGCACACATATATTAAACACACGCTGCTTTTATAATTTTATACACTTATCAAATCCAACAATCTAAACCTGGTTTTGTTATCTTTACCGATTGGCAAATTTGACAAAGCAAAAATGGCCACATACTGAGGAACGATGATTAAGTTGTAATGCATAAGCTGAGGTTTTGTAGATTCTGCTTTAATAATACTTTGATAAAGCTATTAGCAGCATTAAATAGCGCAACGTCAGTAAGAACAATATCGTTTTGTTTTTCATTCATAGGGAAATACAAAAAAACCTTTATTATAATGAATATCATATACTCAGTGCTCACATTTTTCAGACTGTTAAAAGTGAACTTGGTTTGAACATATATAGTATATATTTAAGCTTGAATTATAACCATCGTGTAGACTCTATAGTGTCATGATGCACATAATCCAGACAAAACTTTCCAATTCAATTTAAAAGTTATTTATTTAGATATTATTAATAAGAACTTTTTTCAATGTAAATTTGAGTTCCCTAGAACAAACTGGGGCTAGAGCATTTTTTTGCTAAAATCCTATTCATTAAAAACACTTCAGGAATATGCAATTATTTGGTAAGTACTGTCAATGAAAGATAAAGTGATTTTTTTGTCTTCTTCAGGTGGGAAATTCAATGGACTCTTTTCACAAAAGATAGAGAAACCGTTGAGACTTCACTGCACATATAATAACAGCATACTATAACTTACTCTTCCCATTTTTACATTTCATTTAAAAGACAAGTTAGCAGCTTAGATGATGTTTATAATTGTGTGCGGAGAATTAGCTTATTTTTTGGCCAAAAGCCTATATAATAATGGTAACAGCTTAATTTTCGACGAGACTGTACACAATACACACAATTATCACCTAAAATATATCTTCTTCATCCAGAGACTTCAAGTAAAATGGCGATCTGTATTACATCATGTGAGGCAATGCTGTTCTGTTTGAAGCATCGATTGGGGTTAGGCGTCGAGTGCTAGGTAAAGAGGGGAAATCAGTCGACGAGAGTGTGAAATTACATCGACTGAGATGGTTAGGACATGTGTTACTTACGCCTAGACATCACCTTCCTCGACAGGCAATGTTAACTGATATAGGGTCAAGCTGGAAAAGAGCTAGCGGCGGTCAAACCAAAACATGGCACCAGTCAATGAAATCTACAACAGTTAGTCTAAGCCACGTAGGAAGGTGTGGACTTCCTGACTGGGGTCCTCGGGACGGTAAAAACCAATGGTTGGAAACAATTGGTGACATGGCTCAAAATCGTTCTCAGTGGCGCAGATGCATCCACTCCTTGTTACTTATGATTTCCAATGAAACTGTTTCGTTCTTCGTTATTACTATTCCTTTGTCTCACACCTCTGTTTACTGTCTATATTATGCATTTCTCCTACTTTCTTCTCTTGCTTTGTGTGCTACAAGGAGGGAGTGTGGCGACTTGAACTGCCGCGCATATGTGCAAAGTTCTATGTCGAAAACAGACAGACAGATTGATTAATCCTTTATTATATTTTTATTTCATCTTCGAAGAATGTGCACCGATAGGTTGAAAGTCAACTAACAATGTGCTTGAGCACATTTCGCGAAATAAGTACATAACGGAATGGTTGAAACAATAGGAATTATTGAAAATGTAATATATTGTGTTGGATGGAAATTCAGGTAGTCCAGTTATTCAAGCAGGCCACCATGTGAAATATAACAATAATGCAGTGATGAGTAGGCACTCATGACCCTCCTTCATGAGTATGTACTGTTGAGGAGTCTTTGGCCAAGACGAAACAGCTGTACAGTGTTACCTGATTTCCAACGGTTCTCTAGTTGGTGTCATTTCATGATCTAAGTTGAAATTATTCGAATCCTTGTAAATCAGTGCTTAAAAATTAAATTTAGGTTTCTCAGACTTTTTTTATGTTATTTTAATTTTTGGGTTATAAGACAGCTGTTTAGAAAGTGATCTTGTTTTTGTGTTCAGCGTGTTGCTTTGTGTTACAATTTTCCTAGAATAACGGTAATTCATAGTAATCGTTATCTTCTTTTTCCAAGAAGTGTACTCCTATTCTACACTCCACTTTCTGTAAAGTTTCAATAAATTTGAGAAAGTAGTGCTAAGAAATCACAAATGGTAAGAGCTGTGTAACAATCTTATGCTTTTTCACCCTCAAGGGACATAGCCCGCAGACATCAAGGAGAACATGGTTAACTGAATTATATCGCCCATTACAGCCGAACTCAAAACTCTTTACAAGTACTTTATGTCTAAGATAAAATAGAAAATTTAATACAAATGAAAGTGTACAAGATGCCTACCTATTATTATTCACAAAAATGTCTGCTGATCCACCTTCAATTTTCACACCGGCTTCATGTTGATTTTCTTGAAATGTATTGTTTTCTAGATGTATATAAGTCCATGGATCAAGTAAGTGTAAACCGTGTTGAATATTTCCACTAACAACAGAATCTTTGATAATAACTTCAGCTGATGTGGCTACGAAAATGGAATGATTAAAATAAAATACAATTTATTTAAAAATGAGAAATGAGTCTTTGTTATTGATTTCACCGGCATTTACCAAAAGTGCTCAAATAATCGTCTCACTATATTTTGAGTTAAATTAGAAGAGAAAAACCATTACTATTCTTTCCTATACATCTTTTAATTAGATGCAAATATGTAGATATACGGAAAATACATGCGAAACATGGTCTAAAACCATACACTCCGACCCCCTACACCCCCTATATTCCCAATTCTCGCCTTATATCTCATCAGGTAGAACCAGAAATCAGTATAAAATAATCTATGCTCGTACAACCAAGTACAGGAACTCAACGATACCATACTTGGCCCCGTGTTCTAAGTGACAGAGACAATGTTAACGCGAAATCTATGACTTGCTTTGTTGTTAATAACATAATTTTAGGCTCTTTTATCTCTCTCTTATTTTGTTTTCTATAGTGAACTCCTTCTTAAACATACTTAGCTACCTAAATTATTAACATTGGCTTTCTTGTTTGTACTTTACTCTATTCCTTCTTTTGTGTATCTACTGGTTCCGACTCTATTAGCACTATGAGTATTACAAAATTGTCCTGTCATAAACCACCATGTAATTATTAGTTTTTGTGATTGTTGTTGTTTGTTTTGTTCGGCAATAGTAACTGACAATCATTGGTTGTGAACGCTATTATCACCATCTTAAAATTTTGTATTATGCAGAATTACTCACACTACCACCACAAACACCGCATTAGACCTGACAATAAAAAACCAAACAACAACCCTGAATTGTTATTTTATGATTGTTTAGTGTTGTTTCAATCAGATTAACTGATCTTCTTGGCGATAAACATTCTTAAATACCATTTCATAACTTCTTGGATGACTATAGCTTTACTGTCACCATGCATAATCATATCAGAGCTTCCACTACCCAATACTGAGTTATTATTATATGCTGTTTACTTTCCTTTCTACTTCTTGATATTTTTTCGCATTTTTTAAAACTATTTTTGTGTTTTTCATGTTTTTTTTGCTGTTGTTGTCTTTATATTTATTTTTTTTGAATAACTCCTTTTAAACGTTGGATAAAATTAGATGCAAATATTGTAGATATGTGCTGAAAATTCCACACTGTACCACTAGTACTGATTCAGGAATAAAGCAGTTAGATCACGAAATGACATCAGTTAGACAATCAATGAAAGCGAGATAGTACTGGACAATTTGGGACTGTTCAGCAGTACACATTCATGAATGCTTATAGGCACTATGGTTTTCAGTGATTCTATCATTTCGTAATATATTTTGAAAAAAATGGTTGTATCAGGTAAGTTTTATAGCTGACTTTTCATTTTCATGTTCCTTTTTGAAATACATTAACAAATGTCAGTTAAAATACAAAATTCTGAGAGCAAGCTTCGTTTTCTTTTATCAGTGTTGTTTCACTTAAAAAAATCATTCGGCTGTAGCATTTCACTTCATTTTTGAACAGAATTCAACCATTATTGTTAATTTAAATTGTCGATTGAGTTTAAAAATTATCGATCTACACCAGCGCACACAACCCAATCCTGTTAATAGTTAGTGATGGCTTGGACAGTTTATTCTTTGCATACTATGCAGATGCATTGGGTAGAAACCCGTTAAGTTGAAGCTAAAACAAAACAGAGATTTATTTATCCGGAGAAATATTCCTTTCCAGCGATTCCACTGTTAGGCTCAGTTAGTCGTCAATATGTACGGCACAAAAACATTTAAAACTAAGGAAGGAAGGGTTAAGGTAGGTGAAATATACGAAGAATGTTTGAAGAAAGGAAGCGAACCCAAGAAGTATGAAATAGACCATTTGGTATTTAGAAGTTTGGAAATAATAGTGACAGTGACGGTGATAACAGCATTTAACCAGATGATATCCAGTAAAATTAACGTAAAAGTATTTTGTCATTGTAGGAACGAGAAACAGATGGCTTTGAAAACATTTTGGAATGTATTATTTATAAATCTATTGACTTATAACTAATGAAAGGATGGTTAATTTCTTGAAGCGATTGAATCTTATACTGTAGACTATTTTAATAGCAGTTTTATACGGATTTGAATTCGGGAGAAGTTCATTAAAACTTGATGTTTATCCTTTGTATTCATTTATTCGTCAACCAAAAGAGATAATGCCTGACACTGTGTTTATACTCAATTTGCTGACGATTTCTAACTTAGTCTGACTTATCGATTGATACTGAGTAGCAGGTAAACGTAGACCTGCAGCTTCCTTTCGGTTGAATTCAGATTACGAACCGAATACATTCTGGTTCTGAACTTTTGCTTGTACAATGGAAGAAAATCATGTTCAGCGGATTAATTTTGAACGGTAATAATCACTTTACCTGGGTTGATATCTTGGGACCCTAACCTTTTTGAAAAGCAGAGCCTTAAAAATCTATTCGCACACATAATGATACTCATCAAAAAGGAAAATAAACTGAATGCTTCAGTTTTGTGTGTAAAAGCAACTTACTCCGACCGACGGATATATGAAGCAGAGCACGGATACAATTGGCGAATTGTGAACAGACAACTCTGTCAGTTGATTTCTTCCATATAAATTTTATTAGGATGGCATTTCTCACTGAAGAAACACCCTGGTACACGGAGCCTATGCGTTGACCTAATTTGACATTCTTTGAAATTTCATGATTACTGTTGTTATTATTATTATTATTATTATTGTGATAATTGTTTATAACTGTATGATTATCTAATAACCAATTGGCAATTCTACTCATTGTAAATGTATCCCATATTTCTATTCTGCCAGAAGCTACTGGATCATGTAAAACTTCAAGTAGAGTAACTGTTATAACTTGATTTTTTTGATCTGAAGCAACATGCTAAAATGGTAGGATGAAAAATAATATAAGTAGTATAATTCTATTATTTATTTTCAGTTATCATTTATAAAATGCGTGATTTTAACGTGAGACCTTATAGTAGTTTTCCTTATCACATGGAGTATTAAAACATCGATAATGGGTATCTGAGGATGATATGGAGGAGATCATGTGAGGCCAAGATGTAAGTTGATGGACAATTGTGGAGTCAGTTAAAAGTGACTGTAGAGAAGAAGGTGAAATGGATATGAGCTAGTCGGACCCTATATTCCACTAGGAATTCAAGGGAATGATAAACATAATAATAAGTGATAATGTAATCTGCTTGACACTACACATAGCGTGAACATTCCTAGCAGGAAAGCTGAAGAGTTTTAGCGCAACAGAGATGTGATAAATGTTTATAACTCAGATGAGATTAAATTTTGGGAAACAGAGATGGGTAATATAATTTGACTCTCGTTGTTTCTACTTATGAATTCAGATGCTTTTACGGAAGCAGTTAACCAAGAGCCGATCGCGCAACAGATATGCAGGAGAAAGTGGAGATGGATCGGGCATACATTGAGGAGGCCGCGAATGACATCGTACGCCAGGCCATTGCTCGAGTGGAATCCCGTTGGGAAGTGACGAGTGGGTCGTCCTAGGGTGACACGGAGGAGATCGTGTAAGGAAGAGACGAGAGAGTTTGGTGATAGGATCCCACATAAATTAGTATATCATCATTTCTCGCGCATGTTGTGAATAATTAGGCGATCAATCATTTCTCACTGCTGTGAGGTCGACTTTATTGTTGTAAAGAAAATGTCTAAATACCGTGTTTTGTTTTCGCTGTTCCTGTTGTTGTGGTTGATTACCATATACAGTCACAGGCCAGCCTTTGTCTTTTGATATTTGCGTGTCTCTGTGAATCGGAAGGCACAACAGGCAGATAGGCATATCAGGCAGGCGCAGGCTGAAAAAAGTGACTTCGGTTCTCATTCAGTTCAGTACAGTTATAACAAATTGGCGATGGGGTAATTTCAATTCGCTGAAGTTATAACATTTGGTCAATCGTGGACCCAGCTGAAGGGGACGGCAGAAAACACAACAAAGTGGAGATCTGTTCTTGAATCCCTATGTTCCAGTCGGAACGCAAGGGTATAATAATAATTATTATACGGAGGCAGTTATATTGGGTACACATCGAACATATTCTCTGTCAAATTCCCAAATATCATCTTGTGTAACTGGACAGCGCGGATGCAGTGCTGATTTATAGTTCTGCTCTAGAAAATCTTCCCATTTATAAATAAATGCTTGGTATGAATGAATTTTGAAGAGTTACCTGTCACAATTCCGTGTCGTTCAATGATTTCGTCCTCTGCCTAGGCTTCATCTGAATCACCTGTATATCTTAATGTTGATAAGTCGTACAATCGTTAATTACCTCTGTTCTCCTCTATTTGATTTACAAGCTGTCATCGACATTATTTAGTTGTTATTTTCTTGTGAGTTTATTCTATTCACCTTCACTTCAAGAAGTTAAGTCATTGACACTGAAATAATCGTTTCGTGTTTTCTGAGTTGGATGGTTACATTACAAAGCTTCTATTTTCTTTCTAGACAACATCCTCAATGCGGACTCCACAGCGAATTAGGCTTTTGGAACTCTGTGTGGGTATAATGGGCAGCCATCTAAGTCAGAGTCATCGGGAGTGACGATTATTATACTCATGGGAAACTCCGAAAGCTTACTTCATATTGAATTTAGCTCTGATGATCTAGTCTAGATTGATGATAAGCGCTTCTCAATTAAACTGTTGAATTTAGATAACTTAACTACAGTAATAAATATATCTTACCTCAATCTGTTAGTTCCAAAATGTGTGACTCACTATTCAGTACATGCACCTACGTATATCAATGGAATTCTAATGTAGCTCACTGAACGACTGATAGACAGAATTATTGAGAAGTGCTTTAGTTGAGTTCATTTATACTTATTTATTGAAGTAATGAAAAAAATCGAAGTAAATGCCTCGATCGTGACAGGATTCGAATGAAGGACTCCTATGAGAGTTCCCAATTTCTATACCACCTAATGGTAGTGACTTTATTTAAGAATCAGTAATCATAATATTTAGTAGAATAAATTCAGTTACTTACAAATTCACACATTCCATCTGTTTTGAATGTTGGCCCAGGCAGTTCAGCAACTATTAGAAATGGAAATACTGGACTAGCTGGTATTGAACCAAGTCGACAAACCCAATATGCTCTGTGAGTTAATTCTAGCGTTTCTTCAGGCCAGTGATAATGTGAACCGCTTAATAATCGAATATTTATTCCATTGCCTGTATTTTTTTGAGAAATAACATTTCTCATTCTGACGTAACCCATGACTGAGGAGATTTTTATTCCATGTCCATGATTATAATTTGTCTGTAAATAAAAATACAGATTAATTTTCTAAGAAATGAAGAAACTACTCATGAGTAGGTTAAAAATAAAGACAAATATTCTAATTGCACAGAGTAGTGATTCCTATCTGGTAACAAATTAAGCTTGGTCAGATTCTATACCCATCTAATTACCTATATTACTTTTTGAATGTTCATATAATCTACTATACGCAGCTATTTTTCTGATTTTGAACATTTTTCCACTGAATTGACCTCACTTTAACGACCAGTAATGACCCGTTATATATTTCAACCAAGCTCGCCTCGTAACCTGAAGAAGGTAGATGTGAAGTTTTAGAATATGAGTGATAAAAGGGAATGAATGTATCTGCCTCATCACAAACTACTTTAAGTTACACCATTACCGGTCACCAACCACTGATTCTTAGCATTGTGAAGAACCCAGGCAGATAGTAGAAGTCGAAGACTTCATGGGTTGGTATTATGGTTTCATCTGACAACCCCCTACCTATTTAACATTACCTAACAATGGTCATCTAGAAGACTAATAGTAACGACTATGATGATGATAAAATTTGGAAGTAAAATTAACTCAGGATGACTGAGTGTGAGATAAACAAATGTTGAGTGCATAAGTTCTTATAATGCAGAGTTTTGGGTTTGATTTACGTGTAACAAGCTGTGAAAAAGTAAACACTTGTAAGTTTGATCTTTTAGAATACTTTCAGAGTCGGAGAATGGCTAAATTTTAAGCAATTAGCATACACGTGATTTAAAAGTGGGTTGGTGGCATAGCGGTTAGGATTCTCACCGACCATGCACATGGTCCGGGTTTCGATCCCCTGCCGACGCACATCTGATATCAATGGTTGGCCTGTTAAATTTGGGATGCCGGTATCGCATGCTGAAAATTCCATACCCGTACCAAAAATACAGTGTGGAGTCAAGCTGTAATCAAAAAAATAAAATAAATTAAGGCACTGTAGTATTATAATACGGTTCTGTAATAGACATGTTTACATAGCGTAACGTAAAGTGACACAATATAAACTTCTGGATAACTTTCCGGGCATAATTTATTTCACAGAATTATATGAAGGTAAGCTACATGGCTTTTTAAAATCAGTTTCACACTGTTTTAATTTCTCTCACTTTTTAAGTAAAGTTTTCCATATATCCGGGACTGATGTTGTATCATTTCCAATGTATGTGCTGGTCCAGTAAACAGAGATTCACTGACTAGCCTCTCTTTTTCACCCAGCCATAGTATATTTTAATACTTTGAATTTGCTGCAAATTATTATATGGTTGTATGCAAATGGATGTATAGCGATGTTTGAGCACTTTTCCAGATTACTTAACCTAACAGTGTCTATCAGTATAGTTCTATTTAAGTCCTAATTTTCTGATAATCTGGCTGACTCCACAGGCTTAGTATCATAGTAATTGTATGGTATCTGATAAATCAAGTTATTTCATCTATTTGGGTGAATGAGATAATATATGTTATAAGCCTTTCTCCCAGGGGTGAGCTTGCCACTCTTATCTCAGCTTTTTTTAATTACAGCTTGATGCCACACCGTATTTTCAGTACAAGTATGGAATTTTCAGCTTGGATATCGGTAGTCCAAATTTTACAGGCCGACCATAGATATCGGGTGTGCGTTGGCAGGGGATCGAACCTCGGACCATGTGCATGGTCGGCGAGAGTCCTAACCACTGTGCCACCGACGCTTTATTAGGAATCACGAGCAGTGTGAATCATTATGAGTTGTCAGATGTATTATATTGGCGATTATGTCTGCCTTATCTACCTGATTTCGTTATTTAAATATTCTGACTCAGTAGTCAAACTCTTCACTTGATTACTGAACTTATTTTAGGTTAGATGATTCAGAATCTTGGTTCCTATCAGAATGTAAAGGGTTTTTAAAGATGTCATTCTGTTTTGGTGTAATTTTTTAGTTCAGTCTAGTTAAGTGGATTCCATCCAGTAGTGAATTTATATGTGCAAAGGAACTAAGGATATGTTCAGATTTCAACACAGCAAGTACTTCGTTTGTCTATTTTCATTATGCCATTGTAGTAGGCATAAACATTCTGTGCAAATTTATTATCCACTATTTAATCTTCAACAATCAAGTGAACAGTGGTCCTTTGGCCTGTTTATAGTTTCCTTTTTTGTAATTGTAAAAAGGTATCTAGTGAAGAAAGTATTTTAAAGTGCATATGAATACATCTAAGCGTACAGTATCATCTTTCACATGTATTCGGCCTATTTTTATTATCTCCTTAATCTGAAATTTATGTCATATAAAATCCGTTTCAGTGGTACTTTTTCCCGTTGGTTCTTTTTATCCAAACCTTCGACCAGTTATCGTTCCTTACAGATTTTCATCATCAAAGTATATTTAGGCAAGTTTAAAAAAGGAAAATAAGAAAATTAAAACAAGAATCAACTTACTGTAACATTTTGAAGTATTGCTGGACCACGAATTTTACTAAATTCTATTGCATGATAGGCATTATGTACTAAGTGTACATTGTTTAATACTGGCGGATAAGGACTCGAACTTAGCGCAGCTGAATGATAATGCGATTGGTTTACACCTTTATGTGAAAATTATAAAAGAATTCGAAAAAGGACACAGTTAATGCACTGAGATACTGAAATGCTTCTAGTAAGCTGAGAAAATTGTACTAATAGTTATTTCATGGAGGATTTTATCATGAGCTGACATCAGTTAGAGAACCACTGGAAAACCTGGGAGTACTGGACAGTTGTTTCGTCCTAGTTTGGAACTCTTCAGCGGCACCCAACCACCGGGCTTCGAATCCAGGGCCTCCTGGTTACTAGGTGAGCTCGTAGACCATTGAGCCACTGGGACCTGATCCATTGGTCCTTGAATTTTAACTTCTGTCAATTCACGACATAGCGCGACCATTTCGCAATGTCTTCTTCGATGAGTTACTGCCTCATCTTGAACCTGCTGTACCCTACTGGTCACGGCTTCCCACTAGAACCCCAGGTTAACTGTCTGAATAGGGCCTGTCACTAGTGAGCATCAGATTAATTTTCAAGTATTGGTTTTGTAGGAATTTTGTTTGATTGCATGGAGGATTTCATCATGAGCTGACAGCAGTTAAAGAACCACTGGAAAACCTGGTATTACTGGACAGCTGTTTCGTCATGAAGAGTCCCAAACTAGGACGAAACATCTGTCCAGTACTCCCAGGTTTTCCAGTGGTTCTCTAACTGATGTCAGCTCATGATGAAATCCTCCATGCAATCAAACAAAATCCCTACAAAACCAATACTTGATAATAGTTATTTATCTGTAAAAATAGACTATTAGTTTATTTGCGGTATGAAATTGAAAGTTTGGTTGCTCATTAATTTTTGTGGTAATGTATTTTTAGGACTAAGGGTCCGAAAACGAGAATATTATATATATATATGTATGCGTATATAAGAGACGGGTATAGATTCTTATTACTAAACTGATGGTGTAAGAAGATGGATAACTAGGAATTTCGTCCCACAAGTCAAAAACCTGTGAAACTAAGAACATTTTGGTAAACTAGACGAACCAAAGAGGTTTTCATGTGTACAATGAAATCATCTACTGTGGAGGATTGATGCTACTGAAAGACGAATGAATGTTTTGATCTCACTTTTTAATGACTATATTTCATGGAGGAACAATATATTAGAGCAAAGAGATCACGATAAAATTTCACCCTAGCAAGATTCTCTCAATTAAAACACTGTTTCTAATTATAGGTCAGGATATGTATTAACTCACACACACCTGTTGCCGTTACCAACAGTAGGATTTATTGATTTAACAAAGCCAGTAGGAATACAGCAAAAATGTATTCTTCATGTTGCTTTTGACAATAGGTGATGGCTGTTTTCATTAGTTTGTTTTATTCTTGAACTTCTCATTAGGAAATAAATCTTTCCTGGGTAATTCTGAGTTGTTTTTATTATGCAAACAAAGGCAATAATATCTCTGTTTCTAAGTTTCTATTCATTTTTTCAGTTTACTGGAGTAGTACATTTGAGTAAAGTTGTAATAGTTTTATGCATAAGTTAAGTTGAATTTTGTGTCTTTAATTCTACATGGTGAAACTGGTACAGTAGGGATTAAGGTCATGTACAGTTGTATTGTACTTTCCATCAAATGTTCTTCCTTCTAATGTGTAAAGCTATTGGAATTGTTGTAATTATTTTGCTATGTTGTAAAATACTTTTCTTCTTACTGTTAGTTTATTTTCGGGATGAAAATATTTCCTAAAATTATTTTACTACTGACATTTTGTTTTCAGTAGCTTGTGGCGCTCATTAAAAAAAGAAATTAATTAATTCGAAACTGGTGTAAATACATGGTCACTTAATTAGATGAGAGTTAGAAGAATTATAATTAATGTATTTCATGGTGGAGGCGATGAACGGGAAAGCTTTTTGTACCTATAGAAATGTTTGGGCAGTTATTAATTCCTGGTTAACTGTTTTTTGAAATACCTAAAGTAGAAAAATTATTAGTGCTGTGTGACTACAGAATTCATGGGAAATATGTTTGTGGCTGGCCACAGGTGACCATTTTGGAGTGAATTTGGAGTTGTGTACACATGAAAACCTAAGTCTTGGCTATGGAATGCAATAGTTTAATTCAAAATGTCGATTTCTAATCAACCCTCCCTCCCCAGATCAGGGATGTAGCATAGCTGGCTTGCTGATCGTCCGAAAGAAAAACTTTTCTGCTGTTACACCCCTGCTTGTCAGCAGTAGGACTTCACCCTAAGACCCTCAAGATAGTTTAAAAACTTATACTACAGTGGTAACTGCTTTTAGTCTAACCGTTACTCAATTGATATTTCTAGAATGGTAGGATCCGCAGGAACATTCTTCCCAGTTAGTATAGCTTGTCGAGTCATCATAGTTTGCAAACCTGACAGTCTATTCAAGGTGACAGCCATCAGTAGCTTGGATTTGTCTACACACAGTAATCCGCTGGTAAACTAAAGTGAAAATGAAGGAGTATTTGACGGTTACTTACTTTAAATACGAAGCTCGTTAGTACTGCATACTAACGACAGTGAGACAGATACAGGTCATGATTGCTAGAATTTGAAGCGACGGTGTCGTCTTTCATTCAGCAGCATGTACTTTTAATGTCTTTTAGTCCCATCAGTTTGAGATTTATTGTGATTAGGAACTATTAGTCAAAATTTCTTACAGATGGGATATACAAAGCAGAATATTAGAAAAATCACCCCCGGCTGATACTAAATCCCTGTGATATTGTGCCTTTGGTGAAGAAAAAAAGCTGAAGCTATTGTTCAGTGAATTTTCATCTAGTGGTTAGAGGAAGGACTCACTCAGGCTTGTTCTATGTATTGAAGCAAACTACCTTGGAATCCTTCGATTCCCCACAAAACCATACCTTAGTACAAGAAAAAACACTTCAAACAATATTATCTAGGGACTGTTTTGTATATATATCAAAAGCATGCGATTTACCTGCAAATTGGATATCTACATATTCAAAAATAGAAGCAGAAACATTTAAACGCGTATTCCCTTGACTTCCACCCCATTCTTCAGGAATACTAATTTCTTTATGTGTAGCATTGAAAATTTCAATTCCTTTCCAGAATCCCACAAAACGTCTACTATTCACACCCCAACAGTTTAAATTGACCAAGTCCTGTAAATCTAATGAATGGTATGCAAAAGGAACAATAGAAAGATTGAAAAATAATATAGTCATTCGAAAGAGGTTTGGGAGAATTTCAGAATTACTTCCGCCTACTTGTAAGTAAGTTAAAGCTTTTCAAATCACCAAAATTACCCATTTAGTCATGAAGCGAGTAAAAGACAATTCCGAGAAGAAAATTTTCTTTATCTTTAGAGGCTGTACTGTCGTATTTGTACTTACCGGAAATGTATAGTAGTCTGTTATTGAGTAATAGAGTGGTGACATAATTGATATAATTACTCAGAAGTGGCTTTAGAAGTAAAAAAAATAAAAGTTGTAAATTACGGGGTACTCAACGGCAGAAAGTTAGAAATTTGATAAAGTTAAAATTGTTATTGAATGAGAATAAAGGTAGTTGAGTGTCAGTTTAACAAGTGTGAAGGGGGTGTGAAAATGTACAAAAGGAACATATGAGAGTGATAATAGTGAATTAATTATAAGAGTAAAAGCAAACTAAAAGTAAAATTGAAAATCAATAACAGTTTTTTACAGGGAACGACTAGTGAAGAGGTTAAGACCATGGTAAAATAAGTGACTGGACAAACTTTTTCTGTATGCAGAGTTCGGGGCTGTATTGGCGAATTGCTAACGCCTCCACCATACATAACTGCAGAAACTTGACCACCTTTGTACATTTTGGCCTCACCTTGTAGGTGTTCTTGAAAGATGACTCTGGTGGCTTGAGTTTACTAAGTGCTCGAGAATTGAGCTAGTAACTGCCTTGCATTGTCCTTTTGCTAACCATGCTGGATAATGTTCAGAGATACGTTTGGAAAGTGTGCACTTTGTGCAGTCAATGTAACCAACTCCACACGAGCAGGTGAATTTATAAACATACATTCAAGATTATTTCAAGTATATCGTAGATACAAAGGTGGCCTTTCTTATGTGTTATAATGGGTAAAGTAAATATACTTTGAATTAATTTTTACTTCTGCTTAAATCAGAGTTAAACATTTGCTAATAGTAGATAAAATGATAACTTTATCACCAGTTTTTAAGCCAATATTTGATTCTTATATTTTATAGTTAAATATTTTATGTATATGAAAGGTTTGTCGGTCCCATTCGAATTGTGGTGCTAAAAGAAACTTCTTCAGAGCTGATTCACCTAGGATTGGAATTCAACAGTTAAAGTTACTCTAAACTCCGAAAAAAATACATTAATAAACAAATTAAGTTACTGTGTGTTAAATATTCTTATGGACTGTAAATACACGGAGATAGTTACGTTAAATCACGCTACAAGCTCTCAAGTGGAACCACGTATGGCAAAAAAGGAGTTGAGCGTCCGTATGAGATGGAAATGAAAGCTTAAGGGCAATCGTGGGGTTAGCTAAAAAACAATTCAGCGAACGGGGTGAAGTTGTGATGTGCTGCTGATGCGCTATGTTCCACTCAGAACCGAAGGGAAAATAATAAGTTAACTGGACCAAAATAGCTGGACAATTTGTTTTCCTTATAACTTGTCTCAAAAGATGCCTTGCTACTACTTCGCGTTTTAGTATAACACCATTTGCGTTTTGATACCCATTTGTGGGATTATAGGATATATTTTTCGTCCATAACTCATTGGAGTCCAAGGCCATCATGCTCTTGAGTCTGAAGTTTTATTGTTGTTCCTGTCAAACAGACGAACACCTTTCATGTTCATCTCTGCTTGGAAGTTACGCTAGACGTGGAAAAGGATTTCATAATTAATTTTGCGATAAAGTTGCCTCAGAAATAAAATTCCATGTTAGATAAGTTTATTACCCGCGTCACACAGTGATGCAGTATTAGAAACTGGATGACGTTCCGAGCATAAATTATTGCTCATAATCATATCAATAAAATACTTGAAATGGCAAACATCAGAATAACAGCGGGAGATGATGCATTAAACTTATAAGGATATTGTCTTCAGTTAAATTTCAGTTTTAAGATGGAATCTAGATGAATTATAATTCCATGAATATCGTCTCACCCGATACACATTTTTATCCCTACTTTAAAACAGAGAATAATGACTATTATAATTCAAAGGTTGAATGGAAGTTTTTTGATAACAATTAAAAGAAAATGTACGATCCCATCACCGAACTACCCTTTTTCAAGTAGTTTAATGGAGTATCGGACTGTAAATCCGATAAATTTCTACTGGAAATATCTATCACTGTTGGTCTTCAGATATTGGATGCTGTATTACGGTATATATTTGCTATAAAAACCTCAAATCTTAGCTATATTTTTTGATTAGGAGTAGTTATTAGGGAGGAAGAACACCATACAATTATTTAATTAAGCCGGTAATAGATGCTTAAGACACTTATAATGTATCAGATGGTTGGAGGCAATCTGCAGGAAGGCTTGGACCTAGGTTTCCTGGTAGCTGGCACTAGTCAGCAAGGCGTGTCTGCAACCTCGAAGGGACTCACGTCCCTTCTGAGATTCAAACCCGCGTCACCAGCCAGTGCTGCAGTCAGAGACGTTACCACTGAGCTATTCGGGCTCGCTATTGACCTTCTGTAGGACTGTATTGTTTACTTTGACTAGACATTAGTAACTAATGTGATGTATCTATTCTTTTGTTTGGTGCAGACTGAATTCTATCATTCACGTTTGCAATATGGCCACCATTTTAGATAGCTCGCTATCACGGTGCACTTTGAATTGTTGATATTCGAATCTCAGAAGGGACATGAGTTCCTTCAAGGTTGCAGATAGCCCTTGCAAGGAATCATCTACAATGCGACAGATAGTTTGTTAGCGTTATAACACAACTAAATACTACTATTTTCCATATTAATATTTCTGAATTCCCTCATTATGTTGCATTAGTAGTGATAATTAGGATGATAGAGCGTGTCAACCAAAAGCTTCATCTGGGAGTGTAAGCAAAAGGCTTTTGTTTTTGAATAGCTAGGACCGTCAATGGCTCAGTTATGTTAATGAATTAGTTGCTAAGTCCTAACTGGTGAGAGTGGTAAGTCAGATATGACTTTTTCTTGGATGACTTTATGCATTGTACACTGCATTATTGTTATTATCATTGCACTATTCCCTTGGGTTGCTAGTGGAATAAAAGGTTTCAGAAGCACATTGTCATTCCACTGTGTTCTCCGAAGTCAATTTCGGCTGGATTCGAGATTGTCAGCAAGTTTTCATTTCGTCCTCACACGATCTCCTTCATGTCATACTCGGACGTCCATTTCTTCGTTTCCCATTGGTTTCGCATTATAGGGTCTGGGGCATGATGTTATTCAGCGGTCTCCTCAGTGTATGTATCGATATATACTTCCTTGTGCATATTTGTTTGACAACAGGTCCTCAGCTGGTTCGATGTCGGAGTTCCTTATTGTTTATTTTTTCCAGCCGGCCGTTTAATCTTCATTGTCAAGAAAAAACCATTTAAGTAATGGCTGTTCAAGTTGAACTGTATTTCTCATTGACAGATTGAGATCAGACCGAAATCCCCAGTCTCTGTCTACATGTCAGCTCCCAGTAGGGATGCTTCAAAGGCACCTTATTTAGTTAATGGTGGCTTGCAGTGTAGTCCAGGATGTTCATTTCGTTCTGTTTCAGACTAGTCACCCAGAAGTACAGTAGCTAGCCATCGTCAACCAAATAACATCACATCAACCTTCCGATATCACCGAAGTATCCCCATATTCCGACGTAATCAATCGGCGGGAACTTCAGAGCGACAGTTTCAACATTTAATAACTAATACCTGTTGAATAAGAGCTATCTCTTGTGACCCAGTAGCCTAGTGATTAACATTTTGGCGTCTGAAGCTATGGGAATGGATTTTGAGTCTTACTGTGAACACAATCCAGATGATGATTCTGAAATAGGACAAAACACAAGTCCTGGATTGTTTAGCTGAACGCCATCAACTAAACAATCTTTAAATAATAATAGCAATCTACAAGTGTTTATAGCTATGTAACTGGAGTTCAATTACTTTAAATAAATTGTGAAAAAAATTCATCTTTTACACACGTTTATGTTTGTTATGAATGTTAGTCACAATGAGTTAAGGTAACAGCATCGATTTACAAAAGACATAGACTGTTGTAGGCATCTAAATCAAGGTGTTTTTCTTGGACATGTATGATTCATTTGTGTTTTATCTTCAACACATATTTGATTTCATTGTTATGTAGATTAACTCATAAGTTGCTTTTCTCATAAATACTCTGTTATTCATAGGCATAGAAACATATACACTTACAAACACACACACACACACAAATGTGCACACGAGTGCAACCAGACATCTATTCATTTGTTCGTTTGGGGTGATCGATTTATGAACATGTGACTAATGCACAGTCTAGCACACCTATTTTCAATGTTTACATAATCACTGGAAATATGCGTTTGTATAACAAGTTGCAATGCATAAATGAATGAGTGGTGCTTTCATTTGTTCATCCATTATTCCGTCATATAAAAATGAGACAAAATCTTAAGTTGTAGTTGTTGCATAAATGATGGCAATGACGAGTTAAACGAAAAAGTCATTTAATGAAAAGGCTAAAATTACAAAATGGGCGAATTTATCTTTAAACAAATTTTATTGCATGGTAATAGTACCAGGCAACATGAAACTGGTAAGAATTCAGTGCTCTGTTAAACTATTCAGAAGATCATCTGTAGCATGAACAGTTTTCTGAAAGCATCTCTGAATGCAACACTAGGTAACATAGATTGGAACCGACTAAAAGGCATTAGTTCTCACGCAATTGTAGGTAGGAGATCTAGATTTTATGTTAATTTGCATTTCCCACTAATTATTTATGTAGCACCGAAATCCTGAGTCTTTGTTGACAAGCTTCAGCGATGTCTTAGGATTAACGTGATTTTATTTTGGTTGACGGTAACCACCAGGGTGTGTATTACTTCCTATTTGGGACTCTCCGTCTGGGTTTACATGCATCCCCAGTGGATGATGTTGTTCACACTGAGATTTGAGTCCTGCCCCAGTTATTTTAAACGCCACTAAGCCATTGAGGACGGAAGAGTAACCTCTTGTGCAATGAAGCGACCGTACTAATAGCTGATGTGTCGGTAGAAATCAAGCATAATCAGTCAACAGAAAATACAACTTAACCTAAAAATGAAATAATAACTAATACTCGTTGTACATGGAATGACCCTCGCGCATAATGCTTTGGCTTTTGAAATAATGGGTGCGAGGTTCGAGTCTCAGCAGGAACATCATCACTGACTGGGGTGGTTCTTAAATGGGGCGAAACGCACATCCTGGATTTCATTGATAGTCAGCATCAACCAAAGTAAGAGACCTAGTTCTTTTCGGCTTCTACCGGTTGATGCGGTCGGTCGAAATATCGCGTTGTGTAAACATTAAACGTATTGGTCGAACAGAAACGCAAGTGTAGCTAGACATCTTTCAAGCTGTGACCTATTCAAAAGGTAATTATGTTCTTAATATAACGAGGTTTGTAAATAGATTTAAGGCACGTGTTTCATCGCTTTTTAGATTTGTTAGATCGATAGATATATATTTCTTCTGTTGTAGCATTGATTCCACTGGTACTTTAAGTTGACGCATCGTATAAACTGATTGAATGTTATAACTAATAGCCTGTTGAAATGTGATAATTACTTGTTGTATAATTAGTATAAATTCTTATTGTATTGTTCTGGTTTTCAAACAGACTGACATACAGCTCTGAAACTACTTCTGATATTATATGAAAGTACTTGCAGCCTGAATCCATAGCAGATATAGACTAATCAGTCTAGGTTGCTAGTAGGTGAAACAGCCGTTAAAGATTCCTCCCTGAATGAAAGTAAAATAATAGTCAAAGGCAGTTCAAGCCATCTCCTCACTTACTTGGTATTTCAGTAGAAATTAAACGATCTGACCTTACTAATCAGCCCGTCGTGGAATTCCCCCTTCACCAATCATATCTCCATAAACCCAACTTCTGAATAATAATTAAACACTTATTATTGACTCACTTCAAGAAGAATTTTTTGGGGATTTAATCAGGTTTTAACTAGTGGGATACACTGAGTCAAGTGTTAAGACGATTACATACCAATGACATTAAATAGGCCTGGAGCTATACCATTAGTTGACAGAAATTAGAGTACATGAAACACTGAACTTGAATCCAGTGGCTGAAGCCTTGACCTACTCTGTCTATAACTTGAAGGGCCTGAGTTCGATCACTGATGTGGTCGTGGATGAGCACTGCTAAAGAATCAGAGACTGATGAAAGGACTATCTAATTCTTCCTGGCTATTAAGAGTTCTCATATTAGTGAAGAAACTTTCCTTGACGGTGATCAAATCCTCACAAAACTAACTTCTGATTGGGTACATATTTTTGGGCATAAATTCAATTTTTATCTATTTCTAATATAGATTACTCTGCGAAAATGACATAATAGCATGGCGAGATCATGTATGCTGAATACTTTACAAGTATTTAAACAGTTTGAAAATATGCAGGAAAAAAACACTGGAAAATCAGTAGAGGCAATAGTAGTAACTTACAACAAACATTTCTCCCATAAATAACATTTTCCCTGAGACCACGACATGAAAACACTCCTGTGTCAGTATCCAATTCATTGCCTGAACAGTTGGGATTGAGAATTTTTACATATGATGTCCGATTTACAGACTGCGGACTGAGAGAGAAATTTCCATCAGCATAACCAATTTGTTGACAAAGTAGACTAGAATCTCCTTTACTCCATCTGTTTTTTAGCATAAAAATGTAAGTAAATAAACAAAAGGAACCAGTGAGTTGAAAACATAAGAAATTACATAACAATAATAACACACCATTAATTTTGGAATAGCATTGGTGGTTCAGCGGTAGAATGTTAGCCGAACATTCACGTGGTCAGGGGTTTGATTCCAGACGGACGCACTTCTAAACCCCATCTAGCCTGTAGTAAGTCTGGAAAAGAGGAAAGGTTGGGTTCGGGGCTAGTAATCTCACCCTGTAATGAAACGATATCACTAATGGAATTTCAAAGCCTCAAGCCTGAAGACCTATGTTCCATTTAGCATGCAAGGAATGAAAAAAGAATTTGGAAAAATTAGAATTATCTTTTGTTTTTCTGAGAAGTATTTTAATTGGAGTTACACAGATTGCTTGTTCTGGTTTTGAAATACAGGTCGAAGACTTTCAAAAACGTGAATGAACATTGTTCAGAATAGCATGGATGCATTCCAGATTCTGAAAACCTTAAATGATATTCAGCTAATTATTCCTCCCCTCTTACACCTTTATTCATAATATTTTGATTACATTTATTCTCTTACTCTACGTGTGATTTTTCTGAGTGTGGTGGACTGAACTGATCAACATATTTCCGAAGTTTCAAGTTTCTGAATAACTCAGTCAATCCTAATTCTAGATCACTTAGCATTCATCATATCGACAGAGATTGGACGTAAAACCTATGAGATTCACTTTCTGAGATTCGAGTGGAATGGTGTGACCTGTTAAGTAGACCAGGTGGACTTTTGGGAATCAAAACTACCATGTAATTACTTTTTCTCGGAATCAGGTTGACCAATAGAAAGCTATTTATTCCATGGTATTTACCCTTCGTACAATATCTTCAAGTAAAATATTAACTGACAGTAGATCCTTTGACATAACGCTCTCTGAGGTGAAGCACAAACCATTCCATTATGATATATCTGGTTTGTCTCGTTCAAGAAATCCACGACATCTAGTTGAAAGTCAATTGTACGATGTTCAAAAGTACATTTTGAGACCTACGGATGGAACTGAAAAACAGTTATCTCACGTATTTGAGCATGTTGCCACCCACAATCAGGATTTTCCTGAAGTTTAGTAGGAACTTGCAATAACTTTTTGTCTCACTAATGGTTCGGCATGAAACAGTCAGTAGGTAAGTTGTTTCATCGACGGTGTCTGAAAGTGGAATCTAGGAAAGTGTTTCAATCTCTGTGGACATCTCAGCTCCAGAAACTGGGGCTTGAAGCAGTTGGTGGTGAGGTTGAGTCGAAACACCATGAAGAACTGGGGATGCAGATAAGTCCTAGATTCCATTGGTAATTACTATCAATCGGAATATTATTATTATTCCCTTCGATTCTGAGTGGAGCACAGGCCTTCAGCAGCACATCTTCCTTCCACCCTATTCTCTGAAGTCGTCTTTAGCTTGCTCCACAATAGCCCATAAGCTTCCATTTCCTGTTCATACGATCTATTCGACATCATCCTCCGACGCCCAACTCGTCGATTCCCGCTTGGGTTACAATCAATGGCCTGGCGTATGATGTCAGTTAACTGTCTACTCAGTATATTTCCATTCCATCCCCATTTTCTTCTGCGTATTTTTTGATCGATATGTCCTTGGCTGGTTCGTTTCTAGAGTTCTTCGTTGCTGATCCATTTTAGCTGGTCATTTAATCTTCAGTATGAGGCCAGTGAAGGCAGCTACTGGTAAAAGTCTGAAACCTGTTGGAGATGCTTATGGTGACACGCTAAGGATCTGAATCATATAGAAGAATTAACTTGACATTATTGCTAAAATTCAAGTCTTGTTCTTTATACTACTTGCGGTGGATTTTCAGACAGATTTCAGAATAATGACGGTCTATCGTGTCCTTCTGATACTGTCTGGTTTTGAAATCTTCATCAGTGCCGCCTATAGTTGAAAAGATGCTACTTAGATTGGTGAAAGAAATGACTATCTTCAAATTTTCCCCGTTGATGGTGACTGGTGCTTTTTGTTATTAGTTTAATGTCTTCATCAACTTGGTTTTCTCTATGTCCACTTGGAGTCGTCTTCGCTGCATGCTTCTTCTGCCAGCTTGCTACTGTTCTCCTGTGGATCTTCGAATTTGTGTGATATTAGACATAAATCTTCCGCAAAGTCCACATTTTTTATAGTCTTGTTGTCTATCCGGCGTAGTCTGATGTATAATACAGTCCACCAGGGTTAAGAATATCATCGGTGATAATAGGCAGCCCTGTCTTACTTCTGTATTCACTCAAAAGGCTTCACTGAGTTTTGCGTTGTGGATCACCTGACATGTGGCATTGTCATATAGCCACTGAATGAGATTTATAAGGATTTGGGACACTGCAAGCCAGAGTGTTGAAGCAGTTTCAAAATTACTCTGTCGCCAACGCCGTCGAAGGCCTCTTCGATGTCGATGAAATTGAGGTAGTGCATGGACTTCCATTCTATGCTCCGTTTGGTGATGATGCGTAGAGTTTCTATTTGATCAGCATATGGTTTGCTCCTCCTGAATTCAGCTCGTCGCCGTTAGAGTCCTGTATCCAGGGCATCTTTTAGTTTCCACAGGATGATGCGGCTATCAACAGAATTAACATCATACCAGTCTTGAGATATCGTCGAAGGGTTTGTAATAGGAACTAGTATGTCAACAGAGAGTGCACATTTCGCTCCAATAAAGTCAGTCGACAGGAAATTCAAAATAATAATTTTAACTCAACAGGAATAGAGATATCCAATGTATCCAAAGATAGCGATCTAGCCAATAGTAAACAGGAGAGGAAGGAAATGCGGTGAAATATTTACAATCTAAGGCAGTAGTTATTATAGGCACAGGAGATTTCAGCATTGACATTTGGGAAACCAAGTTCTAAATATCATGATTTCTTATTATTTTATACAGGAATATTTTCTAAAAGATACTGATGTTTAATGGCGAAAACATTTTGCAAGATTAATTTTCACTGTATACCTTTTCTATTTTAAAAGGACTTACTGATTATTTTGACTACACACAGATCTCCATTTATTAGCCAGCCATAATTGTAATTCACCTTGACTTAAACTTCTACCATTTACTAGTCTAATCTTTTGATGAGGTTCATTAGGTGAAGTATTAACATTGGATGACATTGTTGTGTCAGGAAAATACTTTTGAGGGAATGAAAAATTTGTAGCTACTGGATCCCATTTTGTGAATACAATCCTTTGATCTGTTAAGGGAAAAAAGAAACAAGTGATAAGGAGGTAAAAGTGAGTAAATCACATGGAAGTTTACTTATATTTCATGAGAGAAAACATTTTTCCAGATTATATAGCTAAGATAGCCTTTCATGTGCTTGGTTTTTCTTCCGAGATATCCTTTGAACAACAGAGAATACTGATGAAAAAAGGCGTGTTAAGTGGGTATAGGCATATTTTGTCACTTACTGGTTTACATATTCAATCTTGAAAAAAAACTGCATAACTATACCTACTGATATTTAAATAACTGAGTACTCTTCCGATGAAATCAAGAGTAGAACAAATGGACATGGTGGAGTATTCATGAAGTAAGATTTGAAATTTTGCAAATTACTTAGTTCAAGATGAAGTTTCATCACAAGTTTCTTTTGAAAGCCAAAATTATTCAAATCAGAGTATGTGATCTTCTTGATACCGTAGGTGACAATCAAGAGAGAAAAGTATCACTACATGATAGTATATACTGCTACTGATGAGCTTAGCTCAAAAATGAGCGAAACAGCTGTCCGGTGTTAAGGTCACTTCAGTCTGGTTAGCAAGTATTAACGGTTGGTATGAATGGTATTCAACTACTTATATCAGTCGGTCAGTAGTTCCTAACATTCATGGGGCCTACAAAAAACCTAGTAAACCTCTGAATATCGAGACTAAGATAAATCTTAAGTGTATTCACTATGTTGTCACTTTACATGTTCTACTTCTATGATTGAACACTAGTAACTAGTGTGATGTGTCTAGTCGTTTCTTTGGTGCAGACTGAATTCTATCAGTCAGGTTTGCAATATGGCCACCATTCTAGGTGACTCGCCAACATGGTGCACATTGATTTGATGATATTATATAGTTGGGGGCAATCGGTTGGACGCCTTCAAGACTGAAGATATTCTTTGCTGACGACTGCCAACTATTTTTTTGATTACAGCTTGATTCCACACCGTATTTTTCGGTGCAGGTATGGAATTTTCTTCATGTGATATCGGTAGCCCAAATTTTGCAGGCCGACCACAGATATCAGGTGTGCGTGGATTTCTTGAACGAGACAAAGCAGAAATATCATAATGGAATGAGAATCCAAAAAACGAAAATGTACGGTAGAATGAATTTTAACATTGACAATAATGAGAATTTCATAAACTTGGAAGATCACAAAGAATGAATGAACCTGGATCATTGGCAGCAAACTCGAACTGTCAATAACAGTCTCTAGCTATTGGTTCTAGGCGTCTACAGAAGCTCAGCTACTTATGAAAACATCAAATATAGGAATGAAATAATCCAAAAACAAACATGTTTTTATTCTGAAGTTTATCGTCACCCTAAAGATTTTGATCAGGAGTAATTCAATTGTCGTCTCGAATTGGCATGCATTTTCAAACGACAGACTAAGCAATAACGCATCAGCTTTTAAATAAAAACATAATTTTATAACATTTAAATTACCATGTTCAACAACCAGATTTAACAATGAAAAATGAGAAAGACAACGGAATAAACATTGATTTAACTATGAAACTACTTGTTTTCACAAACACAGAAACCACTTTAGAACAAATAAGTGAGTTTTAAATTCTTTGTCATAAAAAGACTTATTGATATGGAAAATTTCTTTCCGCTCAAAATCGCAAATAATTTATCTACTGCATGTCCTGAATTAAAAATTTATGGCTCTGCTCAGTCGGATTATATGCCAACAACTCATTCTGAAGTTATGCCACCCAAATACTTCTTGATTAGGGAAGAAAGAAAGGACTAGACACGTCACACTGGTTACTAGTGTCCAATCCAAATACCCACTACAGTCCAACAGGAGGTCAATCGCGAGCCTAAATGACTCAGTGGTAAAGTCTCTGACTGCAGCACTGGGTGACGTTGGCTCGAGTCTCAGAAGACATACATATGAATTCCTTCAAGGTTGCATGTACGCCTTACTGACGACTGCCAACTAGCACAAAACCTAGGTCTAAGCCTTCCTGCCGATTGCCTCCAACCATCTAGTATGATCTACTTCTATAACGACAAAATTCATTAAAAATCATAATGAAAGTTAGATTGTCTAAATATGAATTTGAAAATAGAATACAACTCGAGTGAGTTTCTTTACTAACTAATATTGCCAACAATCATTTGACAAAAGTATTTAAGACAGTATTGGGTTAATTGAACTTTACTGACCTATTCAGTGATGAATGACTTGAATGTACACAGCTTGGCTTTTAATCTAAAAGCCACTAATGTGAATCTTTCTGAGGAGCTAAGCTTTCATGCACCTGTTGTCATATGCACATGTTTGTAGTTATCCTAACCATCAGGTCAAAACACAATTGTTGATGAAGAAGGACCACAACTAAATGTAAATTTCCAGTTATTCTCATCACTAGCACTGAACAGTGTAATGTAAAACGTATATCACATTTCATTCAAATCATTATTTCCATTCATCATGAGGGTACATGACACCGCATAGTATTGAATCACAGATGTTGTTTTTGCTGCTTACAATTTCATGAAGTGAATGTCTGTTTATTTTTGATGAATTAATGTATTGTCATCTATGCAAATGAGATTACGTAACCTTTCAAACTTTCAAATACAAAAAAAATACCCAAATAATTGAAAGCAGACGAATAAATCAACTTAAGACAGATAAAAGAGAATAAAGTATACAAAATGAACATTTGTGATATTCACATGTAATCTTACTAAAGCTTATAATTATGGAGTGAAATTATAGGGGATGAAATTATTAAATAACTGGTGATTGAAGGAGAAATGGAAATCTGAACATTCGAAGAAGTTAACCAACAAGACCAAACTGTCAACCAGATCATTATTTCAATTCTATCGTTAGAGGTAATGTTCAGCCAGCTGTTTTAGCTCGGCTGATAGAGTGCCGCACGAGAAATTATGAGGTAGCTGGTTAGAATCCTACCATCACTCAGGCTTTTATATCACCTTCAGTTATTACCTGTAGTATGAATAACAGACTGTTGTACATCAACACAAGGCAGTTTCGGATAGTGTCAAAATGTCGTTTTACTCAATCTAATGGCCATATTATTAAAGTAATCGAAAGAGAATTCGATAGGCTGCTAAAAGCTATCTGATACATAAATATCGATTATTGCCTAACAACAGGTTTCTTTCGTACACAATTCACTCCTACAGAGGATCACTCGGGGATCTAGTTCACTTAGCAGTAAAATTTTTAGCTTCATTATATATTGATGTGGGCTTTTATCATTCAAGAGTTAAGTCAGTTACAGCTCATTTATTTGCATGCACCAAGGTTTGAATCACACTTTTTTGTGTGATGATTTATCACCTATATGTAAGCATATAAGAGGGGAAAATGACTAAAGTAAAAGCGTGAACAGAGCAAGAACTGTAAATGTACCATGATAATATTAGGTCTTTTTTATTTCGTCATTTCTTCTCACCTGACTAAGATCTGTACAGTACAAAAATATAAATTATGCAAATTACCCAAAAGAACATACTCTTTGCGCAATTACTAGGAGTAATTGATAGGAACTATAAGCAACGTAGGTCCAGAATGACATAAGTTGGTAAATTATTAAGAGTTAAAAGGGCTAATTATTTATAGGATAATTAGACATGTATTCGTGAAAAAAGGGATAGAGTTCAAAATCTTTTGGGTGAAAACAAAGTTTAACCAGAAAGAGTGTATCAATACAATAGGCTTCCTAACTTCAGAAAATATGTTTTTATAAACTCTTAAAAAAGGGTAAGGTGAGTGACATCCAGATGAAACGATAGCACTTTCTAGATAGAACAGGAGATATGGCAGGAGAATACATGGCATATTCAAAATTGCATAACTTGTGCGTACAGATCTGATTTTAATCGTTTGGTGGCGATTGCCTCAGCAAAAGGAACTAGGCTAGGTTTCTCTTGTCTGTTGATCGCTTTGAAAGCCTTCAGGTTGTCCACAGTGTGGCCAATGTCCAACAGGTGGCATGCCATTTCACTATTTAATGCTTGTGAGCCCGTTGATCTCAGGCTCTTGGGTATGTATTCAGAAATGCGGACAAGAACACCTCCCTCTATTTTACCAACGTATGTTTTTTGATACATACACGTAATTTGGTAGGTACAGTTAGACGTAACATGAAGTGGGTGTTTGTTCACTTTTGATTGTCTTAAACAACTGCTTATTTGATACACACAAATAAGCTTGATTGCTGGATATGTTCTTTTCAACACAGAGTTTAGTCTACATCTTATTCTCGTAGCGATATAATCACCTTTGAAGGTGATCCGTGGAAAGACAAACTTTTTCTTTACCTTTTTACCACTGCGTTTTCCACGTCTGTCGATAAACTTCTTTGAATAACCATAGTGACACAGGCAATTTTTTACAAATGATAATTCTTCTTCAACCTTTTTCTTTGAGCAAAGCTTTCTCACGTGATCAAACAGTGTTCTCACCAACTCCCTTAATAATCTACCTAGTTGCATCATTCCGGATCTATGTTACTTATAGTTTCTATTAATAAATCCTTGTTATAGCGTAAAGAGTATGTTTAAGTCTTTTATGTAACTTATATTTTTGTATTGTTCAAGTTTTAACCAGCTGAGAAGAAACCGCGAAATAATAAAGAATGATCTCATATTATCGTGATATATCTGTCTTTCTTGTTTTGTTCAAGTTTGTTAATGGGATGAACTGTGTGAAATTTTTGAAGCAAAAGATATTATCACATTTCTTCAGTGTGATTCAAGGCATCTACCTTCGTAAACGACTAGGTCATAAACACTGCAATAGTTCCCCCTTCTTTAAGGTATTAAAAAAACAGAGACTGCTATGTTCACAAAGTTTTTGTAGACGTTTTGTAGCCAGGCATTTACAGTTTAACATTCGTGCACGGGAAAATATTATGATGATAGTCTTCTTATCTTTTAGCAATCTTTTGGCTACATAGTGTCTTTATTTCATTTGCGAATTTTTGTTTTCTATAAAATTTGACTTTTCACAGTCACTTAATAGATCACGCTATTTTCAGGTGGATTTCACAAAAGTCCAATAGATATGTATTGTCAACCAATAAGCTACAGAGAGCTCTTTCATCTAAGTTTAGTTTTCTCTGAGAGTAGTTACCAACAAGGTTGAGAAAGATTGTGCTTATTATCTCCAAGTTTCGAAGCGTCAGTATATAATTCTGTCTGTTTTGGGTGGAAATTAAATGTCTCATAGTTCACACGCAGCATAGCTCTATTCCCAAACAATATTGTCAGAGGATATTCATCATCGTATCTAATTTAAAGCACACCATTGTTTCCAGTATTGTAACGAGATTTTCATTACTACAACCGCTTCTCATCAGCGATTTTCTAAAAAATTGGATTTTACTAAATTTTAAATTGGAGCAATTTGATCGGTGTGGCACATCATATCCAGAGTGTGAAGAAATGCCGGAGATATCGGTTGATAATGATTCTGAAGCGTGGGTTAGTAGGCGTTTGAAATCGTTGATGATTTGATTTTCACACGGTGTAAACTGGATGGTAATGTGCTTTACACAAATTGTGAAAGGAATTATATGGAAATACTCTTAAATAAAAGCGAATTAAGGCAGCATCATTGAACAGAGCTTGGAATGGCAGTCAGCTCACTATCTCAACTTCCTTGACTTTGAAAAGGCCTTCGATAGCGTCGATCGAGAGGTGATTTGGCAACTACTTCACTGCTACGGGGTACCGCCGACAAGTATACATCTCATCCAACAGTTGTAGGACAATGCTGCATGCCAAGTAATCCACAAAGGAAAACTCGCAGAATCCTGTGAGGTGAAGACAGCAGTAAGACAAGGCTGGCTGACTACTATCTCCAATGATTTTCCTGATTGTAGTAGACTGGAAAATGTGACAGACATCGGGGCAACAAGGAGACAGGCATAAAATGGACCCACACAAAAGCTTTAAGGATCTGGACTTTGCCGATGATATGTGTTTGGTTTCCCACAAGCTGGAAGATATGCAAGTGAAAAGCGACAAGTTGGCAGAATAAGCATCCAGAGAAGTTAGGACTTCAGGTGAACATAGAGAAAACAGAGGTGATGAGGATTCCTGGCCAACAGTAACAACAACAGACAACAATCAGCCAACCTAAATAGGAGGAATCTGAAAGAAGCAGTCTCCTTCACCTACCGACCTGGGAAGCATCGTTTCAACTATAGGCGGACGGAAATGGTGAGGATATCAAGAGGAGGATCTTCGGGAAGCTTTCATTTCTCTCAAGTCTGTATGGAGCTCAACAGCACTTAGCATGAAAAATAAGATCCGGATTTTCAACTCCAATGTGAAGTCAGTGCTACTCACTATACGGATCAGAGACTTGCACTGCGCGTCATAAAGAGCATCTCAAACAAACTACAGATCTTCATTAACAGTTGCCTTCGCTCAATACTCAAGATCAGATGGCCGGCCCAGAAAAGATCAGCAACACGGATCTCTGGGAGCGAACCAACCAGGAACCGATTGTGAAACAAATAGGCAGGAAGAAATGGAGATGGATTGGCCATACTCTGAGGAAGTAAACCATCATGTGACATTACTAGACAAGCCATTCCTCGAGTGGAACCCGAAAGGGAAGCAGCGAGTTGGTCGTCAGTGCAAGGGTGAGGGTGACTTGGAGGAGATCATGTGAAGAGGAGATGAAAGCATGTGGGCAGACTTGGAGCCAGGGAAAAACGTCCGCAGGGGACCGAACGCAATGGAGACGTGTGGCTGAAGCCCTATTTTTCTCTAGGAATTAAAGGAAATAATAATAAGGCAAAAGGGTTGTTCAACGACCCACCATGTTTCTTTATTCGGTATCAGTTTACTATGAAATCAACCTCATAATCTAAGAAATTTCAAGAAGTATGATATCTAAGCACTTAATATTTCATTTTTTGCTCTCCTTAATATTGATACTTATTTTGGCTGTTTATCTTGAGACACTTTAAAAATCAACTAACTGATGAAGTATAGACATAATTTAGATTGCTTCATGGAAAATTCCCACTGGAACACATACAAAATGAAAACAAAAGATTTAGCTAAGTGTCTCTCTTCAACGAATTCATCACGCTGTATATATGTATGTATGTATATAATATTTATTAATAATAGTATGAATGGTGAAGAAAAATAATTAGTTATGTACTTAATAAGATAGTCCATGAGATTTTCAAGAGTCAGTTTGTAGGGAATTGATTTGTCTCAAGTTTGATCACGGATTGATATTAGTTACAGAACTATTGAAAACCAGGGATTGTTGGATGCGTACTGATGATGAGTCCCAAACTAGGACGAAATAGCAGTCCACTACTCCCTGGTTTTCAATGATTCTCCAACTGATATCAATCCAGGATCAAACTTGAAATGTATAAGTCTCAGAGACGTATAGGAATAACAAGATTAGCAGGCAATTAAAACATGATACAACAAGGTGAGAATGAATGAAAACAAAACAGGTAGTTTTCATTAATGTCTGGATGGGGATTATTCATGAATTAAAAGGTGAGAGTTATGGTAAGACAATATTGGCAAAATTATGTTGAATTAAATAGATGAAAAATGGCATAAGAAACCGAGTATTTCGGTTCAACACAACCAATAAACGGGGTATTCAAAATAACATCAACAGATTATACACTGTGTTTACTGTACTACTGTTATGACTGTATGGAGTAGAATAAAATGCAGACAGCCTCTAATAGAAGAAGCAATCTAATACATACAAACATATACCTACCTGAAGTTCCTTTTGCATATAGAATCCCTTTAACTTTAATAGATAATCCAGCACCGACTAGAATATGTACTCCAGGATCAATGATAAGTTTAGCTTCTCTATGTATGAACAGATCATTGTGTTGTATTATATACGGAGATTTTGAAATAGTCCAATGTTGTATTCCAGATATAATAGAATTAACATATGTTAATCCAGTAGTTACTTTCATTATATGTAACAGAAGTATAAAGAACAAGATGCTGTCAAGAAGTACTCTTTGATATGTTTTCATGACTTAACTTGAGGAAGAATACGAAGTGGAATTATTGATAGTGTATGATACTTCTTTCTTTCTAGGTGAAATCAAAATTATGATGGATAGAAACCTTCCGGGAAAATGAAGAAAACATGTTCAGGTATAAGAATTAATGAATAAAATATATTCTATATGAATAAAATTACAACATAATGCTGATATTCAGAAGAAAATCAAGTTCATATGCAAATATATACACGTATGCTTTGGTGTTTCAACTGCAGAGTGCTCACCAATCGAGCATGTGGTATGGGTCTGATTCCAGGCTGACACAGTATTAAACTTCGCTGAATTTACTGGCTGATAATAAGCCTAGAAAGGAGGCTAGTAACTCCACTCTGTAAAAACAATACCACCACTGATGAAGCTTCAAAAATCTGAAACCTTATATTCCACTCAGGAATGAATATATATTTTGATTGGACACTAACCAGTGTCATGGATCTGGTCCTTTTTTGATGCCGAGTGAATTCTACCAGTCAAGTTTGCATTGTGGCTACCATACCAGGTGGCTTGCCATCATGGTGCACTCGGAATATTTGTTATTAGATGGTCGGAAGCACCGTAATGGCGGGCCACCTAGAATGGGAGCCACATTGTAAAATTGACTGAAAGAACACAGTCTGCAGCAAATAGTGTCCGATCAAAGTATCCAAAACAGTCTAACAGGAGGTCAATCGCGAGCTCGAATAACTCAGTGATGACGTCTCTGACTGCAGCAGTGTGTTTGAATCTCAAAAGGGACATGAGTTTCCTCAAGGTTTCAGATACGCCTTGCTGACGTGTGCCAACCAGCACAAAACCTAGGTCCAAGCCTTCCTACTGATCACCTCCAGTCATCATATAATGTACATATATATATACTGAAATTAAAAACAGTGACCCATTCATTCGCAAAGCGTGTTTTCTCATGACATCTGACTGTTAACCAGTGGTTATTAAGTACTTCTTCCATGAGTTGGTAGTTTTGCAAGTACATAATTAATATTTTCTTTATTTAGTGTAATCATTGGTATTTGTATGCCATTAGTTTATCAAACATTTCCACACATGACTAAGATATTTACTTCTAGTGTGAGATAAGTAGTTACGTAACTTATTTTAAAGTTCTGCGATTTCCAAAATACTCATGTTCTCATAACCATTGCTCCGTTATAGAACAGTTGGTATGTTTTCATTAGTTAAGTATGAATCATGAAATATGCTACTTAAGAAGAATCAGATTAACAAGTGTCAGTTTGTAGATATCCGACTGATTTCATGTTGGATCATGAACTGACATAAATTAGAGAACCACTGGGTTGGTGGTCAACAGACTCACTTTGCAACATGAAGGTACTGAGGTGGATCTCCTGTGGGGTTATCATTGCGTACTACTGAAGAGTTATACGCTAGGACAGAAATTTGTCAAGTACTCTATGGTTTTTAGTGGTCCACTAACTGATATCAGTTAGCCATCCCGATGGAAATCATTACAAACGTTGAAATAGTTAAATTGTTAGATAGCTAGACGTTATCGACCATTACTTTTATTATTGTTTATTTACGTAATGATGTCTGGCTCATGATTTCAGCGGGTTAAAACTATTTTCTGAGTGGTTTCATTGGTTTATAACATCCATTTGATATGTGTTTTGTTTGCTTAAGCAACTGACTTCTAGCCAACTAGTCACAATTTTGACTGCCGCTCCACCTACTTCATTCTGGATAGCTGGGTAGTAACATTATTCCTTAAACAATAATTATGGCGCATAAACTAATATGCAGTATTGTACTAAATGCTGAAAATTCCGCACTGTAACATTAGTACTACTTCGGAATGAAGCAAAAATTATTTTTATTATCAAGTGAAACCCCAATTATATGTCATTAAGGTATTACTTAAAGTCTATTTCCTACGTAAAACTAGCAAAACGTGTGTAGAAAAGAAAAGCAATCTGGATTACGCTAAGGTTTCAGAAGATTCTTAAGTCCGGTATCCAAACAGGACATTGTCCAAAATCATGACGGGGATTGCTTCAGTCAGGGAAAAATGGTAATTGGAGTGTTTTGAACATTTTGCCGATATTTAGTAACAATTTGAGTCACTTTTATCATTCTTAGTAATATAAAACTGTGAAGACACGGAAATGCGACTGAAAGACCAATCGGGAATGCAAAGACTGACATGTTTCTATTAAAGAATGGTATAAACGGAATAAAATTAGTACATTGTGGAACATAATTGTATTTTGAAGCTTTTAAAGTACATCAAACAGTGGGTTTGTGCGTATGTATAAAGATGAAATTGCATTCACGTTTCGATTACTTGAGCTGCAAAGAGAAATCCAGTAAGGAAGTACTTTCATTTTATGACCGACATAATGAGCAAGCAAATGATCTCAATGAACCAGAAAACAACCAGTAAAAAGTTCAAAACAGAATTGTACGATTAAATGGAACGAGAATTTAGTTAGCTACTGTGTTTACATACACGTAACTTGCATACGATACCAGCTGTATAGTCTGAAAAGACTCAAGAAGTCAGGGCTTTCTCTAAAAGTTTTCATAAGGGCAGTCTGATAAATCAGTTAAGAAAAATAGGTAAAAATTTCGGAGGTAGAGTTTAGTGTTAACAGTAGTCTGAATGAGGACAGAATTAATTTTTTACTAAAACTTTCAGCCTATTACGAATTTCTATTTCTCACTGGACCCTTTTTGTGTGTTGGTTTTTTCCAATGAAATTAATTAGTAATGCTTATTCAGAAATACCTTTATTATTAGATGCTGTTTTTTTGTCTATCTAGTTTACAGTCTGAGTCTAAAGATATACCTACTACTTCCTGGACAGACAATATAATCCACTCATGCTTTTAATTAAAATGATGTTACAGAGGAAAGCTAAGTGGGAAACGTCAGATTTAACTTTGCATGAGGAAGTTTTCACTTTTGGTTATCCTTAGGTAATATAACTACGAATATGTAGTTTTTCGAGATACGGATGATAAGTAGAAACGTTATTTGTGAATTCGGTAAATTGTCATATCGAAAATCAGTAACTAGCTGCACACAAATTAGATACAGTGTTTCTCAGTGACCACTAACTTTGACTGGACTGTCATTACAAAATTAAAACTAGATACAATAAATGGGTTGATAGTTTGGCTGAACAAAATAAGCACAGTTAATTACAAGATGCATTCTCAGCATGGTTTTACTGGCAGTGTTTCAACAAATTATAGTGTTTGTCAAGTCCTGAATATATTACTCTAGAAAGAATGCTATCGTGGTTATTACATTGAAGTAGTAGCAAGTAAGACATCTATCTTACTCGAATTTCCGTTTCACTAAATAAGCATCTTTAGGATTCAAAATCACACCTTCATTCGGAATATAGTGCCTAAATTCATACAAGAATAGCTTGGCGACATCATTATTTTTGTGCTGTTAAAACTTAATTTTTGGTCTAAATTGGATTTCGAGTTCTACAAGCTTTCCAAACAGAGACATAGTGAGAATTCCGCATCACTACTTTTTCCAGTAGGGAAGAAGAGGTAGCACATGTTCTCCACTATATTTCATAATAAGTGGGATTAGATACCCATCATTTCATTGATCTATATGAGGAAACGTAGACCATGTGGTTTTGTAGACAGAAGTGTGCTTAAGGGGAACACTGAAAACGCATAAGTTTTCCGTTTTTTCGGGCACACCACATAACGACTATTTCTATAAACCCCTAAAACAAGCATCGGTTTATTATGGAAACTTATATTCTGAAAACTTCAGGTCCTCGAAATTTTGCTAGCTTCTAGAGAGTTAGAAAGGCCTACAGATAAACTACATAAAATTTGGTTTAGAGGTAGATTTGGTCAGGTGTATTAGTTTTTACCCTTAGTCACTGAAAATTATGAAAATAGACTTTTTATTACTTTGTAACTGTGGAACATTGAAAAATTTGTATTGTCGAAACTTAAATTACAGGATAGACAGCATTTTACTAAAAAGAAATATGAACATTTACGTCCGCTCACAATATACCCGCCTCAGTATTAAGTATGACTAATTACTCGATGGCATATAAAATTTTCATATCGCCACCGCTTGCAAGCACAATAAACAAACAAATCGGGGCAATGGAATCGTGTTGTTTTATTTTGCGAAGATAGACTCGAAAACTATTGAGTGCCTATGATTTTCCATCCCGCTTATGTATTAATCAGCCGAAAGCAACCAAATATTATGAAGTGCTAATATTTTGCACGATATGTCGCAGACGTAGTTTGACTTTGTTTTCACAGACTCCCGTTTTAGCATTTAAAGTCATTTCGGTTTAATGAGGAGGTGAAGAAAGGACACATCAAATTCACGATTTTCCTCTAAAATACTGTGCATAGTTATCATCTCGGCTATTTGTATCTTTTAGGTCGTTCTTCCTCAATGAGTGAATAGTAGTGTCTCGAGTTTCCAGTAAACTAGTGGCTCATCTGTTCTGGTTCAAGCAGTCCTCTTAACTACGCTGAATTAATAAATTCGGGACTGAGCGATAAAATATGCGTACCTTCTTATCATTACGCCATCCGTCTTCGTTGATATCTTTCACCCGCCTAAACCGGTGAGGCCGTAACTAGCTTTCACTTCATTTCGGTGATTTAGCCGATTTCGTTTCATGTGAGTGACGAGGTACGAGAACTTATACGTCTCAGATCGTTAACATACAGAATGAGCTTGTGGTATTTGGATTTGACGATGGCTTTTCAGAGACTGACTGTCGTTTCAGAATCTTCGCCAATTAAATGACTGAATGCGTGCACGAAGCACGAACACTGTTGTTAAATTGGACAACTGCACTGTAAGTACGGGGATACACAGATAAAGCAGGAAGGCTTAGTCAAACCATAGGTTATTTGTCGTCCAGTATAGTTCAACGGAAGAGAGAAACCCTACTAATCATCAGGAAATTTTATTCCCCAATCGGCTATTCGTCTCCTTCTTCTGTAATCCTTAGTCATTATTAGGAAGACAGTTGCAGCGAAGAAAATTTTCTTTTCGACGAAGTCACCAACTAGGCTGTACATTCGTGTATTTATAACAAATGGATGGAAAACTTCCAGAATAATTTCCGGTTAAGGGTCAAATGAATAAAATTACAATTAGGAATTAAAATGCCATAATAAACAGGGGGACGGATAAAGCTCAAACAAAGTAGTATCATAATTACTGAGAAGATTGACATATTGTGCAACTAGGGGTTAGAAATGCAGAAATAACAAAAATAAACAGGATGTTTGGATATGAAAATATGGTAGTGTAAATAGGGACTAAGAAAAACTCAAAATGACATGAATAAACAGGAAGTTAGGATAAGAAAGGCAATGTGGTGGTCATTACTAAAAGAATTACATGTTTTTGATGGCCATGGCAGGGACAGGGGTTAGACGTAATTCTTTTGGATACATAGCGTGGGTTTGAGCTTTTGAATAGCTAGTGCCTAGGCTATGCTCAGATGTCTTAATTTCACTCCCGTTGATAAGTTTGATCGAATCTTGTATATTGCTTTGAAGGACTGAAATTAAACATCACGTACAAGGTCATTGGTGGAGTGAGACGCTCAAAGGTCATTTTCGTCCATGTTAGTCGGCCATGTTGGATTGCAGTCCCGTAGTTGTTCGTTTACACATTGGTTTTTCCGTTTATCCAGCAGTTATTTACAACTTATCTTGATGCACATTGTTCACAAATGTTGCATTTCACCTCATTTTTGTTTCCGTTTCCGCTAAAATTACTTACCTCGTTTGTTTCGAAAGCTTTCACCACCAGGTCAGTACATTCATTTCCTTGTAATTGTTTCATACGTTGCATTCATGCATGGTTTCAGAGTTTTAGTTGTTTTTCCACTATTATTGAATGAGTACTGTGTAGAAGTTTTGGAAATTATGCACGTGAACATGTTTGGGTGGCAGAAACAACAGCTTAAGCTGTTCACTCGTTGGTTATGGTTACTGTTGCTGGCTCAGTTGCTTATTTAACATGTAGAAATCTGAAAAAATGTCTTTCACGTTCATGTCTTCAGTATGCAACAATCTACGAGTGAATCTGCTGAAGAGAGCACGATCAGGGTTGATATTAGCAAGTTTTTCGAAGGGCATATTAAACCTTGAGAATTTCCCACCTAGCATTATTTTCGGGCGCACGGCAGGTTTTTGGGGCAAAAAACATCGGGCGCATCTACTTACGTCGAACAGTGCCCCTAAGCCTGCCCCAAAAAGTCTGAAATGCGCCCGAAATCGTTGCTAGCTGGGTTAGAACCTGGTTTGAAGTTAAGAAAGCTTTGAAGCTTTTCGAGAGGATGGATGTACCATCAGTGTGTCTGTAATCAGTTAAAACGTCAGATATATATTGTGAGAGAATCTAAATCAAACAAGTTTGAGCCACATGATAAGTGTGAATCTGTTGTGGTTGTGTGTATTTTTGGGAACTAAATGAAACTGGAACCCCCAAAGGGTAAGTGTTATATATGCTTATTAATGCTTAATGTAACAGATCCAAATACATGAACCAGCACTGCCTTTAGTAGAGCCAGTGTTAACAGCCACTCGATATGTTGCAAAACGATTTACAAAATGAATAAAATACGATGATCTGGCGAGTGTACGAACGATCTCAGTTAAAGGTAAAACTTTACTTAGCAAGAATAACGTTTTGGGTTGTGGTCTACGATCGCTGGTTCCCTCGATGTTGTGATTTCTCCGTGACTATAAACATGGATTTCCATGATTTTTCAAAGAAAACTGTAAATAAATTTTCCCTGAACCAGTGGTCTTCTTTTTCTTGGCGAAACTTCTGTTGATAAGATTAGACGATTAGGTAGCAAAGTAGGATGTTCTGTGACTGAGAATCGTGCTTATTGTGTTTCGGACTAATTTCGCACATCTGACTGTTGTAACTGCAAATATTGAGTCATTTGAGGTGAAAGGATGAATACCTCTAAACGCTTTTGAGGAGACTAGGGTATATTTACTTTAATCGAGTAAGAGACGATTTTTTACCAAGAAATTTCTCAGAATTTCCACTTTTACTTTGTTATTCAAAGATAACGTTAAGTTGCCCACTAAGGCAGTAGCTATAGGAGATTACCTTCAGCGGAAACTATATTAAGGTAGCTTTACGTAATGCGTCATAGAAGTAAGCAGTGTATGTTTATTGTGTCTAAATATATTAAACGTATAACTGGTCAAATCGTAGTCCTTACATACGAGTTAGTTTTATAAATAATGAATGTAGCGTACAAGCGTTCACCTAGAGTTGCATACCTAGATCATAAACATTATGCCTTCATGTGGTATACATTAAGGGCTAATACGCTGTTTGATGAATTAGTCCGAGATACTCAAGATCGGACTTGATTTCTATATCACTGTCATCAATTTTGCAACGGTCATAGGAATTAACAGATTCGCCAGACTTTCTTCTGCTCAGTTTCTTGTCAAGATGCTATCCCATGGGCCATACACAAGTTCGCCAGACATCCTACAGGTGACCATATTCAACAGGTTCTAATCCTTCTAGCCACTTCTCTCTAAAATGTCACTTATATACTTCACGACAATCCTTCTACCTAACTACTATTATACTCTATTTTATCTCAACTTCCTAGGCCTTTAGTAAAGCTGAAATTTACTCTTTTGTTTCTCTTTTTTCTCATTCACACTCTTCTCTCGCATAAAGTTCGGTTGCTCTGATGGTAAAAAACATTACAACAGCACTAATGTTTGAGAATAACTTTATTTTCATAGAAAACGTCATAGTTTTCTACGGTAAGACCAATATGGTTAGCATCATACATTGCAGATGTGCACTATCATATCAAGTACTGTATAGCTTGTTCTTGTATTTTTCTTGTAAATATACTTCCAATAATGTATTATTCATGATTGCATTTTATACCACTTTGTAGCTATGCAGGATTTTCTCCTCTTCCTGAAATAGCGTTCAAGCACGTGGTTGTCGCTCAATTTCGATGGAAACCTTCGTGGAAGATTTACAAATTAACAATTATAAGAATATGTTCCGATTGCTTTTGCTATATAATTCTACAATTTGAACTTTTAAAAAAAGTGATAATCTTACTATCCCTGTAAACGTTGTACTTACCTCAATATTGGTTGGCTATGGTATGCCTACAACTACGGGTTGAAAACGAAACGAAGTCGATTTTCCTGCACAACCTGGAGGACTACTGTTTAATTCAACAATGATACGACATGGGTCAGACAATGAGTGTATTTATATACATATATATCAAATATCTAGCTGTTCAGACGTTATTAACTTGTAGACAATCTACTATTTGTCATTATATCACACATCATCATTCTAAGTGAGGACAGGAGTAAAACAAGCTGGCTGCCTACTATCGCCAATGATTTTCCTGATCGCACTAGATTGGATAATGCAACAAACAGTGGGCAACGAAGAAACAGGCATAAAATGGACTCGCAAGAAAAACTTGGAGGATCTAGACTTCGCCGATGATATATGTCTGATTTCCCACAAACTGGAAGATATGCAAATGAAAAGCAACAAGTTGGCAGAAGAAGCATCCAGAGAAGATAGGACTTCGGGTGAACATAGAGAAAGCAGAGGTGATGAAGATTCCTGGCCGCGAGAAACAGCAAGAACAGACAACAATTAGCCATCATAAATGGGAGAAATCTGAAAGAAGAAATCTCCTTCACCTACTGACCTGGGAAGCATTGTTTCAACTACATACGGACGGAACTAACGAGGATATCAAAGCAAGAATCGGAAAAGCAAGACAAGCTTTCACTACTCTCAAGTCTGTGTGGAGGTCAACAGCACTCAGAATAGTGAGAAATAAAGGGGAATGGGCAGAATGCATAAATTAATAAATTGTAAGAGAAGGGTTTGAGTTTTTCCAGGAAGTTTCAACCTCTTTATATAATAAGTTAGAAGAAACCTTTTCTTGGAAATCAACAGGATATAAGACGACAGATATTCGAAGGGAAACTGATGCCGAGATGGGAGATATTCTATTTCCTTCCTATTATTACAG